GGGGGGGGGGGGGGGGGGGGGGGGGGGGGGGGGGGGGGGGGGGTAATCTGCCTGTGGTGTGGCCATAGCCTGTCCAGTTCCGCTTCCCAAACTGTCGGGTTGCCCATTTTGGGGGGAGGTGGGTTTTTGGTTTGAGCCCGGCTGAGCGGCTCGGGCCCCAAGGCCTTGGGCGGTACCAGTGAGCAATAAACCCCCCTTTGGGCCTGTTTGCGGGCTGATTTGTTAGTGGTGGCGGCGCCTTCTGATGGTTTTTTTTGTGTCAACCCTCGTTTGCCTTTTGCTCGAATCGGCAGTTGATTCCTAGATCGTCCGATCCTCTCCCATGCGCACAGTAAAAAGGTTGGGTGACACAAAAAAAAGTGTGAGAGGGATGGGACGGGATGACAGGTGGTTTTTGTGGTGGCCCGGAGGGCCCAGGCCGAGGGGGAGTGTTGGTTTCCAGGCAAATCCAGGCGACAACTCGAACCAGCTTCTAGAAGCACCATGTGTTCACTTACGACATCTGACCATACACATACACATACACATACACAGAACTTACACGCACCACCACAAGTCACAGGCGAAAAAAGACCGTCACTCAAAAGGCAGTTGACAACGAAGCGAAGGGAATGTCATGAATTAAGCTTTGAAGAAAGGGGGGTTTCACTCCCCTCCCACCACCACCGCCGCAAGCCTCGTGGTGCTGGCTCCTTGTGCTTTGTCTTGCCCTGTAAGGAAGAACCCAGTGTCTCATCTGAATCATGAACAAAAAATGGAACGGCCCGGATGGCAAACGGCTCGTGGTTGGGTTACCCAACCGACGAGCTCGACCGCCATGCATGCTCCCCAAACACCGTCGCGCGCTCAACCCCAGTGAAAATGCTCACACCACAATCTCAACTCCGCCCCTATGCCTTTTGCATTCTCAAATTTGTGGCCAAGCAGTAAACGGGATAAGGAAAAGAGCTCGAGAAAAGCCCTCGGTCCAGTCAGTCTATTGATCGATGCCGTCTTTCGTAGACAATCTTTCGTGGTTCATCAAGAGGCGTTGTGAGAGAAGGGGAAAAAAAAGGTGTGTATTTAGTGTCGAAGCAATGCTGAGTTACATTGACGGTCGTGGTCGCGTGTGAGATGAGTTTTTTTATGTTGACTTTGGCATGATTGATGCTGTATGAACACGGCTCGAACAAATCCAAGTGCAGAGAGAACAACGCTGTGTTGGTTCTAACGCTGTGAATGTACCTCGTCGCCTGGGTCCCACTGTCGTAAATAAATGACTGATGATATAATGCATTCGTATCGGGTGAAAAATGCTTCGGGTTTTTTGGTCGTCGGAGTCTGCTTTGAACCTCTCTCTGATTGCAAAGCATAAAAGCCCTCACTTCATGAACACCAATGAACACCAAATGAAAATACAACTCCCACGCTCGCTCAAGAGATAAGAAAAAAGGAAGGACGGCGCAATTATCAAAAAGAGAACGCTCACAGTCTGGGGTTCAAGCTTGTGATCATGGCCCAGGACTGTCGTCATTGCCTGCCCAAACAGCACCACCTGCTCGCTCTTCAGGCAAGCCGATGGCGGAGCCAGGGTTACGTGGAGATTCTCATCTGCGCGATCTTCTCTTCAACACTCTTGAGAATGGCCGGATCGGGCTCAGGCTCGACCCTCTGAGGCTTCAGGCGGGGACAGTCCGCGCATTTCTCATGCGAGCACTTGGTGCACACGGTCCCGTCGGCAGAGCTGGGCGGGAATTTGGTCTTGCATTGGTGGCACTTGTGGTGAGGGATCGAATTGGGACCAAACTCGTCGCCAGGATATCCATAAGGATACTTGTCCTTCTTTGCACTATAGTGACAGTCAGCATTGCCGCGTGGCCCGACATGGAGTGCGCGGGGGAAAAAAAGATGGGCGGTACTTACGGATCGCGAGGGCAGTCGGTGCAGCGGACGTGGCCGCAGTTGGTGCAGCTCTTGTTACCAGAGGCGAAGAGCGACTGGCATTCGTGGCACGTTCTGCGGATTCTCTGGCGAGGCTTCCGGAGGACCAGGTCGGGACCGCCGTGCTTGCCGGGCCTCCTGAGCTCGATCTTCTTTTCCGTGGTATCCCAATCAGGGATGATGGGCGCATTCTCGGCCCTCTCCTTGAGGATCTGAGCCCGACGCTCACGGCTGGCAATCTTCTCGGCTTCGGTGCGCTTGGGAGGATAGCGCTGGCAGTCCTTGCAGCGCGGGTGCTTGCACTTGGGGCACTCCTTGGCAGTGCCAAAGGTCGTCTTGCACTCATGGCAGATGCGGTGGACGCGCATGCGGATGGGCTTCTCGACCCGCAGAGCATCGCCTTCGGTCGAGTGCCACTCGCTCGGCTTGATCTCCAGCCCGAACCTCTCGCCTAGCTTGCGAGCACGCTCCTCGTGCAGTTGCATGCGAGGCACCTTGGTCGCTCCAATCTCGAGCTCCTTGCCCTTCCTGGTGGTCTTGGCGACCGGAGCCGGAGCCGGAGCCGGTGTTGGCTCACTGCCACGTGTTAGCGCTGGCATTCTATGCAATGCAATGCAATGTTGGCAATCGCTGGGTCTCAGCGGTTTTCGCAAGCAGCTGCCTGCGTATGAGGGGGAGCAAATTGGGAGCTTACCTGGTCTTGACAGCCGCGGCGGAGGAGCTAGTGGCCTCGGTGTCTCTGGGAGGACCAGAGATTGACATGCGCTTCTCGGCCCTCTTCAATATCGTCTTGACCCGGGAGACCATCTTGCCCATGCCCTTCTTCTCCTTCTCCTTGGGGACCGACGGTCCAGCCTGCGCGGGCGAACTCATTTTTGCAGATGGTTCAGAGAATCCTTCGTAGCATCAATTCAACTTCTTCTCCGTGTCTGAGTGTTGCGGATATCCTGTTCTTGTGCGATCGTGGTACGGGACCTAGATATGTCGATCCGGGAATGACAGATGCCACGACCGAACAGCGCGGTTTCAGAATGATCCAGATGTCACCTCGTGCCGGCCAAGAGTCCAAGCAGCGACCAAAAAAAAAAAAAAGAACGGAATGGCGTGTTCAGCGAAGCGCGCGGGAAGGGTGTGCGAGAAGGAAAAAGCTGGCCAATGCGAACACCGGCGGCGAGGGGATCCGAGTACCACACTGCGAACCGCACCGTGCTAAATCTCGGGTAGCGAATTGCCAATTGAAACGGGATTGCCTCTTGTTCCCTAGTACGCGCCGTCCCACAGCCACGGATCCGGAGTCGAATAACAGTCAATCGGGGAATCCAATGCGGCCAGCACCCGTCAACCTGCCCAGGTTTTCGGTATGAAGGCGAGAGTCGTCGCCTTTTTGGTGGTGGATGGGAAAAGGTGGATGTTTTTGGGCGGCTTCCACTCGGTGGAGAGGGAAAAGAGGAGGAGGAGGGAAGGGAGGAGTGCGGGAGAGGGATAGAAAAGAAGGACGAGCCAGGCGCTAGCTAAATGGGCAAGCTAGACAAGCATCCGACCTTTTTCTGTTCGCTCGCCTTTTACCAAGGATCAGGTTAGGGATGGACGGTACGGTAGCAAAGGTGGAGTCGGCCGCGAGAGTCAGGGATTGGAAAATGGGGAAGCAGAAGAGCTGCAGAAAGGAAGAAACAGATCATATGGGCCGTGCTCCTCCTTTTCGTTGCTCTCTCTCACTCTCTCTGGCTCTCTGCCTCTCTCTCTCTCGCGAGTACCTGCGGAGTACCTGTCTCTGGCCATGGGCGGCTTGCATGGGCCACAGCGCTAGCCCTGGGGGTGGGAGGGGGGGCGTACCAGAGACTAGGGACAAGGTGGGTTAGTGTTTCGTCGGTGCCATCTCTTACGAGTTTCTCCCCCCTTGTCAGAGGAGGAGGTCAAAGGCCGGTGGCCAGAGGTGCGGAATGGTTTCCAGCGTGCCAGTCAGTGCCTCATTCTCTTCCCGACAGCTTCAACGTGCATGCACACATTGCACAGCGACATACCAGAGGTGTGGGTGGGCAGGTGGGTGGGCAGAAGAACCGCTCGACGGAGTGTCTTTCTTTTCTTTTGTTCCCTCCCTTCTACTTGTACGTACAAACAAGTAGTGCTAACGTTTAGTGTTCGAATTACAAGTAGAGGCCGGCCCGGGATCATGACTCCGCACCTGCAATGGACGGGAGTGACAATGGTGCTCCCGTCCGTGAAGGAAGGATGGAAAAGGATGGAATTGGGCCCTGTTCAATCCATTCCCCAATTCCCAAACCATGCAGCAAGGGATCGCAGCAGCTTGGCTCGAGGGGATTGGAGCACGGGCTGCGTTTTCGTAAGTGCAGATGGCGGGATGCACACTATCAGACTGCACGTCCAATGAGCAGCGAGCATTGGGCCTGTGGTCCCCAAATAACACCGCCGTAGGGGGGTTTTGCACTTTGGACAATTCTGATATGTGAAATAAAACAGATTACTTGTAAAATGCCAGGTTTGGAGAGGCACAGGGGAGGCGAGATACAAGTACAAGGACTCCTCCGTAGAGAAAGAGAGACATGAGCCGAGGCATGCCTCGACGTCTGAGACCTGAATCACCAAATGATTGATCGCGCGTCCGGTTGGAGGCAGTCGCCCGCTGTGCCCTGACGAAATGTTCTCCCAATGCGGCGGTTCTTCTCCGCTTGGTGCAGCAGCCAGAATGCCAGCATGCCAGCAGGCCAGGGTGGCCAGCCCATGCAACAGTGGCGCATCAATCGCTCCACCAGCGGGCCCAATCCATTGATGCTCGTCGATACTTGGACTTGAGTGAGAGTGTCTGGGCAAGCTGGGCCAGCGAGGCAAGAGAGGTAGGCAATGGCAAGCTGCACGCACATACGGTAGCTATCCATCCCTCTGCGAGCCTCGTCGTCAAAGAAAAGAATGGACATTGGCTCTCAGGTCCCCCCCCCCAAAGACGACTCGCCCCAGTTCTACAGTACTTGTACAGAGTGGTTAGTTAGGCACTTTAGGCAGTTGGTCTGTGCCAGCCAAGCACCCACAGTCGGCTCCCCCTGCCCTTGGAATTTGCCCGCCGAACCACTCGCCTGGGTTATGCGGGGCTCGCTCGCCGTTTGGGGAGTGTCGTCCGCCTGATCCATGTCCGCTCCGACCACCTGGCCCGCCGCATTGTAGCGCCCTGGTACCTCCAGGGCACAGGGCTACCTTCTACTCGGCTCTTCTCTCTCTCTCTCTCAAGGCACACCCCCTCCCCCCGCAGATCACAGCTCCCAAAGGGCTCTTCGTCCGTGTTGTGCCACTGCTATCCAATGTCACGCCTCTATCCCGAGAGGGAATGAGAGTGTCAAAGGCTTGACCTAGCCCAAGACAATCTCCGTCTCATCCCCATCCCACCCCCCTCGACCAAACCCACCTGGGCGCGCACTGGCACCGCACCTGGGAACTGCAGTTGAACCAAGATATGCACGTAACTACAAGTACAGAGCGAGTCAAAACGCGTGGAGCGGTGTGAAATCTTGATCACCATCCTGCTCAGCCAGCCATTCGACCACCCAAGCAAGCCACCTGGGGATATTGTTACGCATCAAATTCCCACGGCGCTGCTCCATGTGGCCTAGCCTGCCGCCTCGAGCTGGGTCGGCTGCCTTTGACAGCTCAACATCGTCGGGTTAGTCCGCTAAAAGTCGGTAAAAATGACCTACCTAGGTAACTAGCATCGACACCTACGTCAGCTCTACTCCGTTACAATGGCCTTGGTCCTCGGCGAGTCGACGATGGGCGGCTGCGCGAAGCGGTGGCAGTGGTCAAATCTTGGGCGGAGTAATTGCACGAGTCAACTCACTCTGGACCCTCCTCGTCTCGTACCGTGGATATGGAGCTCATCCACCTGCAATGACTTTCAGGCGTCAACAAGGTCTGAGACACCTGTAAGAGCTAAACGACTTCTGGACAAGGCCAGTTACCATCACTGACGCCAAATGCGCGGGCGCCCAACCGCTACGCAGCAAGTCGATACACAAGTCGATCGCCAGACAGGCAAGCGGGTGCATTCTCCGGCTTGAAACAGCTTCAGAAGCTTTCGAAGTATTGCTTACAGAGCGACAGTGGGAGCGACCAAGCCAAGTGGTCTGTAATATGCTGTAGTTACCGCTTATTGCCTCTCGTCGTGGCCACTCACCTTGTGCAGACAAGTTATGTAAAACATACCTGCACCAGTGATTGGATATCTGGGATATGCGCCACCCACCCAGTGTTCACAACCGTCGCCATGGATGTGGTTGATCCCGAGATACCGGATGCTCCAGAAGCCCCACGCTGCATAAAAGGCTAAGAGCTCCTGAGAGCGGAGCGTCTACAAATCCACGCCTCTGCCGCTTGCTTTTGATTTGTTTCTCGATGTCAAGCCTGGCCGGGTGGCCTGGTCGGGCAGGAGGAAAAAGCAACTAGAACTGCACGAATATGCATGGAGGAGAACGAGAGCTCAACTTCCACAAATGGACAGTCCAGAGCGCGCCTCGTTTTCGAGCCAGTCTTGCCAGTGCCCGGGACGGACGAGCAACCGCTGACATCGACGAGAGGCGTCTCCCTCAGGCCTTCCCAGGCGCTCATACGAACAACATTCGATATGGAACGCCCTCTGTAAGGAGATGCGATGTTGCTACAGTACGGGACGCCATTGTGGGTGCGGACAGCGCAAAACGGCAATCAACTCCTCACGTTCCGTCCGTCGATGGCGCCATCACTTGCCAGCACGACTGCATTGGCTGCGTCACAATGCTGCGGCCCTGCAGCGGCATGTTTCCGTCTTGACCCGTCCGTACTGAGTGGCATCCACTGCCGGCGGATGAACACTCTCGCGCGCGCACACACACATGCCCACACAACGCAGCACACACCCTGGCCGCCGAGCCTTTTCAACGGAGTACGGAGTACTGTACTTGCAAGAACCGGCCGATTGCTTCCTTGCGTAGCGGAGTCGAGAGCAGACGTGTGGGTGACAGTTGTCGATGCGGTGTTACAGGGGGGGCAGTCAACGGTATCTTCCCCAGCAAGTGAGAGGTCGAGGATGTTCCCGGTTGATTGGGAACGCACCCCAAGAGGGGGTCCCTCCTTCGTGGGTCAGTCATCGCCACGGGGGGGAAGGTCACAGACGGCGGGCGAGCGATGCACGAGGAACCGGATTTGCTTCGGAGCAACACCCAAGCCCGATATTAAACGCCCAATCAATGTCGACGAATGCTTGCATATGCGAGACCCGTTGATGCGACCTTCTGCTTTTTTCCCCTTCTTCTTCTTTTCCTCGCTGTGCACACACATACGAGATCATGAAGTCGCCCCGGCCATCCCGTCTGCCGGTGGTGGCCCCGGCTTGCGCTTGCTGCGTTATTTTCCCTCGATGCTTTTGTCTGACCCGGCCCGTGAGGGTTCTGGTCGGCTGTCAGTTCTCACGGGAGCTTGCGAGATTAACTTCCCTTGCCTCGTGCTGGGTGTCCTGCCCGCTATGTGACATGCATTACGTTACGGCCTCGGTGTCCCGGGTTTTTTGTTTCCCATCATGTGTCGCCAGCCCCTTTGGCACGGGCAGCCCGAAGGACGATCCTGTTCGCCCGGTGGCGGGGCAGCCTTTCTGCCAAACCTCGATGGCGCAGACGATGAGTCTAGTCGACCTGCCTGCAAACGCAATGTGCGCATTGCCTACTACTTGCCAACGGCCCCCAGCAGTCCTGCATCATTTGAAGTGCGCGACCGGAGTCACGTACTGTATCCTGCCGGGTCTGTACGGATGATGCATTACTAACAACAACTGCGGTGCTACCATCCACCGAGTTTTGATTCTCCGTGTCATTGCCTGGAAGGAGAACACATACATACATACATACGGTCGGAGGGAGAGGAGGGGGGGCCATTTCGGCCGGCCGCGTGGGGTTGTGGTCTTGTAGGAATCTGGCCAGACTTATGTCACGCTGCATAAATTGCCCGGGCCAGGTCTTTTTGTTTGCTTCTGTCGTGCCGGCCCCGCGATACTGGGTCAGAAAGGGCACGCACGGTAGGTTTACAAGTCGGGTCGCTCGATGGTGGTGTGAGACCGCTCTCGCACCGCCTTTTGACGATGAATGCTTCCAACAAGCTGGGCAGCTGGTGTTTTGTCCTGTACCTCAGTGTTGTGCGTGATCACGACAAGTGCACCCTTTTCCCAGACGCTGTGATACGCGGTGTGATGACGGCACATAACGTCTCGCAACCCGGCGCAACCCCCTGCCCGGGACCCTGAACCGTTATGTGTCAGGGCTCTCTCACGGCAGCCCTTTTTTTTTTATTTCCCGGGGGGGTAGGGGGTAGCAACCGAGTTGTCTTGGCCGGGCACATGTCGCTACCCGTACCCGCCTCGTACAGTCGTTTATTGCACTTGTAACCTTTTCACATGAAAGCGACTGCAACATCGGCGGAACCCATGAGGATGGTGACCAGTTTTACGGAGTAGTCTTGCAAGATCTGGGTTTCCCATCTGGCAAGCCTGGGCGTGTGTGCCTACTTGTACAAGTAGATATCCCGCCTCTGGCAGCAGGAATCAAGGGGGGGCCATCTCGGCGGGACAACTGCATGGGATGTCACTGTAACCCTGGTTGGTAAGGCATGACAGCAACGGGCTGATCAGCGCAGGATTCTGGCCACTTGAACAATCGTAGCTGGGCGATCGGTATGCATGTCAACGGCGCCACAGCGTCGTAGCCGTCGTCGGTGACGATGATATTGAATCGTAGCTGCTTTTAATGCCATCTGGTTCTGCAATAGTACAGCTAGTAATTAATCATATCGAAAGTAGGCAGGATTGAGAGATTACGAAGACACAACTTGCAAGTTGTGCTGCGAAAACAGCTCAATAGTGTTTCCTCCGCGTCCCGCTCTTCCAAGCACTAAGGGCATGCATTGCTCCCATGCGGGTTTCTTTCCAAGAGTTGACACATCACATTGCGTCCCCAATCTTTTGCGCCGCATGGCACGCGAATTGGGCTTCTCTCTAGCTTCGGAGGTGGAGCAGAGAAAGAATTGGCGAGGCTTTTTGGGTCGGCCATCCGTGGAGAGAGAATATCAGACGGAGATGGCTAGGCTTTGCTTCTTTGCCTTCCAAGCCTTCAATTCCTGTTGGCGCAAGCCCCATCCGTCCCTGTCCAACGGCCCGAGGCGGGGGCGGCAGCGGGGCGGCCGCGGAGTGGAGATATGGGATACCTATGCGCAAGTATTGTATCGTACTAGGCCTGCGACGGAAATGTTTGCCCACTACGTCGTTCGTCCAAGAAATAACTACAACAAGCTTGAGACTGGAACTTTTTGCCCATCGTCCCTTGCGTCCTTGGACCTACAAGTACTTGTGGAGGATCGAGGGTTATCTGACCCACTGCAATCCGCTGGCTCTGAGAAGTCAAGATAACTATCGACGGATGCCCCCCGTATCAGTGGGGAGAGAAGAGGGGAGGGGGCTAATTTGCCCCAGCTCCTCATGCAACGTCGAACGGCCGAGCTTCTCTTTGCACCATGGGCAGTGCCACCCCTGGAGGTGATCCCGTCAGGGAATGCAGGCCGGACTGCACTGGCGCGACTGGGTATGTGCTTCGTACCTCCGGGATGGATCCTCGCGCCAGATAGCCCTTGAAAGAGATGGAGAACAGGCCTGTGCCGTGGCCTGTAACTTGTTTGTATTTGGCTACCGAGGTTCCCTCTTTGCACTTACTTGTATTTTCCCAATGCCTCGATCCCAGATCCTGGACCGGCAAGGGTGATAGGAGGCATGGGCCATGCACTACCAGGCAAAAGGAAAATAACCCCTTCTTCATCTCACGGCAGTCTTCCGGTTCGATCGCGGGAAGGGACCCGGGATCACAACAACCGTGCTAAAAAATCCCCCCAAATTCGCGAGCATCTCAGCGATCTCCAGGGCGGGCCATCCCGCGTCGTCGTTCGCTGCCGAGCCTCCCGCTGTTGGCACACTACCGTCCCGAGGCCATCTCGCACCAGATGCGTCCCCAACAAGTACCTATGCTGTAGCGACCTTTTTGCCATGGGAGCAAATGCTCCATATCTGCAACGCAAAAACTTGGTTTCTCGTTTTGAAGTTTCAAGCAGAGGAAAACTCGAACCATCTGCCGGACGACGGGGGGCACCCTTGCGGCGGGCTGAGGTTCCGTACGGGCGAGGCGAAGTAGTAGTTGCTGCATTGCCACGGATTACCACTCTACGAAAACCGCTGTAAATAACACGCACCACGTTCGGTCTTAGGACTTAACGTTCATATAGGCAAAAATGGTCTCAAAACATCTTGGGCCGGCATGTTCGGTGATTTGATGCCTCGACTTGTAGTACGATACTCTCCATCTCAGCTTCGCGCAAACTAGGTACCTAGGTATTATACCTAGGACCTTGATTCGACGGTTGGGCAAGGCTGTCCAGAGCCCAGCATTACAGACGTGTTGGGCGAGTGCGCGCAGACTCGACCGAGGTAGCTGACTTGCTTTGCATCCCAAGAGTTTCCAATTGCCTCGCTCTTAAAAAGTCATGTTGATTTTTTTGCTGCTTGACAGCTCGACTTGTCAGCGATCCACGAAAGCAGGTTAAGTTGGCTGCTCCGTAGGTAGCAGAAAGAGGGCAGAACCCTATTTGAAAGACTCTACATCAAAAACTTGGCCAGCCCACGCTTCCATTTTCGCCGTGTCTCAATTGCTTGTTGATGATATCCAAGTTCGCATACCTCATTGCAGATTGCGGTGAACAACTCACTCGCCTGGCAATGCCGAATGGAGCTCAGCTCACAGCTACAGAGAGGCAAGAATAGCATGGGCAAAGGCTCGAAGCTGCACTGAAACAGAGTCCAGAGTAGGTGTGTATTTCCCTATAGGTAGGAGAAAGATGGGTGCTTCCTCATCGCATCATCTATACACAGAACCCAGTCAGCCAGTCTCAGTCTGGTGTTGGTGGCTCGAAGTCGTGCTGACCGAGTTTGGCAGTGCGGGCTTCACCGCGTAGGGTGCCCACTAGAAAGTGTTTATGTCAGCAACCTCCTCTGAATCGGCCAACAACCATGGCTTATCGCGAAAATCCCGTCGCCAAATTTCAACGTCATCCCCTTTCGACGCCTCGCTTCAACCACCGATTCGCATCGCCGCACTCTCGCAACGCTCACCGCTCCTCGCTCTCGTCCGAAACTTCATCCAAGGCTGTGCAAGGACCTTTCGCACAGTCAAACACGCCATCTTCCCAGCTTCCACGTCCTCCTTGATGCAACTAGAGCCCTCTGAGCATTCCACACAGCTTTCACAGTCCGGCACTCTCTCGATCCCCTCTCCCACATCCCAACATGGCTTACAGCACCATCAGCAGCCCCTCCATGGAGCTGGCTCTGCTTCAGGCAGTCGGAGCGCAACGCCGACCGTCGTCGCCGTCGATCCAGACGCGTCTCCCGACGCGACCAACTCCGACGGGCCTCAACTGGCGGGCCTGGGTGGATTGAACATTGACAATGAGCCCGGCGCTTCTCAACAGGCTCCTGCCTTTGCAGGCCAGCGCATTGCCGAATACGAGAGAGCCATGACGCCATCTACACCCAAACATCCTTCGGGGTTCACTGTCACCAAACGCGTCGGATCTCCTTCCGAAGGCGTACAATTGACAGACTTTCCCAATGGTGGGCACGCGTCATTGGACTTTATTCGAGTCCCAAGGCTAACCTAATCATCTCTGGTAGAAATATTGACGCATGTCATCTCGCATCTGCATCCAGATCTCCAGTCTGTTGTTGCCCTCGTCTCCAAGCGATTCTATGCGCTGGTCACCGAGCCCCATGCTTGGCGCATGGCATTCACGCGCTTCTTCCCCGGGCGCGAGTCTGTCTTTCCTACGAAGAAAGCAGATGTGACTCTGCGCGATGCCGACGAGCACAATGCCGTACGATCAGAAACTCGCGAGTTCACACGTCTGACCGCACTTGCCAGTTGGCGCAGCGAATATCTGTTGCGAAATCGCCTACTCAGGGGCGCAGCTCGAGGGAAGCCCGGTGCTACTTCTGGCATCGGGTCAGCGTCTCGCTCAAGCAGCAGCAAGAAGGCCGCTGCTGTCCTGACCTACAATTCGAAGCTGCCTTGGATGATTACCAACGTGCACGCCGTTTTCTCCAATGGCAAGAAGCCGCCCCGCGTCACCCATGGTGCCGCAGATCTCTGTGTCGTTACCTCGAGCGATCCGACAAGTGGCAAGGTCGAGAAGACGGGCCTGGACGATCCTTTCTCCTTCGCGCAATTGGACGAGATGTTTCCGTCTCTCGACCCGTATGGCGTTGGCGAAGGGCCGGCCGCAGTGCGGAATGTAATGGATGTCAGCCAATCGTATGGCACCGTTGGTGGTGAGGGCTTCCCTGGTGGGAGAGCCTTCTTTCGACCTGCAGGAAAGCCTCGCGGCTTTTATCTTGGCGCACAGGACAATGCCATCGTTGACCAGAGCCCGGAGATCCCCAAGATTCCAGAGCTCTCTGACGCCATTTCGTGTGTCTGGATCGCCAAATCTTCGGTCGTGCCGTCCATAACTCAATCAATGGTCGGCATCATGACTGGCTCCACACTCGGCGTCATCACGACGTATGCTCTTGGCTCTGATTCCACTGGTCCCCGTTTCACCAACGGCGATATCACGGCCCGATGGGTTGTTAGCCCTGGTGTTCCAATCATCGCTCTCAAGGTAGATGATAACTACAGTCTGAGGAGAAGAGCCGTCGGCCGAGTCTTTGCTGTTGCGCTCAATGCTCTTGGAGAAGTCTACTACCTGACTGACACTCCCAAACCCTTGATGGCAACGAAAGTCAAAGGCCAGGACCCCACCAGAACGGCCTGGTATGCTGGCCGTTCTGTATATTGGGATCTAGTGGAGCCGACTCGCCGCACCGCACGCCCGGATGATCTGGACAAGAATGCCATTCGGGGCGCCTACTCGCCCAGGTCCCCTTCCGATGCCATGGATTTGAGTACGGAGCAGCTTGTTGCTGAGGCAAAGGAGATCGAAAAGTTCCTGCGCTATAAGCCTTCTCACTTCAGAAGAGTCTGCATAGGCTGGGACATGCGCCGAAGGCTTGAGGTCGACTTCGGCGGATGTGATGAGTTCTCTGCAGGTGAAGGCATATTCGTCATCGACTGTGGCTTGGAGGAAGCTGTTCCCCCCAAGGTTACGAGATACACGCGGAGGCTCGCCAATCCGCAGACCGATGCACCAGAGGGAGCCTCATCTGATCTTGGCCAGCAGGTTAGCTCCCTCTTTGGCGGCGGCAGAGATCGCCATGAGGAGGTGGGCACAGAGCGTATGAGGTCCGGCTTGGCCACTCCTGTATGGCCCCGGGCAGAGTCTCAAGGAAACCCCCCCTCGGCTCTGATGGACTGGGGTATCTCGACTTGTTCATTCAAATGCCCACGGCTCACGGAGATCACCGCGAGCGCCATGGACAACTCCCTCTATGCTGTCCTGACCTCCTTTGAAGACCCACTGCAGACGGGACCGGCACAGACAAGCGGCACTGCAACTCCCATCCTTCCCAAGGCCCCTTCAGCGGAGATCCCCGGCAGGAGGGCTCGGCTGATCGCAATCGGGACCGACACTGGCGCAGTTTTTGTTTGGAATGCGCGTGATAACAGCACCGGCGAAGTTGAGCCGCTTCGAGTCATCCAGACTGAATCTCCAGAGGTATCGTGCCTGGCCTTGTCAGCTTTGTATCTTGTCCACGGCGGAAGTGATGGACTCGTCCAGGCTTGGGATCCTCTGGCTTCCACCACTGATGCGATTCGCACGCTGAACTCGCGATCGTCGGGTCGGATTCCTCGGCATGTCATCAATGCCAATCCTACTCTCCGTCAGGCGGACTATTCATCAGTCGGGGCCATCGTCCTCGATCCAGACCCGACAGTGCTCCGCGGAGTGGTCGCATTCGGCATCTTTCTTCGGTACTGGAGCTACAGCGCCGCCACTCAGCCCGCCGGGCGCAAGCGCAGACTGCGTCACGCGGACATACACGGTCGCCTCGTGAGCCGGCGCCACGGCGGCGGAGTCTTGGGCTACATCGCCGCCGAGGAGGCGGAACTCCGCCACGAGCAGGAGCGTCGCAAACGCGAGGACGACCGGCTGCGCAACCGTTTCGGGGTCGGCCTGGGCGATCTCACCGAAGAGGAAGCCATCAGGTATGCCCAGATGATCTCTGAAGAGTCTCTGCTGCTGGACGAGCAGCGCCGCCTCAGTGCCAGTGACACGGGCTCCGCTGCCGACACGGGCGAGACCGCCTCGTCCACCGGCAGTGCCGGGTCGACCGACACCGTCACGCCCGAGCCAAGCCTCTCCGGACTCAGCGGCTCTGGTGCGGGCCCCTCCAGGGCTGCCTTCACCCCGCCCGTCCAGGAAGAGACCGACGACGACTACGAGCTCCAGATCCAGCAGGCGCTCCGCCTCTCGCTGCTCGAGGGCGTCAACGACGCGGGCCAGTCTCCGCGGGGCAGCAACAACAACAACAGCTCGGGCGAGTACGAGTTCTCGGTCAGGTACAAGCCGAGCAAGAAGGACAAGGGCAAGAGATCCCCCCCGCCAGTGGGCAGCTCGCCCCCAGGCAGCCGCCGGTCGCACGCGTCTGCCGTCGTTCAGGATGCCGCTCCTCCTTCTGCTCCTCCCGTCGGCCCCACGGGCAGCCTGGATCCGGACGACGAGCTGGAGCTCGCGCTGCGCTTGAGCCTGCAGGAGGAGGAAGAGCGCCAGTCCCGTGTCAAGGCCCTCGGTCTCGGCTTGCAGGAGGACGAGTTCCCGGACTTGGAGGTCAGGGGCAAAGGCAAGGGGAGGCAGCTTTGATTGCGTGTTGTTTGTTGTTTCAAGCAGTTTGTTGTTGTGTATATGGTTTATGTTACAATTCGATCGTGGTCCTTTTTTTGCCCTTCTCAAGGTCGTCCCTCTGGGCGATCATAATAGATGCCGTCTTCGTCGAGGGCATTATTTAGAAGGTCTAGCTAGCAGCATTTGACAGTTTTTTATTTATTTGTTTTGCTAACTACCATTCTCAGTCCAAATCAATCAATCAAGTGATCCTGCCACAGTTGTTCAAAGTTAAACGGACAAACTTTGACTTCCAATCTTCTCGTTATAGCAAAAGTGGAAGAAAACGTTTTTGTCTATGCATTCATTTCGCCGCTCATCAAAAGCCTAGGAAGATATAGTTGCTATAGGACAAAAACAACAACAAGAAGATACAAATTTCTGTCGTCATAAAAAAAATGAAAGAAGACCAAGGACAGGAACTCCACCCACACCTGAACCCATGCAACATCTCCAAGACTTCTTCTTTCCAGGCCTCCTTCCTGTTGGATGGTAAAGTCCCGATCACATATGCCCCCTCCCCACCCCCCACCTCCCCCCTCCCTGCTAGGCCGCCCTTTGTCCCCTGCTTGACTTGGGTAGGTTCTCGCGAGCCCCATCCATCCCGTCTAGTCTTGCTTCTCTCTATGGAAAACTCTAACGAGGGTAGGGTGGGTGGATGTGGATGTGGATGTGGATGTATAGGGGCACAAGGACAGACAAAAGAAAGGTAGGTAGGTAGGTTAGTTTCGGATCATCGGTCATACACACACACACACTCAGCCGTGATACCGATCCGGCGGCCCCGTCCGCTTGGACAGTTTCTTCCGCTGCTGCTGCTGCTGCTGATGCTGCGGTACGGGGATCATGGTCGTCGGTCCCGCGTGCGGAAGCGCGGCAGCATTAGCACCAGGCAGTCCGCCGCCGCCGCCGCCGCCGCCGCCGCCGCCGCCGCCGCCGCCGCCGCTCGGACCCGTTGTGGTGGTGGCCCCGCCGCCGTCGCCCTACGACTTTTGGAAGAACCAGCTCGACCGCTTGTTCTCGCCCGACTGCGACTGCAGGTTGGCGATGGCCGGGTTGGCGGCGCCCTGCTCCGGGGCCGCGGCGGCGCCGCCTCCGCGCAGGGGCTTGGCGATGCGGCTGCCGGCGTTGGCGAAGCTGAAGCCGCCGAGGCCGGTGGGCGAGCTGAGGCCGCGCGTGCTGCCGGCCTTGGCGGCCTCGAGGCGCTCCTTGACGGCAGCGAGCTGGACCTCGAACCTGCAGGGCACGTGTGTGCCATTGGTTAGTAAAAACAAAAGGCCCCCTTTTTTTTTTTTTTTTGCCAATCTGGAGGGAAAAGGGGAAGGGGAAGGGGAAGGGGAAAAGGAGATAACATACTTGTGGTTGGCCTGGGCCATCTTCTCCTGGCTGTCCTGGAGCAGGCTCTCGAGGCTCTGGATGCGCTCGTTGCGCGCGATGAGCTTGCGCTCGGCGATGGCGACCTCCTTCTTCAGGGAGCCGTTCTGCTCGACGAGCTGGCGCTGGACGTGCGTCAGCTGCTCGAGGTTGCGCTCGAGGAAGGCCATCTTCTTCTGCTGGGCGCGGTTGTTGCTCGAGCGCAGCACGTTGTTGTACTGCTCGCGCGTCTCGTCGAGCGAGATCTCGAGCTCGACGACGCGCTCGCACCGGTTCTGCAGGTCGCGCATCAGGCTCTTCTTCATGACGTCAAACTCGGCCATCTGCTGGGCCACCGTCTTGCCGTTGGCCATGGGCGCGCCGCTGTTGCCGGCCTTGACCTGCTGCCGCAGGTCCTCGATGAGCACCTTCATGCGCTCGTTCTCAGAGGCCCGCCGGTTGACGTCGGCCTTGAGCTCCTCGACGAGCTCCGCCTGGGTGCTCTGCTTGTCGGTGAAGGCCTTCTCGAGGCGAGCGCGGAGCTCGTCGGCGTCGGCCTCGCCGAGGTTGCGCGACAAGAGGTCCTCGTACTCCTGCTGGAGAGCCTCCAGGCGAGACTCGAGCTCCGTCCGTCTCCTCGCCTCGGACTCGCTGGATTGCGAGCTGTACAGCGAAAGCTCGGCCTGCCGGATAATGCCCTGCGTGGCGACCATCTTGGCCCGCAGGTTCTTGAGGTCTTCGGGCGGGATGGGATCACCCGTGTTGCTCATCTCGATCAACGCATCCAGCGTCTCGATGGCGTCTGCTACCGTGCGCTCATTCTCGCTGAAGACGTCGGCACCGAGGTCAAAGCCAGCCATCATCTTGGCCATCTTCTCGGCTTTCTTCTTCTCCTTCTGATCGAGCACAGCGCTGGTCTCCTTTGCGCTCATCTTGACATCCAGGAGCTGCTGCTTGACCTCGTCGAGCTCGGTGGTGAGCTCCGAGTTGGCCTCCTTCAAGGCATCCAGCGTGATCTGCGTTTCTTTGCCCTCAAAGTTGAGGCGCTCCAGCTGCATCTTGAACTCGTTGGACTCGCTGGTCAGCCTCTCGTTGTCCTTGCCTAGCCTGCTGTCGTGCTCCTTGAGCACCGTCAGCTCCTCCTTGACCTCTTGGAGCTGCCTCTCGGCCGCCGCGGCCTGCGACTCCTTCTCGGCAAGCTGATCTTGAAGCTCATTCTCCCGCCGTAGGAACTCTTCCCTTTCGTCCTTGTCCAATGGAAGAGATGGTGTGCCAGCACGCTCTGAAATGGCAGGTGTCTCTGATCTGCTCTCTGGGACAAGGCGCGACGGTGTCGAGGGCCGTGGAGGTGCAGGTTTGGTAGCTGCATCGGCGGATAGCGGCGGAACCCAGCGGTCCTTCGGAACAGTGTCGCCCGCGCGCCACTGCTGAACCTCGCCCTCGAGGTTGACGATATAGTTCTCAAAGTTGGTGATCTGGGTCCTGGCCTTCCCAAGCAAGGACTTGAGCTCGCTGGGGCTGAGCTCGGCGTTGACTTTGGCCTTGTTCTTGATCGACTTGGCTCGCATGCCGAAACGGAGCGTGCTGAGGGTCTCGGCATCGTTGTAGGAGCTGGGAGAGCAGTTGATGATCAGAGTGGTCCGACTGTTGCCACCTAATGACTCTTGCAGGATACGCGTGAGCTTCGAGTCACGGTAAGGGATGTGCGATGATCGACCGTCGGTGAGGGCGTTGATGACCATGCCGAGGGCACTCAAACTCTTGTTGATCTTCTTGGCTTCCTCGAGCGTCTGTCCGCTCGCGCCAGTCTTGCCCACCTTCTCGCTGCCGGCCAAATCGACCAGGAAGAGCTGACCGCTCTTGGCCGAGCCGGTCTCGACGTTCTTTTGCGTGATGGTGATGACAAAGATGGAATGCGACCGCGAGGATTCCTGGTTCATGTTGGTCGCGGCGACCGCCCTCGCGTTGCCGCCTCTCCTCATCACCTCAAAGACCTCCTGGACGCTGGAGACGTAGACCTCGAGCAGGCCCTTGACGTAGACGCCGCGGTTCTTCTCCTCGTGGACGGGCAGGTTGTCGTTCTGCGGCACGAGCAGGTCGCGGATGCGCTCCATGTAGATCTCCATGTAGCTGACGCGCACGGTGTACTCGATGGTGCCGGGGCTGGACATGATGCTGGCAAAGATCTGCTCGACAATGCGGGGGATGACGCCGCGGCCCTCGTCGTCGTCTATGCTGGTGCCCATCATGGTGTACGACTTTCCGGCGCCGGTCTGGCCGTAGGCGAACACGGTGCCATTGTACCCGTTGAGGATGTCGTCGACGGTGGGCTTGATGGAGAAGTCGAAGATGTCGGCTTGCTTGCATGACATGTCAAAGACGCGGTCGAAGGTGAAGGAGCCCTGGGCCTCCTTGGACTAGCAAAGTACGTTGGCGGTCAGCATATCAACAACTGGTCTCTTCCGGGAAAGCTACGGGGTTGCCCCCCCCCCCCCCCCCCGGCTCCCTTCTCGATTTTCATAACATACGTCGACTGTACAGGTATCATTTCCCTCAAAGGAGACGATCGGCTGGCCGCCCGAGTCCAACTCGACCCTGTTCTGGGGCCGGAACCGGGCGACGACCTTGATGCTGTTGGCGCTCGACATGGCGGGCGCCCTCGACGACCGGTGCGCCTAGAAGCTGGGATATCAAAAGGGCTCGCTCGGGGAGGTAGAGCCTGTCACGAACAGCAGCGCAGAGGAGGTTGTGGCCCTTGGTGCTCGCAGTGCTGCTCTCTGGAGGCGGATTTGGGTGGTTCTTGTTTGAGAAACTGGCGACACGGCGGCCGAGGTGCGTGCGTGCGTGCCCCCTGGGCGGGTGGTACTGCGAAGATAAGCGATCGACCCTGACCCACCAACGGCAGGGGGGGAACTCTGGGACTCTTTGCTGTACTGCCTAACACCGGCTGTTCCAAGCCTTTCTCGAACAAAGAAAACAGAAAAAAGAAGCAAGATTTCGCGCGGGGAAGAAGAAAACCCGAGAGTTCGTTGATGAGGATGATGGAGCGACCCCAGGAAACAGCGTTGCGCTGGTGGGTAGGGAGGCCGTATGCAGTCGAGGAACAACAACAGGCTTGAAGGCCTCGAGAGACCACCGAACCCTTCCTTCAATGCCTTTCTATTCGCTGGAGGTGAGCGCTGGGCAGAGAGCCCCGGCCGCTACAGAAATGCGACGGGTACCCGAGTAACGCCACTAAAAACAGGGACCAAGTGTTGACTTACAAGTACACACTCCCTACAGGCTTAGTGCACGGCTCCAGTGCGTGCTTGTACATACGGTGGTCGTGACGCGCCACGAGTAGCGCGCTGTTTCGCGTGTAGGAGTCATCCATGGACGGACAGAATCTGTCACCACTTGTACTCTGTGTGGAGTCATCCATGCTCATTTCTTACGAACCCCCCCTAGCCAAGGCCAACATTACACAATGCTGCAAGCGGGGACCAAAGACTGTGTTCCGTTTGATGGTACTACTGCCACGGGTAAATAGCGAATGAAGGCTTTGTCAGAGAGTCTGGCAGCCAATTTCTGAAGAGATGGGAGTCAATGCATGGCATCATAGGTACCAAGCAAGCCTTCCTTCGATACTAGGACCGTTAAGTTTGCTCCATCAATAGTCAGAAAGTAAATACCTACTTCATGAAAAAACTGCAAGTAGTTATCTACAAATATCACATGCCCTGCTGAGGTAATCGCATTTGAAAACTTCACGTCGATTGATCCATCTAGATGCAGTTGCATATATTTCTTGTATATAAAATAGATCAAGGCCAGTAGTCGCCCATGCTGGCACGGCTGTCAAAGTCTGCCAGCCTTCACTGTCGTAACACACCTCTCGCGAAACCTAGATAGTAATTCCAAGCGCTTGCTTCCTCTCATAAGAACGCCAAAGGATCAACAAAGCAAAGGTCTCGATATCCCGTGGTTTCCCCGACCAAAGACTAATCATGTAGCATCCACAAAACGCCCTTTTCCCCCATCGCTCTAACCAATGGATATATATAGATAATCGCCGGAAAAAAACAAAAACAAAAGCATGTGTAGAACAAAGAGGTATGCCATGCCCAAAGGCAGTATCGCAAATTCGATCTAAGAAGAGCGCTCGGATGGAGAGGATTCTGAAGAGAAGGCAGCAGCAGGGGATGCCGCACGATCAAGTCGGGTGCGGCTCCCTAGATATGTCACCTGTCTTCTTCCCAACTGTACCGCCGGTGAGCAAGCTGTGGCACGTGGATGAGTTCTGAACCGGTATCAATCCGCCCAGCCCCGTTTGCAGCTTCTGTGCTGCCCTCCTGGGCACGGGTGCCTGTTTGAGCTGTGGCCTCCCCTCCATGAACATGATTCTCTTCGTCCACAGTGAAATCACTGCCCAGGGTGTCTGTCGACCTCCGCGTGGGTGATGTCGGGGATGGCTCAGAAGGCTCGTCGCTCCTGTTCGCCAAGTTGATGTGATCGCCATCCGTGTCCACGCGGCGTGGTGTCGAGGGGACAGATGACTGATGCTGCGGGAGCTGGACATTCTCCGGGAGAGGTCCGAGGCATATGACCCGGCTTGGGTCGATCGGTGTCCTTTGATAAACGGGGGAGGGCGGGACAGGTACCGTGTTCGTACCGTCCTTCGACGACGTCGAGCCGCTTGTTGAAGACGGGTCATGGCTCCGCGGGGACAATGGGGAAGGTGGTCCACGGCCTGAGTATGTAGAGCTGGGGTCGGAATTACTGCCAGGAGGGAACGAGGGCGAGAGACCTGGAGGCGCCACCGTCATGGGCGATGGCAAGTCAAAGCGGTTCGTCCAGTCCCCACGGGGCGTCATGGGCGACGGAAGAGTGTTTGGTAAGGATGTGTTGTGGCCGTCCGAATGCGATGATACCGGCGAAGCATCTTCTCCTGGCCGATAGTGAGGAACAGGGCTCACATCCTGCTCCGTCTTCTCGTCGGAATGGGTATGCTCTTGCGTCGTCGCTGTATAAGTCGGGACTGGACCCTGGAGTTGCCTGAACATCTTGCGCCGGGCAATTTCGTACGGACTCAGGTTCTCGGACCCTTCGGTCCCTAGCTCCGTAGTGTCGTCGCCGAAGCCAGCATCATTCGAGCTGTCCAATTCGACTGGTTCAGGAGGCACGGCAAGCTCGTGGATCTGGTGCGACGCATCGGCACCAACCTCGACTGGCTGGTCTCTATCCCCAGACACCTCATGGGCGACTGGTTTCCTCGACTTCTTCCGCTTGATAATAAAGGAGAAGATCCGCTCGAGGGGGCTGCTCGGCGTGTCTGATCCGACGGAAGACTCGGCATCCTTGCTCTCATCTCCACTGTGCGATGATGTACTCCTCTTCGCATCTCTCTTTCGTTTCCTCAAGCAGCACCAAAGAATGAGACCTATCGCACTTCCCGTCACAAAGGCTGCTACCACAATGCCGGCCGTGGCCCCTTTTGACAATCCACCTCCCTGGTCGGATGGCCCCGTATAGGCCGGGAATGGACTATTGGGGCTCCTTTCTATATCAATAACGCTCATGTTGGTTCGCGCATTGTTCGGGAAGAGGGCCTGATGCAACGAGAACACCTGCTCGTCATATTTTGTTATGATATAGGCCTCCTGCATGAAGGCGCGCCCGATGACAGCCTGGCCCCCATTCGTCTGGCTGTTGGCACGCCGTAAGGGGAAGTAGGCAACGCGAGGATCGCCGTATTTGATGAGAGAGTTGAAGGGATAGCCCAGAGCAAGAGCAAATGCCTTTGACGAGATGGTAATGTTGACTACTCCGGCAGTGTCCCAGGGCGTTCCGAAGTTATCCATGTTGTCAATGCTCGACAAGACAAATGTCAGCGAGAGGGAGGTGGTCCCAGTCAAGAAGTCATTATACGTTTTGTCGTTCTTGAATGTGTACAAGCCAAAGGATTCATTCCAAGTCAGCCCGAGACTGTTGGCGAAGCGGTCGCAAATGAGGCCGGGAAGCCACAAGTACGGAGTTGAAGTATCAATTGTCGCCGTGATGGACTCGTTCATGTTGAGCAGCGTCTGAGACGTAGAAGGCCACTTGGTAGGCGCATTGTCGATTGCCGGAACGCTAGCGATAATGCCGCGGATCAACGCCTGCGGGATGCGTGTCGTTGGGGCCATGCTGAATGTAGTGCTTTGTGGCACAAAACGGTTGGCATCGTAGCCGCCCAGAACAAGGGAGGCGGGCGTGCCTTTGTCGCCGACTGAAATGAGAAGACAGTCAGCAAGAGTAGACAGGAATGGAAGAAACGAAAACGGTGCTGCTCTACTCACCATACTGTGCCCCAGCGGTATAGCCGTAGCTGTGGCTTGGAATTTCACCATAGGACTCGGCGAGCTGGGAGATGAGGGGGTTGACAACCTTGGCGCCAAAGCTTCCTTGCGTTGCGCCGACACCGATGAATCCCGTGTAGAAGCTGGTATCGTTGATGGCAGCAACGAGGGCGCTATCGACCATGAGCGTCTTGCCAGTTCCGTCAACCTGGTTGTTGAACGCGAGAGCCTCCATGCCGTAATCGCCATTGCCTCCCATGGCCAGATCTGGCAGTCCAAGCTCCCAAGTCCCGAGGGACTGCCAGCTGTTTGACGTGTAAATGTTGAACGTGCCACCTCTGGCTGCGGTGCAGAGCGGACCTAAAACATCCGTCAGCATTCTTGCACACATTCACACAAGGGAACCCGTCTCGGCGCGCCGGCTCGGCCAGGGATGGGAAAGCACTCACTGGCGCTGCAACCAGTGTTCTCGATGATCCATACTTCGGACAGAGCGGTGCTGACGGTGAGGGAAAGTGTCTGGATGGTGTTCGTGCCCACCTGGACGTCGAAAGTCGACCAAGAACCGTCGATTCCGAGCCTGGGAAAAGCCGTCAGTCAAGAGATCCCGCGCACGGCGAAATCGAGTGGTTTAACGCGCGTGCATACCAGTTGGGACCCGCGACGAGGGGAAAAGCACTCGCAGCATCGGCAAGAATCGGCGCTTTTTGGAGGACGTCGCCCAAGATGGCGACCATCAACAGAGTCCTCCGCATTTTGTCGATTTGGCTGGTCACCGGCCGGGCTTTTGCCTTCAAATACTGGGGCGCGCGTTCATCGGAAGGGACTCGTCAGGACATTCGTCGGCGAGCCGGAAAAGCGTCCATTCGAAGCGGTCGTCACTCGCGGCGGTGAAGTACGACGAATTGGGGCGTGCGGTGGTGGCCTTTGTTTTCTGCTCGAGGTTGCGGATGGAGGCAAGGACGTCGTCGACCCGAGGGGGTCGAGAACAGGCAATAAGCGGCCGGCTCTCATAAGATTTCAGGGAGGGGGGAGCGGTGCTCACGCTCGTGCCATGGATTGGGAAGATTAGCGGCGATCGACAGATTGGGGGGAGGCGTGCCAGGGGCGGGACTGGCTGTACACTCTCACTCTGGCTGGACTGGGCTTCTCTCCCACACGTACAAGTAGCTTTCACAGCGGGGCCAGTTTTCCCTAAGCGGCGACGCCGTCTTTCTTGGCAAATTCTGTACAGTGCCTGGGGAGGCTTTTGCCGGAACGCTTGTTTCTTCACTGATTGTTTAGTGCTGTAAGTCGTCGACTCGCGCGGAGACACAAACACAAACATGATTGACCAGCAATTGGCCTCTCATTGTGTTTGTCCAGCGTATCGTGTTGGTGCTAGAGATCTAATCTACCTACCTAGGTAGGTACGGACTAACTTAGGTAGTCGCAGGTAAGGAGAGGAACTCGATCTATCAGGATCTGGATTCGTCGACTACTGTGGTGATTTCAACTATGACCACTATGCTTCAGGCCATTCCATTTCGATGCAAGGGTCGCACCTCCAGGGCAGACAGAGAGACACGAGGCTTGGTTCCATCCAGAAGCCGCAGGGCCCGGAAGTAGTTCATGTACCCAATCCCAATGCAGGGGAGATGCTCCCGGAATACCTGTATTTGGTAGGGTCGACTTCGAGGCCCTGCTGGCGCGGGCAGCTCTCCAAGTCTATCGCGAGCTTAACGGGAGCTAATCAAGCCGAGGCCATGGGCTGGATCCCCAGAGAAGTGAATAGGGTTTAGAAGGCGACACGGACGAGTCAGACCCTTGATGATTCCATCAGAATCTCGCCCCTTGACAGGGAAGCCGCTGAGATCACCAGTTCGCAAGTCCGCGGGCTGGTATTACGAGAGACTCCGCGCTTTGGTGCCTGCGCAGCAGCAATCAAATCGAATCAAATTACAAGGAGACCACGATGGAGATACATGTAATATACACGCCGTCCTTGTTACTCCACGATACCGCTGTTTGGTCGTCTTCATCGTGGTGCGACGGCTATGGCAGGACATCATACAGGAAGGGAGCAGACAGAATCCCAAGTACCCTCCTTCGAGGCACAAGCTGTTCTGGACGTGAGCAGTGTCATTATTGTACAATCCTCCTCGGCGCGCCTAGGACAATACCGAGGCAATCGCCTTTCTCTTCCGAGTTCTAATGCAGACCCCGGAAGAAAAGCTCTCTATCTCTCAGGATGGCGAGGTTCCAGATCTCCGGCACGGCCTGTTCCCGAGAGATCCAGTTCATGAGAAGGGTTGAGGAGGCCGCAAGGTATCTGAAGGGGCTACACACGTTCGTTCGATGTCCTAGCAGGTGGACTGACAGAGCCACACCAAACTCGCGGAGAAGCGTTGGCGGTAGTGACAAGGGCGGGCCCGTGTTTCTGCAGCAGATTTGGCTATGGCGACGGCGCGAATATATTGCCCTCCATGGCTTTGGCGAAACGGCCAATCATCGCTCTCGCACTGGTGGTCTGGCCTCCGACCCTTGAAGACTCCGCCGCTGAAGAGAACGAGTCTTTACCTCAACGGTGCGTGTCCGGAAGGGTGGAGGAGGGGAGGAGGGCGGCAGGGCAATATATCCCAAGTGCCCTAGAGCACTCTGGGTAAATCCAAAGAGGCAGCTATTTTGCCGGTAAAAGAAACACCTCCGCACTCGCATCTGCCTGCTTGCGTCCTATCGCCTTCGAAGACTGAGCGACTGGACCTATGATGGGCGTTCCCGTTATTGGCGGCATCCGTCTCTTCAATCGAGTGGCTGGAGCATCATGGAGATGTGTAGGGTTGTCAAAGCTCGCGACAGACCCCCCATTTGGGATGCTGCGGAATAGGGTTGCATAACGTTGCAGTGCCCTAGGTAGCAAACAACACGTGAGGCAAAAGGGGATGTAGAGACCGCAAAGCATCCGAGGCCAAATTGAAGCCCATACTCCCATATCGGCCGCTCTTTGTTGGGCGTGCTCGGGATGTGGTCCCGCGTGGTTCTCGGCAGCTAGGAATTGTCTGGAAACCCCCTTTGGATCCTACCATGCCACATGGCGTGTGAGCGCTCTCACAGCACGAACCTCCAAGGGTCTCTCTGGAGATATTTAGCGGTCTGTCCTGGCACGAATTATGGCCCGGAGGCCCGTGTAAAGCTATGAGGCTCGAGATCCTCAAAACTGTAAAGCTGTCACGCTCTGAGCCCCGGCTGTGTACGGAGTACGAGACCACCAATTTGACGATGCTCGATGCTCGTTTCCATGGCCGATCATCAAATGGAGGATCCTGCCTTGCTTTGGGCAGGTTGCGTCTTGTCGTTCGCTTGCTGGCGTGCGTGATTGGCCAGTCACCTTGGTTGTTTCCGTGTTGCCAAGGCCATTTGCTGGTTTGGCCTTTTAAGTAGGCAGTCAGATATGGCCAGAGATGCCGTGGAGGAGCTCGCCATCCATCAGCTGTCCACTTCGGACGGCAGAGCACGCAAGGGCGGCCGGGCAAGCGGGTCGAGGGCCGGCGGGTGACCCTGTACTTTTGTCAGTTCACGTCCACACACGGGCGAAGGTCCCAAGCATGACCTGCATGCCCGATCAATGTCATTTCCTTGCTTCTCTTGGGTGTGCCAAATGCCGGAGAAGCGAGTCGGTTCCCCTCCTCTGGTAAGACTTGGGTTTCAGAGACGACAAACGCTACCACTTATGGTCTGCGACATGGCCTTCTTTTTTTTCCCGTGTTGCTCATTCAAAAGAAATATGCTGTACGTCGGGCTGACAGCAAGCAAGGGATCAGAGTGTTCAGGCAATGCCGGGCTCCTTGAGCAGGGGAGAGCATTGGGTTGTTTCCGCAACTCATTACGGATAATGGCCCCTGCTTCTGAAAGGATTCGACGTGGAGTAAGTAGACATGGCTGGTGGCCCACTGTGAACGGTACTTGCATCCATGATCCTCACTAGACGAGGCGCCTTTGCGGAGAACCCAGTTCGGGGGCGTTTTATCAAGCTTCCAGACGACGCGCCAGGGCATGTGAAGTCTGGCTTCAAACGCAGTGCCAAAGCCATATCGGAACAAGAGCCTGCGGAAACAGCAAATTATCTCGTTTCTCCCAACCAAATTGCCACATACGACCTGTCTCAAGGTGATGAAGGGGCAGATGATCATTTCGGTCGTCCATCCAGCTGCATCTCTCCAAGCTGGAATCCAAAGGCTTTTCCCGGTTCGCCAAAGCCGTTGCCTACTTGACGTATTGCCCATGGTTCCTTCGCCCACGCTTGGCCCCTTGGCGGGGAACAACCAACCTGGAACATCAGCCATCGCATCTCTCGCGGCGTTGGCAGATGTCGAGGTGCAGAGAGACAGCAAGGGATAGGCAGCCTGGGCGACGGAACCACTGGCTCGCAGGTGCCGGCCACCATCACCGTGGTGGTGGTGTCAGCGCTAGCACCTCGGATCGACAGTCCAGCAGATACGTCCAAGAACCTGTGAAACCTCGTATCAACTGGCATACATACATACCTATTGGAGCTGGGCTTTTACAAATCTCGTCGAGCACTTCGACTGGGTCCCCATCTGGAAGTAGCAACAAGACATGTATGACCAAGTTGTCGTCCATCTGGTATGCCTACGGAGGAGCACGACCAGGATAAGGCTTCGGTAGATACTTGTACAAGTAGTTCCACAGCATCGCGGGACACCCAGTAGCCGACGGGAGACGCGCGCAAGTGCTGACAGGTAGATCGAAGACATCCTCCGCGGTGTTGGGGTTGTGCGAGACGGACCGATCAAGGAGGGCGAGGTACGAGACACCCGAGAGACCATGTGTGTGCGGGACGGCAAGACCTGCCTCGTGTTCTGTGGGCGATGAACTCTAAAAGACAAACACGATGTCATTTACCTGCGTACTCCGTACTCAGTACTCATCGTTGCTTTTGAAGCACCCCGTGTATGCGGAACCAGTCGCCTTTCTCGCGGTTGCAGACATCTCTGCACGTCAGGTAGGTAAAGTGAGCAACTTACTTTAGGTAGCTATTGTACAAGTAGATTAACTACAAGATAGAGGACGATGCGAGGTTCCCTGTCTCCCCAGCACTGTCAGCTAGCGTCTGTTTACCCCTGATCGCCCCCATCAGCATGGAGCATTTCAAACGCCTCCAGGCTGACAGGTGTGTCCACTAACTACCGGTCCTACTTTTAAAGAGCCTGGCAAATGACCACTAAGAGTTCTGACTGCGAAAAAGTCTATTTCTCCTGGGTCATGGGTACCACTTTGAGAAATTCGCCCGGGTTTTTCTGAATTCTGCTCAGCCTTTGAGGAGATCACCCACATTGCTCGAGCCCGGATGGAGAGAAGCAAATGAGTCCCCAAATCCTCCAAAACAAAACCCCTCCTGTCTGCAAGAATGCGGCCGGCGGTGGCTTGTGGTGATAGTTACCTACTGCCGGCCGCCGTCGTCTCAAAGGACGAGTGAGTCGAGGGCGCTCAATTCAGAGACGTGCGGCTGATCCGTCAGTGTCTCGGGAGTGGCTAGTCTAGTACTTCTTAAAAAGTCATCGTCTCGTGGCGTCGAAATGTTCCGCCAGCCTCCAATCCTCGTCTAGGTAGCAGGACATGAGGATCATCATCATCGTACCACCTCGACCAACTCCCGTCGACGGCGTGCTCGTCGGGGGCCGCGCACCCTTGGCACCCATCCACCACCCAATCCACCATCCCAATCCACACCCTGGTCAAGAGACCAGCTCGTTGTGGTCGTCAGAGCCACCTACTCGACGCTTGTCAACGCTACGCGAGCACACCGAGGCACCTTCTGGAGACCAGGGTGGGCCTCTGACGTGCCCCTGGATCTCTGGCTCCGTCCATCCCTCCCTGCCTCCCCGTGCCCCCCTGTCAGCTCTGCTTGTTGTGCTTATCCCAAGCCCCGGCCATTCGGATGAACAAGGGGTTCCCACCAAGCCATGGCCCAGCTAAGCCCAGCCTTTCCCACTTTGAGATCGATGGCTCCCACCCACCGTGGACGCTAATCACTCCCGGATCTTTCATGGCTGCTCCCCTGCCCTGCTCTCGAGTCTTGAAATGAAGACGGCCCACGGCCTGATTAGCCATGTTAAAGCGAGCACCCCTGCTAGGAGGCAACGCGGCTTGTGCTCGTGGCCACTCGCCAGTCGAGCTTCGACTCCAGTTGTTCCACAACCCACCCTCCAGCAGCCCCGGCCGTGGTAACTGTACGGGTCCCAGAGAGTACGGAGTACCTACGTCCAGACCGGGAGCCACAGCAAATAGAGTGGTACATTGGATGGGTTGCACGGAAATTTCTCTGTGCTTGGCTCAATTAAGACCTGCTGCTTGATCTGATATTAACCCCTCGTGGTGTCCGTTTCCTTCCTAGTTGAGATACACCCACTCACTCGTTATTGATGCCACAACTTGACTTGCCCTAGGACATTTTGGAAGTCTTTTCCCTCTCTCCTTTCAATGTCAAAGACATTGCTTGCGAGGACTGTCCAGGAGTCAACAGAGGAAAGGGCTCTCTCACTCGCTATCCAAATGTGCCAAGCTCAACTGTCGTAAACTCGCAAAGCAACTCTGGGGGGCGGCCACTCGTCCTCGCCCGCGTGATGGTGGCCGTACGGTGGACGCTGCTGTCCTTGGCAGCTGCGTCGAACTGCCATGGATTCTTCCATGGAGGTATGTACTGACTTCATAGTCATCGTAGCTCATGCTCGAGTCTCTGTCTGACAAGTGGTAGTAGATGGAAGGGCCGGCCGGTTTCACAAAGCGGTTGCGAGAGCCAACGGGACCGAGCCTGGGACAGCACCCAGCGTCACAACGAGCCCAGATGGGACATCACAGCCAGCAACTTCAATACCGGACACGCCAACATTCAGGTCGGCACCGAGTTCACTGCCCCAAAGACTCTCCGGCTTGCGGAATCCCGCGCCATCGGTAACGCCCTCGACGACTGACGAGTATCCGTACCCGCCGATATTTGCTTCTGGAGGGGCCACGATCCGCACTGATGTTGGAAGTCCCAATCAGCCTCAGCCCTCGCTCTCGTCGGTGACACCCAGCTCCGGGTCCGCCATCCTCGCTCCTCCCGCCGATGGTGCAAACACACAGTTTACCAACTCTTCACAATCCACTATCTTTCAACCTACAGTCACAAGGAGACCGCCTCCTGTCATAGCACCCGCCCCGAAGGCCTCCCCTCCCCAGCTACCCGGCCAGCCCAACGGCGGGTCCACCTCGGCTGGGACAGTGGTGATCACTCGGACCAGCTCGTCAGCACCTTTCCCGCACGCCGTGACTTCCATCACAACTCTAGACATGTCCAGCATATCAGAGGCCTACAGCCGAACCAGGTATAACACGACGAGGAACACCAACACCACGCTCGGCTACTCTTCGCATTCCTTTGCGAACGAGACCTGGACAGGCGGTTGGCAGCCCGTCTCGGACCCGACAGCACCAGCCGTCAGCTACTGCCAGGCATCTGACAGGAGCAAGGCTGCCGCAACCAGTTACTCGACGGTATATACATCCACGGTCACCTGGACCGGAGACCCTAGCAAATACACCGCCCCTTACCCGACAGAGGCACCTGCACCGACGACATCATGTATCGATGCCAAGGTTCCACAGCAGATGACCATGTCGCGCTGTACCTCCACCGGCACGGCCAGCGAGTACAAGTACTGCGAGACCACCGTCTCGACATACAGCTACGCCCCCTCGACCTCGACCGTTGCGTATTCCGCCGCGCCGTCTATGAGCCAGCCGACGGTGGTCCTCATCACCGCGAAAAATCCGGCCGTGGTGTTCACCACGATCAGCACGCCGGGGTACGGAGGATTCGACACAAACAAGAATGACCATCAAACAGTTGGGCCCGGAGATGGCCCGCAGAATCGGCCACCAGCATATGGCGGCGGAGACGGAGGGAACGGAGGGAATGGAGGGAACGGAGGAAATGGCGGTAACAGAGGTGGTGGAGACAACGGTAATTCAGGAGGAGGATCCGGGTCCGGGCCAGGGTCCAGTGGCGGGTCCAGCATTCCAGGCGCGAACTTCGAACCCGTGAAGCCGGCCACGCTAGCGATCAAGCCCACGGCCGTAATCATCGATGGCTATACATTTACGAATGGCCCCAACGCCGGGGAACAGGTCGTCACGGTGGACGGCAACGTCTTCACCATCAACCCCAGCGCGGTGATCGGGCTGGGCACCACCATCGAGCGGCCGGCGTCGGTCGGGGGCGTCTTCGCCCCTACCCCCGTCAGCACGGTCATCGACGGCCTCAGCGTCGTCGTCAACAAGACCCTCGCCGTCATCGACGGCACGACAATGACGATCCCGGCGACCGCGTCGACGACGGTCATCCGCGGCCGGACCGTCACGCTCGGCCCCAGCGGCGTCATGGTCGCCACCAAGACGATCAACGTCACGACGTCGCCGCTGCAGACCTCGGTCTTCATCGCGGGAGGGGAGCTCCTCACGGCCGTCGGCCAGTCGGTCGTCGTCGTCGAGGGCCAGACCCTGACCTACGGGCCCGGCAGGCCGCCCAAGGTCACGGCCGTCGACGACGACACCTTCACCATCGGGCCCATGGGCGTCACGCTGCACGGCACGGCCGTCGGCGGGCCCAGCGCGCGCATGACGGGGACCGAGTACGAGATCGTCGGCGGCGCCACCATCACCGAGATCGGCGTGTCCGTCGTCGTCATCCGCGAGGTCACCTACACCGTCGGACCGGGCGCCCCGCTGACGACCACCGTCGTCGGGGGCGAGACCATCACCATCGGGCCCGAGGGCGTCGTCATCTCGACGCTGACCCTGCCGTACCCCTTCGGCCCCACCATGACCATCACGCCCATGGCCGGCGCCGCCGCGGGCGCGGGCCAGGCGCAGCAGACGGGCGACAAGAAGGACGCCGGCGCGTCGCTCCGCCCCGCCTGGGGCCTTTCTCTATTTTTCACATGCATAGCCATCGGCGTTCGGATCTTGGGCCTTCTTTTCTAAAAGCTCGTACTTTTATTTTTATCCATTTTCTTTTTTGTCTATGAACAGACATGTATCATCATGTGGGCATTTCGAAGGCCAACATGGCGGGAACTATTACATCTTTTTTTTTCCTTTTGGCGGGAACGACATGTGAACAGCGGAAACGGGTGGAAGGGAATTTGTTTTGGGCGGGTCTCAGGGCACACGGCGTCTGGCCTTGTTCGTTCGGGCGAAGGAAGTGTGAGTCAGGGCCGAGGGAGGGATACGGGATGGTTATGATACCCTGCTGGAGCCACAGGACACACACACTTGTCAGGAGCGAGTACTTTTCGACCAGCCATCTGATGAGGAGAGGATATATCTGTACATTACTGTTGGAATAGAAGCAATACATATGACTGGGACGAAGGCTTCGAGCTACGCCCAACACGATATATGCCAGCCACTAGGACCAGCATGCTATGACCTCGTGAGTTGCAAGACCTGACGACCGAGCAAATGGGCTATGGTGCCTTGTTTTGTATTCCGAAGTTCTTCAATGCTCGAGATCCACGCAAGAGATCTCTCTATCAATGCAAATCCATCCGTGCTCTAGAAGCTAGCCTTTGAGACTCAACTCCCCCCTTCCCTCCCCTGACTGCCGCAGCTCTACCACGTTTCCTCCCAATAGCGATGCTTGTTGTTGAAGAGCAGCTTGGCATAGGCATGCGCCTCTGCAGCACCTTTGCACAGCCCACCAGTGACCAGCGCCTCGGTCAGCGCCTCGCGAACGGCTTTGGGCATGTTGCCGCTGTTGCCACACAGGCAGATAATGGCACCCTGGTCAATGTACTTGCAGATCTCCCGGGCATGGCTACGTATCTGGTTTTGGACGTAGTTCTTGCCACGTGTTGGTGTGACTGCCATTATGTCCGAGGACAGGATTGACGGAGGAGGATCCGCGTCGCCATCCTTTGAGTCTTCAGGCAGCGCCGGCAGCTCAACCAGGTACGAGGCAGTCTGGAAGTCGGTTACTGCGTTTGGGTCTCGAGAGAATGCGGGAATGGGCGTGACCCCACTAGTCCTCTTCCATTCTTCTCCGTAATGATAGTCTGCATCACGGCTCCGGCAGCCGAAGAACAACAGGACAGACGCATGCCTGTGCTGCTCGTGACGGTAGTGGATCAGACTCCGGATCGGAGCAATGCCCGTCCCCGTCGCAATGCCGATCAGAGGTCGCATGGCATCTGAGTCCGTACAAGGGGGCGGTTTGCCTCTGTTGAGAGTCACCATGATAGGATCGTTAGGTGAGAGCGCCTGGATGTACCTGGAGCACAGACCTTGCCGGGGCTTGCGGATGATGGTCTTGTACTCTACTATGGCGACTAGTAGTTCAATGTTCAACGTTCCAGGCGGTGCAGCGACGAGATGGTCACCACCGTTGGCAATGCTGAACTCCCGTCCCCGAATAATGGGGAAGAAATCGGGGATCTCGTAGAAAGGTATCTTGACCGATGGGAAGTCGTGCAGGAGCTCGAGTATAGTCCGGCGGGGGCGCGAGGTATAGTCATAGAACTCTTGAGAATTGTCCGGATTGACCAGCTCGGCCAGGCGCTCCTTCTCCAACGGATTCGTCGCCAGGTGAGAGATCTTCTCGATGAAGGTCCGACGCGGCACGGAGGTGATATCCAGATTATGCGTCAACAGATCACGAATGGTGGCGTGGGGTGGTGGAATGAGGTTTCTCGGCATCACCCCCAGCGTCGTCTTGTCGGGGGATGGACTGTGCGAAAGGAGGTCGAACTCGACTGGTGTATCTGCGACACCCGCCCAGCCCATCAGATCGATGAGGTTACTCACGTCATCGGGGAAATTTTTGGGGTATATGGTGACCGTTGCTCCTGGGAAGGGGATCAGATCCTTGTCATCCTCCGGATTTTCGACCAGGAGCTGCAGATGGCGAACATCTTGCCAGTGTTCTGTGGGAGTCGTTCGCCGATTCTCGGTCACTTCGGCTATAAGACCGCCTGGGATGGGCAGCAGTCTGTGGTCCAAGCCGTTTCGAGGGGTGGGTGGTGACTTGTGGAGGAGATATTTAGAAGGATGATCTTTGAGAACATTGTCCTTGTCGAGCAGGTCCACTCGTCTACCACCCAATGCAAGGTCGGATTGCAATTCGTCGAGTCGGGCGAAATGGGCAACATTGGTGGAGGAACCATGCGAGCGCTCCCAATCGGCCTGGAACTGTTCTTGGGGTGTTCTGGGGTCGTCAATGTGGGATAGAACAGCACTCTTATCACGGTTTGCAAGGAAGACCTCGTCATCCGTTGCTGGTGATGTGGTGGCACCCATTTGCTTGGTCGAATGCGCCATGGTTGGCCTCAGTCGCAAGACGTATTTTGGCGGAAGCGGTGCGTCTTCTGGTATCGGCAGGAGTGTCTCAGGCAGAGGATAATGCGATTGTAAATATGTCTTCAGTTTCTCAGCCCAGGGCAGATAGATACTGTCAGCTCTATGCGCTTGTTAGTGGATGTCCAGACCGAAAGAACTGGCAGTTACCGGGGCCAAAAGAAACCAGCACAAAATGGACTTACCCGTAGTCATGTCGCTCATCTGCTTCACCGTGCTCAAACACTTGCTCTGCGCCAAGCTGAATCAATCTTCTTCTCAGCTTCAACGCTGCGAAATTGAACCTGACATATTATCGGCCTGCTTAGTTGGGTGACCCACGAATCGTGAGGAGGTTTGGCAGTACTCACTCTCTGTATGAGCTGTCCCCCAGGCCCAGTAACGCAAAGTTGACCCCTTCCAGGTAGTTTGGTGGGAGTTTCTTTCTCAAGAGGCTCTTCCAAAACTTGGAAGAATTCTTGGGGAACTCTCCTTGTCCAGTGGTGGAGACGACAAAGATGACCAGGTTGCGGTGTACCAGGTCACTCCTCTACCAGCAGTGCGTCAGTGACAAGATGATCAGGTTGAGGGAGGAAGTAGGTAGCTGTGGCGTGCGGGCGGGTTGAAGTGCAGCAAACAGAAGAGATGTGGAGTATGGCAAGATGAGCAGGGACTGGAGCTGAAAGTGAGGTGGATGTGAGAACGTGGAGGTAGGAAGCCACCGAGCGGGAACTGGCAGTGACAAACCACCCAAGGAAAACAAAGTGGGCGGGTTGGATATGTGTGTTGCTCTCACCAAACACAGGCCAGTCAGTAAAATCAAACAGAGCATCGACTTACCATGTTTGTTGTGACATCGTTCATCTCCTCGACGTCTGTGTGGAAGTGCAATCGCCGGGCCATTCTCCCCAGTTCTTCGGCTATGTCTTGACTATTCCCAGTCTCGGATGCATAGAGGATGAGAAGACTCCTCTCCTGCAGTTCATCTTGTATGGTGTTCGAGGCTGGCGGCTGATCTGTGACTGCGAGCGCAGCAAAGCTGGTGTTGGTATCAATCATTGTTGCAGTAGGGCTAATGCTGTCTGCCACCTTCAGCGAGACCAACTGCGATGTAGGTTGGCGCCACTGCGGCACTTGGGAGTCCTTTCCGGCTCGACTTGCGATATATGACCACGCAGAGGAAGTGCCTGGTTTACTGGTCGACTCGTAATCCACCCTCGTTCTCCGTCCCGAGTATCATTGAATATGGTGTTTGGGATGCAAAGTGACGTGGATCTTGGGTAAACACGTTGTTTGCCTGAGCCAACCGAAGATGCCCTCGTGTCAACCATGCAAGAGGCGGAGGTTTGAAGGAGTTTCAGTCGATCCTGATTTTTTTTGGGTTCGTCTCTGACTAATTTCCTGATATCTTAAGATGAGAGCCAGGGAAATAGGGACAAGATAAATTTGAAATGATTGACTTTCTCTTGAAGCCGATAGCAAATATTTGGATATCAATTCACCAGGCTGACATCATGTGTCTTTGATTAATGCTTGTGTATGTACAACACAGGCAATGCTCATTCTGAATCTCTTCGAGGTGCTCTGTTGAAGTGGACTCCTCCTTAGCGCCGATCTCGGCTTGTTGCCAATGGGTTTTCAACAGCGGAATGCGGCTCCTGTGACGTTCTCTCAACCTGGTTACTGCGAGGCTGAAAGCTGGAGAAGAGCTACCTTAGTCTCTGGCCCACCACGGGCAGCCCATCTGCTAAAAAGGCCCAAGCCTAGTGCGAGTGGCTCCTGTCCTGGAGCATGAGTTTATTCGATGTAGGTATGGATGAATGGGAATGTCTTCAGTGTGCCTGTGGAAACCCAGTGAAAGCCCTTCCTTGAGGAAAGGCACCTTTTCCACGGGTTGTTCCATGCCAAGGGTCCAGACGTGAAGTCCCGCTCGTATGTCTGCGTTCATGCAAGCGCATGGAAACGCAATTAGATCGGGGAAATTTCTGGTGGCCCAGAATCGAGGTTCAAGGAACTGTATGACGAAAACATCCCTGTCGATGCATCACGCACCAAGTAACAAGGGCAGAACTGTCTCCCACTCCACTCCAAATATGGGTTCAGACATTCAAGTACCATACCCTCTCATTCTGTTCTGAGCTCGTTTTGAGCACAATTGCGGGATACCACAGACTGCCAGACTACCAGACTGCCAATTACTAGCTTCTAGAGCGCGAATGACTTTGAGAGTTCTTGGTGTGTCCGTTCTAAGTGGTATTCGATGGCACCTTAATCAACGTGTCAGGGGCCACTTGGGTGAGCTTGTTAGTGGGCTTGTGGACGAGAATTAAGTAATGTCAGTACCTTGGCATTGTTGGCAAGCAAAGGAAGTTCCTGTACATTATGTACCTGACCTGGTCCCTGTAGAGAGGCGGCTGGTGGCTTGATAGGCCCGTGCTTTCTTCGATGACAAGATTCGAGGAAGGCGTTGACGGAACCGACCTCGATATCAATTACCTTCTGACCATTAACTCCGAGGACGAACCTTGTTGGCTTTGGCGAGTCGGTTGGGAGAGAGAGAGTGAAAACAAAGCAGTGCGTTCAACAATGGGTGCTACCTAGGTAAATCAACATCGGACGACACAAACAACAAAAGGATTCAAACGGTCTCAGATCTGAGAAAGAAGTGAATGAGCTGTGGCGGTCATCTTCGTAGCCTGAAGCTGCCAACCTATTAACTCTCTATCGTGTCGTCAAGGGGCAAACACCCATTGAGGGCGTTTCAAGTCACCCAGGTAGCTGTCAAATCGTCCTGTGAGTGAATGCTAGACTTACGGAGAAGCCCCCTAAATTCTGCGTCACCCCAGCATTGATCCAATTGATTCAGGGGGTTCCTGCCATTGTACGAGGTACCTGCTCTTCGCCACGGTCGCACCCACAATTCCAGGTTCCTTCCTTCTCAGCTAGTACATAAGCCGCGCCCCTGCCCCTGCCTCCCAAAGGTTCCAGGGTTCCAATTTAGGTGGCACCTACGGTTGTTTTGTACCACGCCTTCCCTAACTCACTCGCTTATTGCCCCAGGCATTGCCAGCAGAAAAAAAATATTTGAATATCAGGCGCGACAGCTCTGGCACCTCTCCTTTCCCCTTCCCTCCTCTTTCTTCCCCATCTTCATCCACAACATCACAAGATCGTCTTCACAACGCTCAACTCCGTCCATCCCCTCTGATTTCTAGGGCACGAAGCTACCCTGAAAAACTCTCCCCTCCTTGTTCCAGAGTTCAATTTCGAACCTCCCAAGAACGTCAACCCCTGATCTACCGACACCACTCACGTCACTCATCAACCCATCAATCACCATGTCTGCTGTCGTGGAGAAAGTTACCGAGACCGTCAACGACGTCGCTAACACTCTGGCCAACACCTCTATCTCTGGCAAGAACGATGACAAGGCCGCTCAGGCCGAAGCCAACGCTGCCAGCGCCGCTGAGGGCCGCCGCCTCTACATCGGCAACCTCGCGTACGCGACAACCGAGGGGGAGTTGAAGGAATTCTTCAAGGGTTACCTTGTGTAAGTTATCTGCATTCTTTCTTGCCTGTCTGAGATTTCGTTTGTTGCGCCATCTCTGGCGGAGGAAGCGGCTGTCCTGCTATGATGCTTGTGTGCCTGTCTTGCAATCTAGCCGCCTTCACCTGGCAGCATGCTGGACTATGCCCGCCATCGAATACCACGAGGGAACACGAGCAAAGAAGCTAACCGAGCATGCCGTTCACAGTGAGTCCGTCTCTATTCCGAAGAATCCTCGCACCGAACGCCCCGTCGGCTACGCCTTCGTGGACCTGTCCACCCCCAGCGAGGCTGAGCGCGCCATCACCGAGCTTTCGGGCAAGGAGATTCTTGAGCGTAAGGTCTCGGTTCAGCTTGCCCGCAAGCCTGAGCCTGCTGGCGAGAAGGCCGAGGGTACCAATGGCGAGGGTGAGGGAACCCGCCGCCGCCAGTCTACTCGCGGCCGGGGCCGTGCCAACCGTGGTCGCGGTGCCGGTGGTCGCGCTCGTGGCGGTGCTAGCGGCGTAAGTTGCAATCTACCACGTCCAGCACATTGTTTGCTCACACGACACTGACCATCTACTCTCTTTTGTAGGACGCCAAGGAGGGATCAGCTACTGAGGGTGCCGCCGAGACTGCTGCGGCTGCCACCCCAGCCACCGCAGAGGTTCTACCTTTGACAGATGTCACCAACCAGAACGATGCTGACCACGATGGCAAGCACAAGTCAACCCAAAACCGTGCTCCTCGCGAGCGTCGTGAGCGTGGCCCTCCGGCCGATGGCATTCCCTCCAAGACCAAGGTCATGGTTGCCAACCTTCCTTACGATCTGACCGAGGAGAAGGTACGTCAAGACACCGTGCTGATGAACCAATGTTTGAAAAGACATGCTGACACATTTCGACAATAGCTCAAGGAGCTTTTCGCTGCATATGAGCCCTCCTCTGCCAAGATCGCTCTTCGCCCGATCCCGCGCTTCATGATCAAGAAGCTGCAGGCTCGTGGTGAGGCTCGCAAGGGCCGTGGCTTCGGCTTCGTGACGCTGGCGTCTGAGGAGCTGCAACAGAAGGCCGTTGCCGAGATGAACGGCAAGGAGATCGAGGGACGTGAGATTGCGGTCAAGGTCGCCATCGACAGCCCCGACAAGACTGACGAGGAGGCCAACGCCCCCGAGGGCGAGACCCACGAGGCCGAGAAGGCCGCTGGCACCGAGGCCGCCGCCCCGGCCACTACTGCCTAAAGGCGTCGCACCCGTTAGTGGTTGATAACGATCTCCAAACACATCAGCGCGGAGAGGCAGTCCGCAGCCGTGCGACCTCTTGGACGAAGTAGCATTCGTTATCGACTTGTGTGGACGCAGATCTCTTGCATGATCGGGCACAATTTTGCGACGACCTTTCTTATCCTTTCTGGTAGATATCACACCTACGGTGTGGTCAATTTCACTACAACAGCGGCAAGATGGACGAGGGTTCTGGTATCTAGCGTCTAACTTGCTACCCATGGCTCATAGGCACTGGAGATACCTTACTCTCTGCCATCTGGTGGTCGCACCAAGTACACTTAATTCTCGGGCAGTTCAACTTCTTGCCTCTGTATTTCTTACCATTTTCTCTCCAAGTCGCATTTTCCGGTTTGTACACTAGCTGCTTTCCGGGCACAAAAAAGGATCTGGGGAATGGGAAAAGTCTTTTTGTTTTCATCACATGGAAGAGACACAAGAAATATAGGCCTGGCAATAATGACACTCATGGTTATGATCATATTAATGCTTGCTTTGTTGGTTCGTTTGATTTGTGGTGATATCAAGGCCTTTCTATTCTCTACCAACCGTAATGTACTTTATATCTTTGGAAACTTGTTTTATAATTTGGAAAGGGGTGGATTATTATGTCTGCCATGTCGTGCGTGGCCACTGTGCGGTTCTAGGCGCTCTCTTGTGAGGTGTGAGCGAGCTGGGTTGATGGCGCCTTGAAGGTGCCCCCCCACTGGAGCTGGATATTGGGCCTGGATCCCTCCGTCGAAGACTGAAACACCTGGACACTACCTACCACAGAAAGCGCTAACTACAAGTACACACGACACCAGACGCACAACTTGGCCTGGACTTTCTACAACCCCCTCGCTTTAGATGTACGACAGCCTCTATCGTGTCGCTCCGCTTCCAGCTCCTTCTACGGCATTTCTCTGACCTTCATTCTGTAGCCGAGCGTTGCATCTGCCTCTCAGCCGGCATTCTAGCACATTGATCAGAAACGGAGAGCCACGCGACACATACCCGGACCCCTTAATCAATCCAGCGAGCTACCAAGGACTCCTAGACTGCAACGTCTCATAGTCTCCTAACAAACCTGCCCAACATGGCCTCCAAAGCCATGTGGGAAGTCGACCCAGAAACTCGGTCAAAGGTTCGTGAGACTCTACCTTGGGGCCTGATTGACTTACGGGGCGCCCTGGGGACAACACTCTTGCCCCAACTTCAACTGACAAGCTTTTGCTATTCCTCTTTCACAGCTCCATGCCATCTCCCAGCAATCAAAGAACAACATCTGCTGCGATTGCAACGCGCCATCTCCGCAATGGGCCTCGCCCAAATTTGGCATTTTTATCTGCCTCTCCTGTGCCGGTGTACACCGCGGACTTGGCGTGCATATCTCCTTTGTGCGCTCGATATCCATGGACGCGTTTAAGGCGGTTGAGATTGAGCGCATGCGTCTCGGCGGCAACGAAGGATGGCGCAACTTCTTTGAGAACCACGAAGATACGAAGATGAGGGGGTTGACGTGGGACGATGCCACAATCGCGGAGAGATACAGCGGCGAGGCCGGCGAGGAGTGGAAGGAGAGACTAAGCGCCAAGGTCGAGGGGCGTGAGTACGTGCCGGGAGAAAAGAAACCTGCGGCTGCAAAGCCGGCTGCGACTGCCGCAGCGAGATCGAACACCCCTCTTGGCGGTAGTAGGACGGCAAGCCCGAGCATGAGCAGCGGAAGCGGAGGTGGAGCTGGCGGCGGCAAGGTCAAAGTTGATGATAAGTATTTCGCGCGTCTGGGCGCCGACAATGCTATGCGACCTGACGACCTGCACCCAAGCCAAGGCGGGAAGTACGCCGGCTTTGGCAACACGCCTGGACCGACTAGGCAAAGCGACAATCAGGCCATGCCTGGGTTCGATGAGCTGCAGAAGGATCCGGTGGCTGCGCTCACCAAAGGCTTTGGCTGGTTCACGAGCACGGTAACCAAAACGGCCAAGACGGTGAATAGCGACTTCATTCAACCCACGGCGAAACAGGTATGCCCATCTTGCCCACTGCTGCATGCATGCCTTCCCAATGTACTAACATGATGAAACAATAGCTGGCCGAGTCCGACTTTGCGGCCCAAGCCCGTGTAGTCGGTGGCAATGTGGCACGATCAGCCCAGTCTGGGGCCAAGAGCGCACAAGATAGCTTCACCCGGTTCGTCGAAGGGCCGGGCGGCCAGGGTCACCACGAGTATCGGCAGGTGCCCATCGATGAGAGCAAGAAGGGTTTCTGGGATGACTTCTCGTCGATTGCAGACCAGCAACAGCAACAGCAACAGCAACAACGGCCCGGAGGCAGCGCGATTGGTACGGCAGCCATGAAGCCTGGCGCCGGGGGTGCAGCACCGGCAACCAAGAAGGGCAAGGATGAGTGGGATGACTGGTGATACCGACAGAAGCGGTCATTCAAATGTCTAAGATTTCAAAGAATACACATCTATTGAGCAGCGTGGAGTTGAGCAAAAGGCGGCTGCTTTGCGTTAAGAAGGAAAAGAATACAGCGAGTTTTGATAGACACAGGGATTTCACGACCCTTGCATGTAATTCCTCCAACTCCATTTCAACCAACCGTCGGTCCAGATGTCTGTCCATTAATAAGCGTCTGGCCAAGACTGTTGCCAGGCATCGTGGACATATATGTTAGACGACGACCTGACCGACGCTGCTTGGGCCGTAGTCGCAAAAGTAAAGCGGTGCACCTATCAACTTTTGCAGTCCGCTGCAGGACTGAATCCGGGCACAATACAGAATCTCGTTTGGACCTGTACAGGATTTCTTGGCGGTCGAGTGACTCCCACGGCTGCACGTGACCTGCGGTTAGACGTGGGGTTAGGAGGGCCGAGGTCGAAACCCGCCCATAGCCGGTATCGCCCGTGGCATTCAGCAGGGTCGCAGCTATATGACGGCTTAGAGGTTTGGCACATTGCTCACCTGAACTCTCAGCCATTGAACCCCCAGACGACACCATGTCTGCCCTACGTATCCTCGTTCCCGTCAAGCGGGTCATTGACTATGCCGTAAGTCAATTTCTTGCGGCTCGGAGGAAATAGAGCAGGCTGGTCCATCTCGAAGCCCATTGCTGACACTTTCAATCCTCTGCTCCAGGTCAAGCCGCGAGTCAACAAGGCGCAGACGGCCGTCGAGACGGCCGGCGTCAAGCACAGCATGAACCCCTTCGACGAGCTGTCGGTTGAGGAGTCGGTGCGCATCCGCGAGAAGAAGCGGGCGCCGGGCGGCGTCGAGGACATCTGCGTCATTTCCGCGGGGCCGACCAAGGCGCAGGACGTGCTGCGGACGGCCATGGCCATGGGCGCGGACCGGGGCATCCACGTGGAGATGAAGGAGGGCGAGGAGCTCGAGCCGCTGAGCGTGGCCAAGATGCTGCAGAAGGCGGTCGAGGAGCAGAGGAGCAACCTGGTGGTGCTGGGCAAGCAGAGCATCGACGACGACGCGGCGCAGACGGGCCAGATGCTGGCGGGCCTGCTGGGCTGGCCGCAGGCGACGCAGGCGTCCAGGGTCGAGTTCGGCGAGGGCGACAGCGTCAGCGTGACGTGCGAGGTCGACGGCGGCGTGCAGACGCTGCGGGCCAAGCTGCCCATGATCATCACGACGGACCTGCGGCTCAACGAGCCCCGCTACGCGAGCCTGCCCAACATCATGAAGGCCAAGAAGAAGCCGATGGAGAAGAAGAAGCTGGCCGACTTTGGCATCACGACGGACAAGAGGTTGAAGGTGCTCAAGGTTACAGGTATGTCTAGCTCTCTTGACTCACCCTCACCGAAGCTCTGGTCTATCTGGTTGAGATCTCGAAACTGACCGCGCAATACAGAGCCTGCTCCCCGGCAGGGCGGTGGCAAGGTTGAGGATGTGGACGGTCTCATTTCCAAGCTGAAGGAGCTCGGTGCTATCTAGATGGAAGACTTGGCCACGGGAAGGGGCTTCTCGGTTGTATAGTATCATATAGAAGATTATTGTGCAACTTTCAAAATGATGTGACGTGTTGAGAGTTTACAAATTCAGAGACTGACTACTAGTGCACTTTGATCTGGGAACGACGCTAGTTACTGTCGAAGATGCATGGCTGCATGAGATCATATTCAATGAGGCGTTTTCAAGGTAGAATCATGTGTGCGTGCAGGTCCCAACCTACGCAAGTAGTTGTCACATAGAGAAGTCAAACCGGGTGCAGGCAAATCTTGACCTCTGGTAGTTGGATCTGACATCACATGAAATTCATGGATGGCCTGTGGACTGGTCATTTCCAAGGTTCTGTTGGGGCCGCACACCCATATTATTTATCTCTCTCCCTATGCAGTCCTTCGTCTCACTGCACTTGTACAAGTACGTAGTCGGATCTGCAAGCCTTCAGATCGGCCACCCGATTGGTGGTGTGGGAAAATGCTGATTGGGTAGGGGTCGAGTCATCAAAGCAAGCTTCGATATCGGCGGAGCTCCGGGGGGCCGCCATTTGATGGAAAGGCCCCAAAAAGATAGAGCTTCTAGCTCCAAAACCCCCACCCAATGAGGCCCTGGAAAATTTCCTTCAGGGACCCAACCCAATGCAAAGCCTCGCCGAAATTTCTCTCACCGTTTCGGTCCTCTTCCTCTTTTCAACCACACAAGTCCTGCAAACACCTGAGTCCACCAAGTCGACATCGCGCTATCATCGCACGAGAAAACTTCTCTCTTCAACCGCATCCTCCTTAATGAACTTCTATTCATCTTTGGCATTGGAATAGATTTCCTCTTACAGCAGCGCTTATGAACGGGCGCCCGTCAGTTTTTACCTCTCAGGTGCGTTGTGACCCTCCGCAGTCAATGCCTGGTACCCCACCATACACATATTGCCCTCGCTATCATCGCTCGCCTTCCTTGAGGGAGGCGGGATCGTGCATCACACGAAGCCAAACAAGAGTCAATGGCTTCACCAATCTCTTCGCTGCCGTCTCCGACCAGTCTACACCTCTTCATTTGCTAACATGGCTCTTTTGCAGGACTACTTGTCAGGTGTGTTCGCGCTACGCTTGATTGACTCACCGCTTCATTCGATACTAACCAGGGTTCGGCAGACCACTTGTGGAAGGCTCTCTCACCCTAAGAGCTTTATCCCAACCTACTCCCGCCTCCTACCTCTTTCATAACCACCCTCAACCTGAACAGCATGTTCTCCCGAGCGGCTCTCCGCCTCGCTAAGCCTTCGGCCGTGAGCCGAGGCTTTGTCCAGGCGCGATTCGTGAGCCAGCTCCCCATCGACGGCAGCAAGGGTAGAAAGATGCCTGTCACTCGGTCTCGAGCAACTGCTCCTGTTGCAAACCTCGATGCCACCTTCACCATCAAGGTTCGTTGCCGTTCTGGCCCTTCTCGTGCCCCGCCGCCTCGGCCGCTGTAGCCAACGGTGGTCGCCAAGCGTCGACTGACCAAAAATCTTCTTTCTTTGTAGGATGGCCCTGTCTTCCATGGCCGAGCCTTTGGTGCCAACTCCAACATCTCCGGAGAGGCTGTCTTTACGACCTCGCTGGTCGGTTATCCCGAGTCCATGACCGACCCGTCCTATCGTGGCCAGATTCTGGTCTTCACCCAGCCTCTCATCGGCAATTATGGAGTTCCCTCCAACGAGCGTGACGAGTACAACCTGCTCAAGTACTTCGAATCCCCCCATGTCCAGTGCGCCGGTGTTGTTGTTGCGGATGTGGCCGAGCGATACAGCCACTGGACTGCCGTCGAGAGCCTCGGCCAGTGGTGTGCCCGCGAGGGTATCCCGGCCATCTCGGGGGTCGATACGCGGGCGATCGTTACCTACCTTCGTGAGCAGGGTTCTTCCCTTGCTAGGATCTCTATTGGAGATGAGTACGATGCCGATGAAGATGAGAGCTTCGTCGACCCTGGCCAGATCAACCTGGTCAAGCATGTCAGCACCAAGGCCCCCTTCGTTGTCGAGTCCCCCGGTGCCACCTTCCACATTGCCCTGCTGGACTGCGGTGTCAAGGAGAACATTCTGCGAAGCCTCGTTAACCGCGGCGCTTCGGTCACTGTCTTCCCATTCAACTACCCCATCCACAAGGTTGCCGACAACTTCGATGGCGTCTTCATCTCCAACGGTCCTGGTGACCCCACTCACTGCCAGGACACTATCTACAACCTTCGCCGGTTGATGGATGACTCCCCTGTGCCCGTCATGGGTATCTGCCTGGGTCACCAGTTGTTGGCTTTGGCATCCGGTGCTCGTACCATCAAGCTCAAGTACGGAAACCGGGCGCACAACATCCCTTCCCTTGACGTAAGTGATGAGTCGATATTCTAGCATTCTGATGCATCTTGCGCTGACTGACCCCTTCTGCATAGTTGACCACTGGCCAATGCCACATCACCAGCCAGAACCACGGCTATGCTGTTGATGCTAGCACCCTGCCCAGCGATTTCAAGGAGTACTTTGTCAACCTGAACGACGGAAGCAACGAGGGCATGACGCACAAGACTCGCCCCATCTTCTCGACTCAATTCCACCCTGAGGCCAAGGGTGGCCCGATGGACAGCGCTTTCCTGTTCGACAAGTACCTCGCCAATGTCAAGATGTACAAGGACACCCAAAAGGTCTACAAGGACAACCGGCCCTCCCAGCTGCTTCTCGACATTCTCAGCAAGGAGCGTGTTGGTGTCGAGCCGACTCGCCTTGCCTCGGTGGCTTGATTCATGCCCATCATTTCTTTATCTGAGACAATGAGAATACATCTTGGGAATGGACCTTTTATGAGGTGTTTTGGTTTGCGTTGTTTGGGAGGGATGAATTCGCTCTTTCTAGGCTGGAGTTGAGTTATCACCATGTATTTACCGGGTCTATATGTCCCAGGCTCGAATCAGATTGCAGTCCCTACAAGGCGCATATGATGAACCTCGTCGTGGAGACTTGTTCAGGGGTATTTATTATGAAGCTAACCCAGTTCCCATCGTTGGTTGGACTCTAGGTGTACACAACAAGCTCGCCAAGCCAAGCCAAGCCAAGCCATTCTAATCGTAACAGAGGCATTGCCGCCTTTGGTTGTACACACACACAGAGAGAGACATATGCATTCCTTTCTTGTAGTCAGTTCCCACTACAAGACTGCCAATCATCCGACAAACCGTAGGTACATAATCAATAACGCCGGTCTCTGTAGTCATCCCGCCCACCGCCACCGCGATACTGTTCGTAGCGGCGCGGCGGGGGCCGGTAATCGTCGTACCGCGATGATCCGGGACCGCGACCGAAGCCCCGCGCGCCACCTCCCTGTCGACCGCCCCCGCCGAAGGCCGCCCCGCCGGCCGCGCGGCGCTCGCGCTCCCTGTGCGGCGGCCGGATGCCCTCAAACATCTCCGGGCCGCGGTCGACGAACTTGTCGCCCATCTCGAAGGTGTAGCGGTTCTTGTCGCGGCCGACGAGGGCGCGGCGCTGCGGGTCGCGCGGCACGAAGGAGTGGACGTGGGCGACGCGGCGCTTGGCGACCTCGGCCGAGACGGGCTGGTAGCTGATGGGCGGGTGGGCGCGGGTCGTCTGCTCCGGGCCGCCGGGGCCGGCTTGGCGGCCGGAGGAGGAGGAGGAGGGCGGTCCCGGGGCGCGGCTGCTGCGGTCGAGGTAGCCCCTGGGTCCCGAGGGCGCGGCCTCGATGCCCGGGTAGACGCGCGAGGACGGGCCCGTGGGGATGTCGACCTTGCCGCTGCTGGCGGCGGCGGCGGCGGCGGCGGGTCCCGTGGGCGGCCGCGCGCCGGCTCCGCTGTTGTTGGTGCTGGAAGGAGGGTCGAGGCCCGCCTCGCGCAGCACGGCGACGACGCGGCGGCCGCCGCGGCCGCCGTCGTCCGTCTCGTAGACGACCTCCCACCTATTGAGGCTGCGGCTGCCGGCGGCGCCCTGCTGCTCCCTGTCGACCCAGCCGGCGATCTCGTCGGGCGGGACAAAGTCCGCCCAGAGCGGCTTCCTGTTGCGCTCGTCGGGCCAGACGACGCCGTGCAGGGCGGTGCGCACGCGCGAGGCGGCGGCGACGCTGGCGAAGCGCACAAAGGCGTGCGTGCGGATGGTGTCGAGGAAGAAGTCGACGACGACGTCTGGGTCCGGGTCCGCGGCGGCGGCGGCGGCGGGGCTGGCCAGGTCGATGAGGTACTGCTCGACGACGGGCTTGTGGAGGGGCCGCATGAAGTTCTTGATGTAGAGGGCCGAGGTGGCCGGGTGTATCGCGGGTTCTACGTCCCTCTCAACCTCCGTGGCCGTGGAGGAGCGGGGGGCCTCCGGCGACGGTTCGCGGTCCCTTGCGCCTGTCGCAGCGGCGTGGCTGGCGGGGGTGGGTGTTGCCTCGCGCGCCTCCTGGTCTTGCTCTTGTTCCACGGGGGAGCTGGCGCCGTAGTCGAGAGGCTCGTCTGGCTCCGCGGTAGTTTCTTGCCTGCCGCCGACGCCGTTGAGCGCTGATATCTTGGCGTCTTCTGCCTCGCCCAGCTTCGCGGGGAGGCTCGTCTGTGGCTCTTCCGCGACGGACTCGCCGCTGACGCGGGCCCGCTTGCGGGGGGTTTCGTGGCCCGAGGGAGGGGGGCTGGCCGATCGGCGTTTGCGCTTCTGCGAGTCTTGCAGGAGCTCGGACGAGGAGGCCGCCGGGAGGGTGGCGGGTGTGCTTTCGGGCTCGGCGGACGCGCTCGGCGCCTGAGAAGGGGCTTGGGACGGCGCTGAGGGCTCGGCGACCTGTGCTGAAGCCTTTGGCGTGGACGCTTCGTCTGTGGTGATGTGTTCGTGAATCGCGCCCTCTGCGTCCTCTCCTTGCCTGTCGTCGTCATCGGCGGCGGGCTCGTCTACGGCGGGCTCTTCGGCAGGGGATGGTTCGCTCGCCTGAGCTGTTTGCGAAACGGGCTCTTCGGTGCTCTGTGGTTCCTCCGGGGCAGCATCTGCCTCTTCGAGACGAGCGATGAGCTCGTCCTTGCGGCCAGCCTGGGGCAGGCCGCGGCGCTTCAGCTGGGCTTTCAGGTCAACGACCTTCAGCTTGCTGTAGTCGGTGGCCATTGCGCTGGGAGGGAGGAGTTGAGAAGACTTGCGCGCTGTCGCATAGGCGTAGGTGGGACTGGATGAGATGCGCAGCGCAGCGCAGCGCAGCGGGGAATGAGGTTTTGTTTGTGTTCAGGAAGGAGTGGGTGACAGGCCCTAAATTCGTTGGAGATTTTGCCAGAAAGTCAATGGATGAAGAGTCGATGTTTGCGATCAAGGTGAGGCCTGCCTGCCCGTCATATGATAGGAATAGTATGAGGGAGAGGTGTATTGGGAAAATCAAAAGCTGTTGATTCTACGGCGCACAAATCTGGGGTAGTTTTTGACAGATTGGGCGCGTCGCGAAAGCAGAAATATGCAGGGTGGACGACCCAACCCACAAGAGAGTCAAGTAAGGTAGTGGAGGGCAATTTACGACCAGGCGTTTGCTTGAGGAACAGCTGGTTGGACTGCAGGGTTAATGACGTTCACTGGTGTGTTGTTTACGTACCTACAAGTAGCTTTGGACGGTACCTAGAGTTAGGTAGTTACCTACCTACTTCAGGGAGAGGCGGGGTGCAGACTGGCGGAATGATACCCCTTCCTATTAGGGTAAAGTATTAGGGGGTGGGCCTAGTTAATTGGTACTTTCAGTGCTGGAGATCACTCAAAGAACGCGATGCGACTCCAACATCATCAACGGACTTCTGTACTTGTAGTCCAGGTATCATTGAGCTTCGTACTTCTAAAAGACTTCAGGAAAGAGCCAGCTCTCTCAACTCCTTCCACAGATCCACTCTCCCTCCTCCCTGGCTTGAGTCCAGCATTATCTCTTCTCTTCCCCTGCTGTCGAGCCATTTCTCTCGTGTGATATACACCAGCAGATACAGTTATTGACAGGGGTCTCTCGTCCCTGGCCGGCCTCTTTGTTGCCTTGGTTGTCAGGGCTACCCAACTTACACCTACCAGGATGCGATGGAGAGAGACAGAGCCCAGGGCACCCGACAGCCAAACAAATTGACAATGCACCGGCTGCTGCCAACTTTTCTTTGTCTTGTCCACGACTGAGACCGAACATCCGTATTCAGCCTTCTTGCAAGTCGGGAGGTTCATTGTCCTATTATTTACTGTTTCATTCCTTTCTCTTATAGGCGTGCGCTTGAAAGCGGACTCGCGCGCCTGGTCTTTTTACATGTGACAATGCAACATTGTGCTGAACCTCTTCCCAAGACCATCTGAGAACCAGATGACGAGATAGCTCCCCAGAGCCCGTCACTTCTTCCTCACTTCCAGCCCAGCTTTCTTCAAGAACGATATCGACAGACACCAGCCAGAACGGACTCCCAGCATCCATCCCGAGACCTCGTACACGACAACACTGTGGCAAAACAGGTATCACCAGACTGTACCCTAGGCCATTCATTCCCTCTGGATCCCCCCCACGCAATGTTTGCGAGGTGGTATAGGGGATCAAAGGCCAAGAGCCCAGCCCCGAAAGCAGATGCTCCGCGCGGTAGCATCCTCGACGCCGTGCTGAGCGGTCGCGTTACGAAAGCTTCCTCTTCAGCCGGGCCAAAGGACAAGTGCTCGCGGATAGCCGTAGCCAAGCACTTCGGCGATGACGACGAAGACGAGCTGGCGGCCGATCCAGTCAAGCTGGAGGAGTTGGACGAGAGTGGCTTTCTGGATGCGGTTCCGGACATCGCCCAACACAACCAAGACATGCCAGATGCGGACGCGGACGCGGACGCGGACGCGGATGCGGATGCGCAATCCGAGGCCGAGGAGAGCGAAGACGATGAGGTTATGGGCCTCATGGGCACTGACGAATACGAAGAGGACACAGAAAGCGACCAAGTCGGGAGCCACAGCGCCAGCCCGGAGCCGGCAGAGGACGGCTGGGAGATCGACCCAGAGGTACTCGACCAGTACGAGGCATCCAAAAGAGCAATGAAGCAGCACGTGCAGTGGACCAAGGAAGAAGCCAGGCTTCATAGGCTACTCTCCCTGCGAGGTTTCTATCCCCTGATGCCCGCTAGCTGGAAGCCGGACTTCGCCGGCGTGCCCATGCTGTATCCCGCCATCTTCGCACAGCCCGGCAACCGCAAGCCCGTCCTCATCCATCACAAGGCGGGCCAGTTTCGAGGTGAGTCTTTCTTGTTCAGTCCCACGCGCCACTCATCCTGGATCTCTCACTAACGTCTGTCTCCCCTCCTCTTTTCATTAGCAACAAAGGCAATGCGTAGCATCTTCGACTTGCAGGCTCGAGTCAGCGGTCTCCGCCAGGTGGGAGCGACGCGGAAGATCGCCCCGACGATCGAGAAGGAACTGCGGCGCTACCTCCAGTGGGCCAAGCAGGACGCCGGCCTGGACCGCTACGACTACAAGTCCAACATCGCCATCAAGCGGTTCAGCGCCACGCGCCTCGCCGGCGGCGACCTGGCGGATCGGGTCGAGGTCTTCTTCAGCCAGTGGGCGTCCGCCTACCGCGAGAGCTACGCCGCCGCGCTGCCCGAGGGCGTCGAGCCCCCGCGGATCCTCTACGGGTTCGTCGTCGTGCAGCACCTCGTCACCCTGCTCACGATCGACGCCGCGAGGCCGGGAGCCAAGCCGCGGTACTTTGCCGAGTGGAACATGTCCAAGGAGGGCAGGTGGCTCGACTCGAGCCTGAACATCGCGATCCCCGTGCACATGGCCAGAGAGGCGATGCTGCGGATAGCAGACCGGCTGCCGCTGGTCCCCGTGATAGAGATCAGCGATGACGACGCCTGACGAGATCTCATGCCTTTCGAGACATTATATCATACACTGTTTTCTTTCTATGAGCATGTAGCGTATATTTATTTATAGCTATTTGGTTTGACACATGGCCCTCTCTGCACGGCTACCTATCTTGACAGTTGACTGGGATGGTTCTAGAGATCGGGTGGTTTAGGCAGTGGGATCACCCACCGTCGCTATCTGCTGCAATTGCACTTTCTCTCGCCCTCCTTGTCCAATCATGCAAAGTTGTCCGTCCTGTCAACCCAGATGTCCTCCAGCTCGGCAAAGTTCTGGAAGTGGAGCGGGCGGTGCTGGTCGCTGTAGAAGGGCATAGGCGTGTCGAGCTTGACGTGCACCGGCTTCTTCTCCACGCCCGCAAAGGCCGAGCCCATGAAGCTGTAGTTCCACTTGCCGTTCTCGGGCACGAGGAAGAAGCCCTTGAAGCGCGGGCTCAGGAGCAACTTGCGCTTCTCGCCCATGGTCGTGGCGAAGCCTTGCGGCTGGTCGCTCTGCGTGTCCTTGTTCTCCACACCCCACCTGTAGCCCTGAGGGGTCAGGCCCCAGGCCGAGAGCGAGACGCTGCCAGGGGTGAAGAAGACGGATACCGAGACGCTCTGATCCTTGTCCCACGAGCTGTGCGCGTCTTGGAGACGGGCCATCTCCGTGACGTCGGCAGCTGACATGTACGGCAGCTCGTTGCCAGACATCGTGTGGATGATGCCAAGAGGCTCCATGCCCTTGAGGTACTCGTGCTGCGGGAGCTGCTGAGGTAGTTGGACGTTGCGGATACCACCAATCTGTGGCACAAGAACGATGCACTTGATCTCCTTGACCTGGTCCGTCTCGGGAGGCGAGGAACCGTACAGATAACCGGCGACTTGGACACGGAGGTCGGCAATAGTGATGAACCGCTTGAGGATGTTGTTTGGCATCACGTAGGTAATCTCATTACCCTCAGCATCGGCAGGAGAGACGTAGATGTTGTTTGCCCTGGTCCTCAGGTTGGACGTCGCGATAGCACGGGTGCGCCACTCCGTCTTGGATGCAAAAGTCTGCTGCTCAAACTGAGATGTGGTCGTCACAATGATCTCTTCGCCGTGCACATTTTGGGTCTTGGTCGTGACGGCAGTGAGCTGCTGCTGTTCCTGTTGCTGCTTCTCGATCTCCGCAGCCTGCTGCCTTTGCATCGACGGCGCAGAGATCTCCATACCAAGAATGATGTCGCGGACTTCACTGCTGGTCAAGCTGGAGACGTTGACATTGTTCTTTTTGCCGTAGTCATTCAGAATCAGGTCACGAAGCTGAGTTTCGACCTTGATCCAGTCCTCGTCAGAGAGCGTGGGCCAGATGTGGTGATCCTGAGTGATGACTGTCTTGTCTGGTCGGAGGATAAGCTTGGTCTTGTCTTGGTTGACATGCAAGGCGCGGAGGATGAGGACCAGCCTGGAGAAGGCCGTGTACGACGAGATGCTCTTAAGCCATTCGTCATACAGGTTGAAGAGGACCATTTGTGGCTCCGTGGCTCTGAGAATCATGTCGCCCAACTTCTCGACCTTCATCGCAGCCTGGAAGGGCAGCTGAAGCTCAGACGCCCGAATGGAAATATTGGGGAAGTCCAGCAGATTGACCTCGAGAGGATCAAGCAGACCCTTCCGGGTGACGATGAGCTGCTTGGGTTGTTCCTCAACGGGGAGAGACCGGATAAGGGCAGCGACTTCTTCAGCAGTCTTCCACTTCGCAAGCTGACCAAGACGCTTCTGGCCAGCCCAGACACTGGTGTGAATGATCTTCAAGAAGAGCTGTCCAGTTCTTGGGTTGAAGATGAAGATGGCACCGTTGATAGGTTTTGTGGTCAAATTACCCTCGAATGTCTTGTGAATGGTGACACGGTAGACATTGGTGTCATCGATGAAAAGCTGCGTCTGGTTGCTGAACAGCTCCGAGTAGTTTTGAGAGTTCAGGAACTCCTGGTTGCTCTCAGAGGCATACAGCTGCAGACCCTTCCTGATACGCTCGCGGAGGACATAGAGCGCAGGGTTGGCTTTCATGATCTTGGCCATGGCTTGCTGAACGAGCACCTTCAGACCGGGGAAGTACTGGCCATAGGCGGAGTAGAGGTTGTAGGCCAGGTCAATACCAATCATCAAGCCCGTAGCCGAGGGATAAAGACTCATGCTGTCTGTGGTGTAATCAAGATACTTGGCACGAACATAACGCTCAATGTCGTGCGAATCATAATCACCGTAACGCAGCTGGACATCGATCCAGAACTTGTTCGTCGTGGTGGGCTCAATGACGTCCTTGGTATCGAACAGCATGGAAGGCCGGGTGACATTCCATTTCTGGCTGGCGAAAAGTTGAATGTCCGCACAAGAGCTGTTCATCTTGTAAGACTTTCGGGGATGGATCGTCTCCTTCTGCACCGACTCGATGCCAAGGGACTCGAGCTCCTGATCAAAGACCTGGCACAGATCCATCACCACGGACTCGTGGATCTTTTGCCACAAATGGGCGCGGAAGATCTGAATCAGGGAGATCTTGAGGGTGGGAATCTTTCCGTGTAGGAAAATGCCTGTGAGATCAAGCTGCACCTGGAAACCGACATAGACATTGGCCCTGTTGATCGTGGGCGACCACCAGAGCGTGAACCGACGGTTGGGGATCTGATTCAGACCTGAACGTTGGGCGTTAGTGAGCTTTTTGAATTTCATACTCTATAAACATGTTAGCAATCCCTTCTCATTATAATGAAGAGGATAAAGGGACATACCTCTTCGAAACCGCTCGCTTTCTCCCAGAAAAGGCCTTCCCAGGACGGGAAGCCGGTTGCTTTGAAGAGCGTATGCTCAAGGATAGTCTCAACACCGCCCAGAGCTTGAATGACATCGGTGCGGTAGGCGTTCAGGTTCCACAATTTTCCATCATGGCGCTGGCTTGTCCACCAGAAAGGATTACTCTTCATCAGCTGATAAATCTTGAACTCGGACCGCGCACGGAAACCCTTGTCGAAGCTGAGGGTACTGCGATCTTTCTGAAAGAGGGTGTTGATACGCGGCAGACCGCGGTCCCAGCTGTCTTCCAGGTCTTCCAGGGTCAAGCGGCGGTTCTGCTGGTTGGCCTCGAGCCGCTTCTGTGAATACTCGGTCCAGACTCGCTGAGAGTCAATGAACTCGGCCTCCCAGGGGATGATATACCGGAAGATGTTGGGGATCAGCGTCTCCTCGTCATGAGACATACCCGCACGGTAATGTGTCACGCCGACATCCGTCTGTTTAGACCAACGTTTGTCACTCGTGGGAATGAGAATGTGAGATCCCGAGATCATGCCCAGACCTCCCAGCTCCTTCGGAGTGTAGAAGACCGCAGGAGGGAATCTGGAAGGCATCTTCGAGTTCAGGCCAATCTTGACACGAGTCTGGATCTTGGTCTCACACTTGACAATCGTGTCAAGCAGACTGACAGTGGACACGGCCGCTTCACGGTAGTACGTGAACAGAGCAATCAAGGCCGTGTTCCACTTGTTGGCAATCTTGGTGAAAGTGGTGGAGCCAGAGGACATCAGAATCTGACGGATGCGGTTATTGAACTTTTGAATGTCCTCCTCGGTAACCTGCAAGAAGGCGTGGGCGGTGCGCTCCTTGGTCGTGTTATCGACAAGCGACCAAACGCTATCCTTGACTGGGAACTCATCGTTCTGGTTTCGAATCTTGGGCAAGATGCGGACCTCGAACCCGCACATGGAGTAGAGCAGATTGGGGTTGTCTCTGCTGTACACGCTGGCAAAGGTATCGTCCCATTCAATGGTAGTCACCGAGCGAGGCAGACGGTTCTTTAGATCCCAGAAGACGGCCCTGCCCAGGTTGACATCGTGCCTCATGAGGCGCATGCGAGAATCTCTGGGCCAACATTTCTTGCTCTTATACCCGATCACGTTCTCAAAGTTCGGGTCGGGTTCTTCCGTTAGGAATCGCTGGATCAGATCCCTCGATTCATCGGCAGTGAACCTCAGGAACACCCAGATCTTGTCGATATATCTTGTGTACAGCCTGATTGGGTGTTTGGTCTCAGTCTCCCGATCCTTGAACTGAAGGAAATCGTTTGGACTCTGAGGTGGACCAGCGATTTCGCTTGCACGCTGGGGACCGAGGAGAAGCAGATCCAAGATGAGGCCATAGTACTGGAAGACGAAGGCCGAGAACTGCAGACCTCGAATCATACCGTAGCTGTTCACGTGGTTCATGTCCTTGTAAGTCAGGGTGACGTTGTTTTTGGCAGTGATGTAATCCGCAAGATTGTGATCCATGATCAGCCGTAGAAGCGAATTGAGCAGTGTCAACTCAATCTTCTCGTAGACTTTTGACAACGAGGTTTCGATCATGACGTTGCACTCGCCCTCCTTGGTCTCCCAGACCTGCTCCAGGTTGTTGATACCCTGTGCCCACTTATATACCAACAACGGCGGAACCTCGGAGTCGGACGGTTTGATCCAAGCAGGGAAAAGATGCCTCTGGTCTGCCTGATACCACAAGTATTGGTCGAGATAGGCGTCAGAGATCTTCTCGATTGGCTCAATATCATAGACGGGGTTGATGGTACTGTAGTTATCGTTCATGTCGATGCCAACCTCCTTGAATGCTCGTTGCGTGAGCAAGAATCGCTTGATTCTCTCCAGAGTAGTGCCAGGGCTGTCGTAAGCCTGCTCAATAAGAGCGAGCTCCTCCCTCTGGCTCTGGTTCAGCCGGCCCTTTGTCGAGTAGGCCTCACGGAGCCGCTCGAGAGCGAGGATCAGAATCTTCGTGTCGTGTTTGTACGAGACACTGGGGAAGGGAATCGGGGAGAATTTCCGAGACTCCAACCAATGCACTGTTGTAGTGTAAATGGCAACAGCCTCCTCGGAAGAGACGTAAGGACCGTCCTTCATGTGGTTGTGCTGGCGCTCTTGCTCTGCTTTCAACCACAACCTAGTCAGACGACCGACATTCTTCTTGGCAACTGTCTTGTCGACTGTAGCACCTCGCCGGATACGTTCTCGGTTATAGTGAGCAACAGAGATCCACCAATCAGCCTTGGACTTGACATATCGCAGAATAATATTCTCGATGGCGGCTGGCAGGCCGGGGACCTTCCAGGGGATGTTACTCTTCCAACAGCGCCAAGCTTCAGACAGATGCTGAAGGACTGTGTTGACCTTGTTCTGCTTGATGCCTTCGGGCATCATGTCCATAAGATCTGCCATGACCGAGGCACGGAGCTCAAGATCGAAGTGCGACTCAACACGCTGCTTGGTAACGGTCTTGGCTACGCCCTTGCTGTGTCTGCCCTCGAATTGGCGGGAGAGAAGGTTGCCTAGCCAGCGCTCAAGCAGAGGGATGATGCCACGCATGAAGAAGAGCCATACTCTCCAAGCAGGTGCCCAGAAGCCACAGCCAGGGCCCTTGCCCACGGGACCAGCATTGAACCGGTAGTAGATGAGATGCTTGAGATCCTTGCAGGATCTAATCTGGTGCATCAGCTTGTACTTGTATCGGTACATACCAGTCAGTTGGCCGACGTGGTTGAATGCATACAGTATGCCATCGGCCAGCTGAAAGGCATCGATGTTCCCAAGGCGGTACTGGACCTGAGCATCGACAATCAACTTAGTCAAGCGGAGAATTTCACGCATCAGATGGAATGCGTTTCCGAAGCGTGACTTCTTGCGCTCTTTTGTAGTCAGGGTCTTGACAGGCTTGAGGTTGAAGTTGTAGTCAAGGTGCAAGTACGTCAGGTTCTTGCGATGGATCAACAGATTGAGCATGTTGAAGCCCTGGCGACAAACCTGTAAGCCAGCCTCGACCCAGTCGATGGTTGTTTGCTGAAAGAACTTGGTCTGCTTGAGTGTCTTGAGCAAGTTCTGTCGTTGCAGGGACTTGGCATTCTTGGTATGAAGCTCGTTGAGAACATATGACTTAAGGAGCTTCTGATACGACACGCGAACCTTGACGGGCTGCTTCTGTTCGGCGTGCTCAAGATACCACTGCTTGACAAGAGGGACATCTTGGGCACGAACCATACGTCCGGATCGGCGGTTGAAAGGGAAGGGCGCCCACCAGAGCTGGATAGCGGATGCCGTATCTTCGGTGGAGAGCTCCTCCTTAGCTAGGAAAGGTTTGATTCCGGCAGGGAGCTCAAACGCCGTCTCCTCAGGCTCCTCATTGCTGCCTGAGCCAAAGAGCTCGTCCTCGTGGCTGATATTGATATTCCTAGGCGCCACGGCTCGGGACGAGATGGGGTTGATCCGCGAATCAAAGTGGAAGGCTGGGAGGCTGGGATCGCTCGTCTTCTCGTAGACGATCTGGGGGTGGGAGTACCAAGAGATTCTCACACTTCTCGGTAGTGAGTTGTAAAGGTACGGGAACGCCACTCTTGACTCTGTGCGAATAGGGTGGCGGAAGATGATGCGGTCGATGGCATTGAATTCGCCAAAATCCTCATCATTGGGATCAATGTCCTTGTACAAAGGCTCAAAACGAGGCCCACCCGGAAGTGCTACGTTGAGAGCCTTAGCTGTGAAGAAGCCCTCCCTGTCGAAAAGATGGAAATAGTTCTTGTCAATGATGTCGCTGACAAGAGGGCCGCTCAGTCGGAACAGGGTCGCCATCTGGGGCAGAGTGAGGTTCCAAGTCTTGTAGCTCGGTCCATTCACATGCGAGGTGTCGACAAGAGGTCTCGGGTCATAGAACCACTCATAAATGGCCTCATCCTCGTCCTCATCAAGTTCCAGCTGGATGGGTTCAAGAGGTTCGACATCTTCCAAGTTCTCGGACCATGACAACGGAGGCTCCTCATCATCGAAAGGAGGGAACCGCATGCGCTTGAACAACCGTCGATCGCTCTTCTCTTTACGCATGACAACCCACATGGTAGCCCATTGCGCGAAGAAAACGGGCTCGATGACACGCGGTACCTCGTTGACTAGCGTCAGGCAGCCGTTGACGTGGTAGAGAACCTTGACTTCTTTGGCAGACTCCCACGGCATCGGCATGTTCTCGAGGAGTTTCAGGACCGCATGTGGCATGAACTTGAGCGCGCCAAGGTAGCTGCGCTTGTCGCTCGTGTATTTCTTCTGTGACACGTCGCCAATGTCTTTGACAATCTTCCGCAGATGCTCGGGGGGCATATCGGCCTTTTGGGTCTCGACGAAGCCTCCCTTGCGCTTCTCGCCAAATCGGGTTCTTTGCGACCGTAGCCATTCTTTCTTCTTCTGCTCAAACTTTGCGATCTGAGGATTCGACGGAGGGTTGTATCCTGGTGGAGGAGGCGCAGGAATCGCGGGCGGAGGAGGGAGGTCGGAGGGAGGTCCCGGAGGAGGTGGTGGAGGAGGAGGCGGACCCCATCCTGGGGGAGGGGGTGGGAGCGACGACATTTTTCTAAATCGCAGTCGTCTGCGGTCGGCGCGATAACTTCGAGGCGATGAGGAAGCTCTGATCCGGCCGCAGGTGCGGCGAACCAGTCGCTAGAGAGGACGACCTTGCGATCACTCGAATGCCACCTGCAGACGATATCGCAAATAGTTCGAAGCAATGGTGAATGATCTCCGGTTCACCTCCAGTCGATACCAAGTCGATACTTGATGACTCTGAACGGGAGATGATCAGATTTGGCGAAGGAATCACCGACCTTGCCTCTCCTCTGTTCTTTGCTGGTGGAGTTTTTTTTCCCTTCGACTTGATGATGAAGACGCGACCAGACGCTAAGGAATGGCAAAGTTGCGAAAGCTCCGCTTCCAACTAACACGGTCACGTGCTCCAGAGTATTGTTTCCTGGGTCAAAGTTGGGGCCGCTCGCCAGCTGGCAGAGCCGCTAAGAATCCTGTCATTTGAGGACACAGCACACACAAAAACACAAACTGACGGCCCGCTGACTCCTGCAATTCGCTGGGCCCACCGCACGCACCGCGAAGGGGGTGTACTCGCTAAACCCCAAGGCAAGCAAACGCACCCCACCAAAATTCCTATTTTTCACACTTTGGAAATTTGGACCCCTCTATCAGGCAAATTGTCCATCGTGACGCCGCGCAGCTTCCTGGAGAAGACAACCGACCGCAAAGGAACCGCAACACCTGCCTCGTCTTCAAGCGCCGATCCCGACAGTCAACATGTCTCGATTCTTCCGTGGCAACGACAGCTCCAGCGAGAGCAGCTCCGACGAGGAGGAGCTCTACTCTGAGGAGGAGGAGGTTGAGGACCAGGAGGAGTCCGAGGAGGAGGAGTCCGAAGAGGAGGACCAGGAGTCTGAGGAGGCTTCTGATGATGATTCCGACCGCGAAGGCGGCAAGAAGACCGGTGCCGCCAAGTTCTTTGAGGATACTTCAGAGAGTGAGGAGAGCGAGGAGGAGGGAACGGTCAGAGTTAAGAGTGCCAAGGACAAGCGGTACGATGAGTTGGAGGCTACCATCACCGCCATCACCAATGGCCAGAAGATCAACGACTGGAGTTCTATCTCTACAGGTTCGTCGATGCGCTCACTATGCCCCCATCGGCTCATAACTGACATTCCGTGCTCGCAGAATTCGACAAACTCAACCGCCAGGTCGAAAAGCTTCGCGTTGGTTCCAACGCGCCCAAGGTCTACATCAAGTGTGTCGCCGAGCTGGAAGACTTCATGAATGAGACCATCGCGAAGCAGAAGGTCACTCCCAAAAAGATGAACGCGACGAATGCTCGAGGTCTGAATGCCGTCAAGCAACGCATCCGCAAGATCAGCAAGGAGTACCAGCAGCAGGTCGAGGCGTACCGTGCCGACAATGACGAGTTTATGGAATCCGACGAGGAGGAGGCTGCTCCAGCCGCCAAGCCCAAGAAAATCAAGCTGGCAGACGCATTCACCCCCGAGCAGGCCGAGGATGCCGGTGATGACTTCACCACAGTCGGCAAGGGTGGCCGGTCTCTGCAATTCACCCCTGAGAGCATCTTTAAGCATCTGCGCACCATCATGGAGTCGCGAGGCAAGAAGAACACCGACAGGCAGGAGCAAATCAAGATTATGGAAAAGCTCAACGAGATTTCCAACACCCCCTACCAGCAGATTCGCGTCCTTCTTACCCTCGTGTCCGCAAGGTTTGACCTGGGTGCTGGTACCGGCAATGCTATGCCTCTGGAGCACTGGAAGGCCGCCGAGAAGGAGCTGACTCTTCTCTTCTCTGTTCTTGAGAAGAACCGCGAGTACATCGTTATTGAGAATGCCGAGGAGTGGGACGATGACGAGAAGCCCCCCGTTCTGGAGCAGGGTCAGAAGTACATTCGCATTCCCGGCAGCGTCGTTTCTTATGTCGAGCGCCTGGATGATGAGCTTACTCGATCCCTGCAAACTATTGACCCCCACACCTCCGAGTACATCGACCGACTCCAGGACGAGGGTGCTCTCTACAACGTCATCTTTAAGGGTCTTCTCTACTACGAGATGCTGCGCAAGGATGCCGAGCTCGAGATCCCCCAGGACAGCTTGAACCGCATCGTCATGCGACGGCTCGAGCATGTTTACTTCAAGGTTTGTCATTCACCTCGACACAATGATGATGCACATCAAAGCTAACAAGTCTTCCAGCCCGCACAAGTTGTCAAGATCCTGGAGGAGAACTGCTGGAAATCTGTCTCTGAGAACACCGAGTCATCCATCACCCCCAAGCAAGCCTCTGTCGATGCTGCTCACCTTGTGAACGTGCTCTGCAACTACCTGTTCGCCAACAGCGAGGGCATTATCCGCGCCCGCGCTATGCTGTGCCAGATCTACTTCCTCGCGCTGCACGACGAATACTACAAGGCCAGGGATATGATGCTCATGTCCCACTTGCAGGAGACGATTAGCAGCTTCGACGTCCAAAGCCAGATCCTATACAACCGTACGTTGGTGCAAGTTGGCCTTTGCGCCTTCCGCAAGGGTCTCGTCTACGATGCGCAAAACACTCTCCAAGAGATCTGCGGCAGCGGCAGACAAAAGGAGCTCCTGGCCCAGGGTGTCATGATCCAGAGGTATAGCCAGGTCTCGCCCGAGCAGGAGAGGCTGGAGAGGCAACGCCAGCTGCCCTTCCACATGCACATCAACCTTGAACTGCTCGAGTGCGTCTATCTGACCTGCAGCATGCTCCTTGAGATTCCTCTCCTCGCCCAGACCGGCTCCTCGCCTGATGTCAAGAAGCGGGTCATCAGCAAGACCTACCGCCGCATGCTCGAGTATCACGAGCGACAGATCTTCACCGGCCCCCCGGAGAACACGCGCGATCACGTCATGCAGGCCTCCAAGGCGCTTGCCGCTGGCGAGTGGAAGAAGGCCACCACCTTCATCCACAGCATCAAGATCTGGGAGCTCATGCCCCAGACCGAGAGCATCAAGGCCATGCTCGCCAAGCAGATCCAGGAGGAGGGTCTGCGCACCTACCTCTTCACCTACGCCCCCTTCTACGACACCCTGTCCATCGAGACCCTCAGTGGCATGTTTGAGCTCGAGACCCACAAGGTCTCGGCTGTCGTCAGCAAGATGATCAGCCACGAGGAGCTCGCGGCCGCCCTCGACCAGGTCAAGCAGACCGTCATCTTCCGCAAGGGCGTCGAGCTCAGCCGCCTGCAGAGCCTCGCCCTCACACTGTCCGACAAGGCCAGCGCCCTCATCGAGACCAACGAGCGGACTCTGGAGCAGAGGACGCAGGGCTCATCAAATGCTTTCGAGAGGCAGGGTGGCAGGGGCCGCGGTGGTGGCCAGAGGCAGGGCCGTGGAGGTGGTCGGGGAGGGGCCAGGACTGGCGGCAACACCCAACGGCAAGCTGGTGGCACTCAGTTCACCGGTGGCGCCCTGGGTGCGGCAGTTCGTGCGTAAGGATGAAAAACGTCGTTCGCTTGTGTATGCATGGTATCATCATTATTGGGGTTCGGTCGGTTCAAGTAATATGATGAAAAATAACGGCTGGGACGATTCACAGGATCGTCTATGCGGACTAGCATTCAGATTGGTAGTTCTGAATCAATAGATTACACTTTTTGTCCAAATATGTTTCAGTGTCGTGACTTGCGTGCAAGAACAAGAGGAGGAAGCAAAAAGCAAGATCCAAAGTTGTTGAATTTTCTCCTATATGGGCATGTCAACTTGATATTCAGGCCATTGAGGCTTTCTTTCATCCATGGTCACGAGAACTCCTACAAACGCCAATCCCTACGACTTCAGCCACGTCCGTTTGTCGGTTGTCCTTATCCTGTTCGCACCAAGGTTCTCATTTCAAAAAGCAGCAACCTCAGACATCACGGTACGGAGAAATGCCCTTCTTGAGCTCTTGCACGATCTCCGCCGCCTCGCTCGCACTCTTGGCCTCGAAATCATATCGCTTACTCTCTGTTGCCTTAAACACAAGGAGCTGTGTTTGCCAAGTCAGCCAACTTTCGAATCTGGACCACGGATTACGGTGAACGGGACGGGGACGGGGACGGGGAGCGCTTTTTTGGTGACAAACACACTTACCTTGAAATGAGTCGGGTGCCGCCGGGACACCTTACATCCCACGACATTGCTAAAGTGGACCGTCGTCGTCTTGCCGCCGCCCTCGAGCATGGCCCTGCCGCCCGAGGAGGGCACGATGTGGATGTACTCGCCGTCGATGGTCAGGAGGCGCTCGTTGAGGTTGGCGAAGCGCATGGGCTGCTTGCGCCAGACGGTGTACTTTTTGTAGTTGGAGTTGACGAGCTCGTCCTGCTTGAGCGCCTCGGTGGCGAGCGGGTGCGCGCCGAGCATGGCCGCCGTCGTCGTCCTGAGCCTGCCCTTGCTGCGCAGCGCCGCCGGCGGGGCGCTGCCGCTGCCCGAGTCCGGGTACGAGTAGACCTTGGGCGACGCGCTGCTGGGCGAGCCGCCCGTCATCGTGGACGGGCCGTCGGTGGCGAAGCGCCGGCGGTGCAGCTCGAGGTCGCTCACGTTGCCGATCGAGGAGACCTCCCTGTCGATCAGGACGACGGCGCCTGACCCGGGCAGCTTCAGCACGTGGGCGGCCTTGTCGAGTTGGCGCTTTTTGCAGACGAGGTCGAGGACTTCTTCCAGGTACGTGTCCGTTGTGACATCGAGGGTGACCATCTGACCCGGTGCAGCATCGATGGAGTGGATGTGGATGCGGAGCAGCTTCTTCTTGCCTCGGGTGGTATTCGCTACGGTGACGGGAGCCGGAGGCATGTCTGCTAACAAGTTTGAGTTATGCCGGTAGGTAGTAGTGATAATGGGGTTCTGCCTGGGGCGACTTGAAGGGGTGAGCACCGATACGTTGGGCTGCGGGGTGTTCCGTGGTGTGAGCTCGTCCTCCTCTTTGGGTTCTTCGGTCAGGGCCTCCTCGGTGAACTGCGGCGTGAGTTTTTGATTCTCAGCAAACTCGTCTGGCGATGCCTGCACTAGGGCGAACTCGTCGTAGACTTTTGAGTTTGAACGCATCCTCCCGGCTCTGTTGTTTGCGGTCGTGAACGAGATCAGCTGCTTCTTCCGTTCAAGAGGCGGGAAGTCATCATCCACTTCGCCTCCCTCTTCTACCATCCTCAGGGTCCACCAATTTACGTTGAGCTTATCGGCCGGCAAAGGAGGCTCCCGTTTCTCCTCGTTGTATCTCCAGAGACTGAGGCCTATGAGATCTGCGACTGTCACAGCCCTGTCTGCGGCTTGACCTTCATGAACCGTCCTGCGAATCGCAACCTCATAAGGCTTGGACGCATTTTTTGAGCCTATAGCATAGATTCTGACCATGATTGGGTTGGGGTCGCCCTGTCCCGATAAAGACGCGAATCCGTCAAACGGGATGGCCGGTTTGGTTTTCTTGGCTTTGAGCGCTTCAGATAGCAGACTCTTAGGCTGTATCATGCTAAGCGGCCGCACCATGCTGACAGGCCTCGGCGGTGGGAGAACTGGCATAAGATGGGGAGGAGGTGCGTGTGATTTGCGTATCGTCGACGTTCTGGTAAACTCTCGCGGTGGAGTGCCGACTATTTGCTGCCTCGGCGATGCGTTCAATGGGTTATCTGCACCATTGAGGATGGACGCAGAATCAATGCTGCCCACATATGCGGAGGAGATATCGGAGGCATCGGAGTCGTCTTCCTCCTCCTCCTCGAGTAGATCACTCTCCTGGCGTTTAACACCCGTGAGGGAAGCGTCAGAGTTGAGCCGAGACTGCATCCTGGCTGCTCGGGCCTGAGCCCGGGCCTGCTCTCGCTGCCGTTGATAGCCCGACGAGTCGAACTCGTTCTCCGACGACACCTCACTACTCGTGACGGTGTCCCTCCGTGCTCGCTCCTTGACGGTCTCAAGCGCAGACTGCGAGCCCCGCCGCGGGGCCGGCCTCTGCGGCGAGGACGTCGTAGAAGACACCGTAGAAACCTGTCGTAGGTTGGATGACTGTATAGGCGAGGAGCCGGAACGGTTCCTCAAGGGCATTTTGGCGAACTTGATCTGTTGCGCCGCGCGCTGCTCCGGCTCGTCGTCGCTCTCGTCGCTCAGGTCACTACTGTCCTCATCTTCCTCGCCCATCTGTTCGCGTCTCCGCCGGCGCTTCGAGGCCGCTGCCATGGAAGGGCCAACGGTATCGGAGCCGAGGCCTCCACCTCCTCCGCCAAGCGCCCCTCCTTCATCGTGCTCATCCTCGAGGGTCAGGCCTGCTGACCGCGGGGCTTGGAAATATTCGGACGCGACGGCAGTGGGTATTGGTGGAGAGTGAGTCCTCTTGATATGCGCTGGGTTGGAGCGCCATCCCGCCGCCTTGAAGGCGGCCGTGTTCAGGAAGCTGTCATTGAGAGTGAGGAGGCGCTCCCCAACACCGTCGGCAATGTCGTTCAGGTAACTCGTTCGTAATTGGTACGTGACAAGACTGGATTTCAAATACATCAGCCCTCGAGATTATCAAGCCGAGCGTACACAGCGACAAAGCTCCCAGGAGCCAGAGCGCAAGGCCACTGGGAGAGAGAAGGGGGGCTGCTCACTCTTCCACCTGGATCACAGACATGGCTGTCAGCGGGAAGCGCCCTGATGAGATCTGTGGCGGTTCAAGAAAGCGAAATCATTTCGACAAAGTGCTGGTCCCTAAGGGGTTCAATTCGTCTGCCAGAAGCGCAGATCCAGAAACTCAGGAGAGGAACAAAGCACAGAATGAAGTCGGACGAGGTTGTTGGACAGTGTAGGCCCGTGAAACACCAGTACATGGAGTAGGTACTTTCCCAGCCTGGAGGCCGTGAAGCGGGGTCCCTGTCCCGGACTAGGGCGTGATTGTTTAGGACGCTCTAGCTGGAAGTCGGTAGGAGGCTAAGACCCACTAACGTTAAGCTATCAACTGCAGCCTGAACACATCCATCCATGGATTCATAACTCCACTAAAATTCTTAGTTACCTTACATATCGGTCGTGAGAAGTCTGAGGTCGACGTCAACCTACATCTTGCACGACTTCCCCTCCGCCTGCCTGCGGCTCCAGGAGAATATCACTCAAATTCCCCAACATGGGTCTGGTAGATTACTCCGACTCCGACTCCGAGGGCGAGTCCAGCCCGCCGCCCCAGAGCAACAAGCCGACAGCTACTACAGCGACCAACACGACAGACTCCTCCTCCAAGAAGCCCTTCCAGCGCCTCGTCGACTCCGCAACGGGCAGTCGCAAGATTGTAGTCAACCTCCCGCAGGCCGCCAGCGCATCGTCTGAACCGTCTAGCGACGAGCCTCCTGCGAAGCGAGCCAGGACGGTCGGCGGCGGCGGCTCGCGCTTCAGCGGCTTCTCGTCGTTCTTGCCGGCGCCAAAGACGACTGGCAAGCCTGCGCCAGCAACCCAGGCCAGCTCGAGCAACAGCCGCCCCGCGCCACGTATCGGCGTGCATCTGAAGACGAGTGCAGAGGCCGCGTTCAGCCGGGACAGAGAGGATGATAGTGGCATACACGCCGCTGGGACGAGCGACGGCGCAGAGGGTGCAAGCCGGTCGTCGGGTCTCAACCTACCAGCGCCCAAGGGCCCGTCAATACCAGAGGGCCAGAAACCGGCAGAGGATGTGCAGCTGGTTGGAAAGCCACTCATGTTCAAGCCGCTATCGGTTTCGAGGAAGCCAGCAAAGAAGAAGGGAGTTTCGGTCAAATCCGCCGGTGTTAGCGCCCAGCCGACTACTACGACAACACCAGCAGTAGATAAATCGCAGGCAGCGCCGGAGAAGAAAAAAGTCTCCTTATTCTCTCTAGGCGTGGAGGACGACGCATCCGCGGCAGCCCAGCAAACACCAGACAACAGCGGCGCTTATGAGCCCCTATTCCACCAGACTTCAGAAGTCGAAGACGACGGCGTCACAGGACCGTACGACGCTCATCAAGCTCACGAGCCACCGCCACCACAAGCCTACCCTCATCAAGCGCACACCCTGGATGACATGGCAGACGATCTCAACCTATCGGCGGCGGAGCGCCGGGCTCTCTTCGGCCGGGGCGGGAAGGCGGCCGGCACCGCCTCCGCAGCTTCCAAGGTCATCAACTTTGACATGGACCGCGAATACCGGCACAACGAGGAATTGCGTGCCTCTGGCGAACAACAGTCTCTTCAGCACAACCCGGTGCGGACGATCCAGCCTGGCAAGCACAGTCTGCGGCAGCTGGTCAACCAGGTGCAGACACAGAAGGACGCCCTCGAGGACATGTTTGCCAAGAACAGGTCTACACAGCGGGAAGCGTCTGGGAGATACGGTTGGAGGTGATATAGCCCTTTGGGAAAGTGGCAATAACCAGGCATCAATACCAGAAAGGTTGTTGAAATTCAGATGAGTATGAACTACAATATGCCTGACTGTCTATCTGGTATGTGGCATGCATTCCTCAAAAGATGCCCAATATGGAATAATGGATATGTACAAGAAAAGCGGCCAGCGAGGCCGGAAGGTATCTACAAGAAGCGAAGACGAAGAAAGATAAAACCATACTCCCATGATGGTATGCATGCGATCAGGACCTCGACCCTCACCCAGTCGCACCGATCTAGCAAGTCGTGACTGCCACTTGCCTCCCAACCTGCCCTCCCATCAGGAAACCCCATTCGCCTCTGGTGATCGGGGAGATGTCGTCATACCCCTTGGGCGTCATCGGCCCCTGCCTCTGGGAGAGCTGGGACAGCTGCGAGGCCCTCGGGTCCGCGTGGAGCAGCCCGTCGATCGAAGTGCTGTTCCAGAACGACAGCACCCTGCGGTTCTCGTCCGGCCGGGCCGTCAGCTCTTCCTCGCCGTCGCCGTCTTCCGCCTCGTCCAGCTCGATCCGCAGGTCCAGCTTCTCGTGCCCCGTGATCTGGGCCTCGCGCATTTTCTTCTTGTCCTGGGCTGGGGCTCCGACCACCGGCTTGTCAAAGGTCGTCTGCAGCTTCAGGACGGGGGCTTTCTGGACTGGCTGTGCCGCCGGTGTGCGCGCTGGAGACGGCGCCTCCGCCTCCTGCTCCGCCTCCTGCTCCTGCTCCTGCTCCTCCGGCTCGACGACGTCGACGACGCCCTCGCACTCGAACTCAGTCTCGACCTCGCTGCCAGACCCATCGTCGTCCTGATCCTCCCTCACCGACGGCTCCGGCGAAGTCACGGGGCTCGAGCTCAGGCCGTCGGCCTCGATGCCGCAGTCCCCGCCGGCGCCGCCGTACGCCCGCGCGTACATCCTCTGCACCTCGGCCAGGGCGCCCTCCTCGAAGCCGAGCCACTCGTACGCGCGCAGCAGCTGGCTCTTGGGCAGCCTGCGCCGCCCGTTGGCCAGGACGAACCGCCGCAGCTCGTCGACGGCGTCCTCGAGGCGGTACGGCTCGTGGCCGGCCGAGTAGCTCGAGAGGGCCGACTTGAAGGTGTAGAGGTGGTCCAGGCTCAGGAGGCTGAGCCCGGGTGCCGAGAAGAGGACCTCGCCCTGGGCGACGGAGCGCCGCAGGAGCTCGGCGGTCAGCCCTGATTGGGCGGCGGAGAGGGCGGCCGGTAGCCAGTCGGTGCTGTTTATCACTGTGCATTAGTATGCTGCATATGGACAAAATGCTCTGAGGGGGGTCAGCATCGTCGGAGAGAGAGGAACATACCCAATGCGAAACTTCCGCTCGGCCTTCTCGATTGTCTGCCGGAGGACCCGCTCCTCCCTGTGCTGCAGCGGCTCGGCGTGGACGAGCCGGATGCCAAAGGGGTTGGGTGACTGAGGGGACGCATCGGTGGTTGTGGACGAGACGGTAGTGGCAGGTGTGGCGGGCGTCATGGGCATGGTCGGGCTGGTCGGCGACAGAGGCCACCTCAACCTCGGGCCTGTGGTGTCGACAGACGAGAGAGAGAAGGCAGGGGAGACTGTCTTGCTGCGCTGCAGTTCGGCATTGCGGGTCTTGTCGAGGCTGGGGAGGACGGGGTGCGTCCCCGTCCTGACGAGCTGCTTGATGGCGGAAGAGAAGCCAGCCCTCGAAGGCGCACTCGGCACCTGGGCGGGAGTTGCGCTCGCCTCAGGGGGTACCGAGGCTGCCGCCACCGTAGGGGATGGCTGAGGCAGCTGATATTCCCGGCGTACGACGACGAGCGTAATGTCGAGGCTCTTTCTCGCCAACCTCTTGGACGCATACTCCAGGGCTGCAGTCAGGTGTGGGGGCAGGTGATCGGCGTCGAGGATGGACCTTCCGGCCTCGAGAGGAGACGAGATCCGAGCCTTGAGAGACATGTTGGACGGCAGTGACAAGGGCTAAAAGGAAGTGTGCAGCGCACGAGGAAGGGACTGGGACAAGCAGAAAGGACTAGAACCCCTTGGCTCGAGATGTTTTCTTGACGACAGTGGCCGGACTCAGAGACCCAATGCCACTTTGATGCTGCAAGCCCATGCTGGTCAAGACAAGAAACACAACGAGGTCTGAAGATGGCCTTGGTGATGTTATATCCATAGACCAAGAACACGGAAACAGTTGAAACATGAAACATGAAACACATCTGGCCCCGCCAAAACCTAAAAAGAGAAACATGGGGGGATGGTGAAGTATTCTGGGACGGCACCTACCGTGAGCGGTGGGCAAAGATAAAAAAAGTAGCGGGCGCCTATAAGCCATGCTCTCTGCTTGGGATGACCGAGCAGACGACGATATGAAACAGGAGCCCTCAGGAGAGCTGTGCCTATTCCGCATCTGGAAATCTAGCCTGCTGTGTTTCAAGTCTGGAGATGGAGAGCTGCGTTTGTGCCGTGGCCTGCATGCATACGGATCGTCTTTCAGATCTATCTTTGGGTCTGTATAGCTCTGGGCATATAGGTTTGGGGTCCATCCCTGCCCCATGTCATCATCACCAACGCCGTCAACAAAGCTGAAGCCAGCGGTGAAGTGGTGGGAAGTGTTTGGGGGCAGCTTCTCACTAATGGGGAAGCGTGGAGCAAACAGCGAACTCTGAGTCCACCATCGAAACCAATCGCGCCCAAGCCAGTGCTCGCTCCAGAACTACCTTACTCCGTATGCATGTACACACACATCGAACGTAGAACCTGCCTCGCTTAACGGGTGACAGCAAAGCGTCGGCGGTTAAATGTCACTATTTTTGACCTCATCACTCCCGATGCTGGGGTTCGGGCGGAGTTGACCAGGGGGTGCGTTGGCCAATCAAACCGTCACCGACACATCGAGCTTGACTTGCTTCCTGCAGCTACACCACCAGCAGGGCTCGACAGGCCATTGGACAAGATCTCGTCTTAGATCTGCTCTTGCGTGATTGACTCTAGCCGCCCAGGTGACCGACCAATCTTGTAGCCTCCGCCAGACTTGTTTCCAGTAGAAGACATCTGTCGATGACCCAGGATACAGGCGCCTACGCATGTTCGATGAGTTGACTGAACTGTCACCACCAGCACAATCTCCTCACAAGCACCAGCCGTCTGCAGTTTCTAATAATAAGAGGAAGAAGACGCCGGACTGGGCCCTCCCGGTTCATATCATCATAATTGAGGAAATACTATCAATGGGTTTCTCCCGACTAAAACATGGAGCAATAATACAGCAAAGGCTAGTAACGCCGACGTTGGTACAAGCAACAAACTGTCTGTCTGATTGGTGTGCTGTGATGCCACAAGACAGAATGTCGTTTCGTTATGTCGTTTCCATTGCAATCCTGCAGACGCCTGTTCGTATCCCGTATCCGGTCGATTCGTTTCATCCATTGTCATCGCCATTCCCATCTCAAGGGGAAGCATGCGCACGGTGATGCCTCGCCAACCCCAACGCCATATGAAATGCAAAACAAAAGGTGAAAGAGAACAGTGGAAAGCATCGCTTGTTCGCTGAGGTTCCTATTTTTGGTTTGTTTGTTCCGGGACGCCTCGCTTCTTGAGAGATCATGCCTGAAGTCGCATCTCTCCGCAAGTGGTAGTATCGACAAGGCCCATGTATCCGGTGCAAGATGCCGAAGTCAGTATTTTGTTCGTGCTCAGGTTTATCCAGTGAAATAAGGCGCAAGGAAACCGTGTCATGTGGCGTCGTCGGGTCAGTCGTCGTACATGTAGGAGCTCTCGTCGTGGATCAGTGGACTTGCGGATCTCATTGTGGCTCGGGAAATTCTTTCGGATACGTGGCGAGATCGTCGACGTTCATACTTCCCAAGCTTTCCAACTCGGAGCCTTCCGAGTCGTTCCACTGTTGGTCTGCATAAAAAGAGCAGGAGTATCAGCCACCTATATCTTCCTTTGTTTCTGCGGATAGACGGAGATTGTCTTACCGGACTCCTCCTCGACATCATTATCCATGATAAGCCTGGCCAGAGAGTCTAGGGTGTCTGTTCTCATGTGAGCAGCCGATCGTCCACCAGCTCGCGCAGCGAATGCCTCAGGGTTCTGATACATACTCTGGAATAGCATGTCAAAGGCCGCTGCTTCCGTGTCCTCCTGGTCACTGTCGAAGTACTCGGAACAGATGTGGGTCACACGCTGCAAACTTGACACCGACTCCTCGGCAATCCGGATCTCTCGCGCGACAAAGAACTTCTCGAGGTATCTCAGACATTCGACGCCTAACAACCTGGCACACTTGATCAGAGCCTCTGCCTTGACAGTCCCGCCTTCCAGCTCTTCGAAAGACGGAGAAGCGCCGTGTCGAAAGATGGTTCTCTGCAACATATCCTCCACTTCCACCCTGACGCTTGGGTCATAGTATGCGAGGAGTGTCGGCGCCCAAACAGGGATATACTCCAGGATGAGGAGCTCCAATTCGATGCCTGCCACTGCACCTTCTACAGAGGCGGCCGTGGTGGATGCGAGATCGCGGTGGAACCGGAAGAAAGACCGACCTTCCGTATTCTCGAGTACTTTGGTCTGCTGTGCAATGTAACCCACGAGCCATTTGACCTTATCCGCATTTGGATAGTGCCGACAAAACACTAGAGCAGCTCGTAGGAAGGGGCCGTTTGGAGGGGGCGTCGCGTCTCCCATGATGTTCTGTCGGAAGGTGTCGAGAATCTTAGCTCCCATCTGATGATGGATTTGGAGCAGCCGAACGAGAATGGCGTTGGTGCTGGCTTCGTTTTGATCAACCGTCAGCAGCTTCTCCACAAATATGTTGCCATAGCCTCTTCCCCAGTCAACGCTGAGGACCGCATACTCAGGCCGGCTCATCGCTAATGGACCCCCGCGCTTCTCAAGAACCTCGTCGAACCGAGTACGAAACTGGGGCGGAGCCAGCTCGTTCCCTCGCGAATATTCGATGTGGACTACCGACAACAAGCGGTGGATGAGAGCGATGATGGTATCGTAAGCGGGAGGTTTTGTCGAGAGACGCCTTTGCAAGGCGTTCAACATGCGATTGTACTGCGGGTCAAGATTCAGACTCGAGTCTGCACTGATGATCATGACCGCGTTTCTCAGATAACCTTGGTCGAGGAAAACAGCAGCTTCGTGCCACCCAAGGCCGGTGAAACCAAGCATCAACCCGAAGGTCTCATGCCATGAACGAAGATGCATATGGAAGAAGGACCATAGGTACCCCATCATACGGTTGGCGCCGTGGATGACGTTCCTTGGATTTAGCGGGTCAATGTTGGACGGGGCAACACCTTCAGCAGCGATTCCATAGCGGTTCGGTAAATTGTGCTTGATCTCGACCAGGGCTCGGAGGAGTAGATTACCAGATTCTTGGCGAACACGAGGCTCGGGATGTCTCTGCACCAAGGCACGCAGAGCCTCATAGCGTTGATCGAAATAGTCGTAGATGGCGAGAGAGCACTTTGCGCAAGCTTGCATCATAGCTTGAACCCGACTGAGCAGGCTTTGAAATTCGGGTATGTCTTTGGTCCGGGATGCCACCTGGTCAAGATAGCTGAGTGCCATCCGCACTGCCAAATGCTCGGCTGCATGATCTTCGGAGCATGTGCCGCCATTGATGAGTCTCAGTCGCACTAGGCAACTACTGACAAACCGAATCTGTGCGGGGTCAAAGATGCAATGCCGGCGAAGCATGGAATAGTTCTCTCCTTGTATATGCTCGGACAGATCTTGAGGCGTAGCAACTCGAAGAGGGCTCAATTCGCCCGACGCCAGCAATGCCTCTTGTTCGTCTTTGATACTGGATGAACGCTGGTAGAACAACATGTAGGCGCTATAAGGCTTTTCCAGGCCTATGTTGCCGTCGAGGGGGTTCCGGTAATCCGTCCCTCCAAAGCACGATGCTTCCATGTGAGCAGTGTCCCAAGGCGAGACCACGTCGTCGTTGAACTCGACCCACGTTTCATTCGCCTTGGTCGAGGGCCGTTCGCGAATGTACGAGTAGTAATGTCCCGACTCTGCAGTTCCGGAGTGCACCAAGACGCCAACAAGCTCGAAGATATCCGGTGGGTTGTCATCAGAAGGGCTACTCAGGTGGTTGATTGTGTAGGGCCGCATATCGATTTTGCTTGGGAAAGAGAAGTATTCGTTGATCTTGTGACGTTGCAGTGTGCGCAGATTGAAGTCGAACCGTTTGAGATGAAATATGAGATTGTCTGGAATGTCCTTCAAGCAAGCTCTGGAAGACCGGAAGAGTTAGTTGAGACTCGGCGTATGAATCAGTAGGGTCAGATTGCACAAACCTCTTCACAGCGTCAACGTGACGATCGCAGGTCGAGCACTTGTACTTGTTGTCTACCATTCGTCAGTCTCATCACCCAATGAAAGTGCAGTACATGAAAGAGAACCGATCCTAAGAGACTTACCTCCCTCCATGATTTCTCCATCCACGTATGCCTGGAGGCTCTCCTCGAGGCTGTTCTTGCCTTTGATATCACATTGGATGGCTGAGAAAGGCTCCAATCGCTCCGAAATGTGCCTGCACTCTTGAGAGCGCACCTGTTGTACCAGCTGGCCTCCATAGAAGGAACGAAACGTCTTCTTCTCATCTGGCGATCGAAATTGGCTCTCCCATCGGTCAAACAAGAGGTTATAGAACTCATCAACGTCCATCTGGTTGTGGATGTCGATGTGGGTGTCTTCGTAAGTCTTGATCTGCGTAACGCAAGCCTGTGGGTCGACCCATCGCTTGATGCTGTTCTGCATGGAACCGAACAGATTGCGCGTGGCGAAGAGCAGGTTCTGCGATATGTCTTCATCATGGATCTCTGCGTTGAGCATGAAATTCCGGAAAGAGGTATTCATGAAGAGCTGGGTGAATAGAGAGTTCAGGTAGCACGTGTTGGACAGATTCTTGAGGCCAACATAGCCACAGGCTGACCGAATTGCGTCAGACCTGTCAAACTGCTGAGGAAGTTCGTAATGATATGGATCTTCTGAGACAAAGAGTCAGTTGTGTTTGGTCCTAGCAGGCTGAGCCGACACTCACCCTCATCTTCACCAACACTAAACGGCACGAGTGCATCCAGATCCTCAATCAACAACTTGAGCTGAGACAGGTCACTGCCAACAAGCGAGAAAATCACTTCAATGAGCATCTTTCTCGTGTGTGAGTTGAGAATGACACACGGCAATGCTGACGTCTCAGTTTGCTGCCAGGGGGGGAAAAGATGTTTCCAGAAGAGGGCACGAGCCAGATCACTGTTGGAGTCGTTAGTCTCTGTCTACTCCAAGAGAATAGTTTTTGCATGAAGGCCTCACTCTGACAGTGACAAGCGAACCGCTGAGGCCTCATCACGGTTGCAAATGAGCGTATGGATAATGCGCACCAGACCGCAGGCAACGATGTCGACTGCCTCTGGTTGCGTAATGTCCTATCAATTGTGAGCACGGCAAACGGAGTGATCTCCGACAATTGTCGTTCACATACCTCATAAGTCTCGTAACGGAGTAGAAGATAGCTGGCTTCATCCAGAAGTTGCTGTTGGTCTAGAACAGCTGAGCCGGCCTCTCTTAGAAGCTTCAACATGGTGAAGGACAATGCGAATATGTCCTCACACTTGTCCGGGGTGCCGATGGCAATTGGGAGGAATCCAGAGATCAATGGCCATAGAAATTCGCAGAAACTCAAGGGGGTCACGATAGATGAGCTACAAACATGTTAGCGACCGGCTATGAATTGGGTTCGATCTCCATACCTGTGCATGTAGGAGATCCGCTCCGCTAGGATCTTCGTCACAGCTTTTCGGATCATTGGCCTCGGGTCATGAAGAACCAATGTAAGGATGACTCGTCCGACATCATCATGGGTTTTGAAAGCATCCCAGAATGCCTGGCTCGCAGAGCAGCATTCACAGATCGCCTGGAAGGTCAGCTGTATCAAACGCATCGAATTATCCGTGGGCGGGCCATCAACAGCAGACATCTCGATGCTCAGGAGCCGGGTGAGTAGTGCTTCGTCAAGAGTGTTCGTCAAAGACCCGGTCTGAGAGGAATCTGCGGGCGGTTAGCACAGCGATATGAAAGAATGACGCTTGCAAGCTTACCTTTGACCAAATGCACGAGGCTTTCGATCAGAGCGTGGCTGAGGATGATCTGCAAATCCTGATTTGCACACTGCCTGACGACTTCATAGTCACATATGACTGCCACAGCCAGGGATAGAGCAGTATTCAGAGCTTCGGTATATGCCTTGGCCGCGGCCTTGGCGGCGTCTGGGTCGGCCCTGACTTGAAGCGAGCCAGCCATCCGTCGACGAGAGGCTACAAATTCGCGAAGAGCATAAATGGCATAGAGCGACTTGAATGGGTACCCTAAAGGGAACACTTGCTCGTGTGACACGTTGCTCGACTGGAAGACATGTGCCATCTGCTCATAGACCGGCAGCGTCGTCAAGAATTGATACACCTAGGCATCCGTATCAGTAGGCTGCCACCATCTGGGAAAGTGGTGACAGTTCGCCCTTACCTCTTGCGCATACTTGTCATCCATGTTGAGATAACCCCACAACTCTTCGAAATGACCCAGGATCTCGATCTCAACGGGTGACGCACCAGGCCGAATCCGGACTGTGGTAGAGATAGCATCTGGCTCACGCTTCACCAAGATCAAACCGTTGTGGATTCGCAGGTCCTCTAATGACTTGCAGATATCGCGTTCTTGAGGTATGAACGCTTGACCGCGGTAGAATAGCTGATAGTGTTCAAAGCCGGTTGCCTCTTTCAGACTGGCCAGGAGTGAGGCCGCCGTGTTCCGCTTGCCGATATTGAGAGTCTGAATATCAGTTTGATGATTGCCATCGAACGACTGGAATTTCAGTTCCGCTGATTCGCCCTCAACTTCCCCAGGACCTTGCAGAGGAATAGATCGCAAGTCGGGCGCGGCAAAATTTGACTTCATTCGGTAGAGCCTGTGGAATTCGCGGAGTACTGTGAGTGAGCGGATGAACAGTAGGCTTTGCTGCTCGACTTCGTCCATGGGAGGAACATCGTCAATAGCGGCTTCGGCACCGCTGCTCCCCATAGACCCTGAAGATTGGAGCCTCGCGGCAGCGGAAGAAAGCTGTCGCAAACACCTGCCCACCAAGGCCAGGTGAATCTTGCGGGTGCGATGATGGGATGAGCCAGTGACCGCCGCGCTCTCGATGTATATGTCGTTGACCAAGGTCTGTATGGCCTTCAGCTCGATAGTGCGATTTGGCGCGGTCAGAACGACGCGCCAGAGCTGTTCCATGCCTCGCTTCCCCAAACTCTCGTCGTCGTCACCCTCCACATCCAAGAGATCGCTGTCGGTAGCATTGGCCAGGGGTAGAACCACAGTCTTGATAAACTGGAGCATACCCTCACGGAAGCAGCTTGGCGGGAGCTTCGGCAGATACTCTTTGAAGCAAGTTGCCAGAAATGGGTTGTCCAGACGGGAACTTGACTTCAAGATTGCATTCAAGAAGACCCACGCGGCGTCCCGGTCCTCATCGTAGTCTGCGCCTAGTCCGACAAGCATGTGCCAGAGCCTCTCGCCAGTCTGCCCCATCAAAGTTGACGGCTGATGGAGTATCAGGTGATAGAGAAGGTCTCTGCGCGGGTTGTTGACACTGCCATGAATGACCGGGGCAAAACCTCTTCTGCGTCCGGCAGATATCGAGTACTCCAGCTCATCCACCAACAATCCAGTAAGATTATGTTCGGAAGTGAGCCATTGTAGCTCTCGAGCAGGGGTCTGACGTATCATTAGGAAGAGAGCATGCAGACTTCCCAACGTAGTGTCCGATTTGTCTGCTATATCCTGAAGGCAGTTCATGTAGAGATCTTGCCGGCTGTCACGATCCGGCGCACTGGCCAGAAGTTCTCTGAACTTCACTGTGGCAAACTGCTGTATCTCAGGATAGGCGACCGGGGCTGTGCTCGAAGGGACAGAGGATTCTCGTAGAAGACGAAGACAGAGGTGTGACGGCGCAGTCTCGATCGCGGCTTCTAATGGCGCCTTCTGAGCAATCCATTTGAAAACCGCATCACAAAATTCCCTGAGACTGGGACCAAACACCTCGATGGGGAGAGCTTGGAACTTAGTGCAAAAGTAGAGAAGATCTTCATAGTGGAAGAGGTTTGCACTACGTCCCATCATACGCAGCAGGGCATCAGAGATCCTAGGATCCTGCGTCAAAGTCACAGTCTGCCACATCAGATCAGTATGGGCTTGGGTATAGGTCCTCGTGACGACAAGAAATCCGATGATGTTGTTGCTTTCAAGAGTGATCTCCGGATGGCAGGTGGGCCCCAGGATATAGGGCACGAGGCCGGTGCTGATGAGGGCGGCGGCTAGATGCTGTAAGATGGTCTGATTGTCGTCCGATCGTGGTTCGCTGAATTTCTTCCAACAATGAATGAGGTCCTGTGTCATCTGCGAAACTGCCATGACACGAAGCTGCATCTGGCTCGAGACAATCAGCCTCCCATAAAGGTTCATTCGCCATTCCGATGCCAACACCTCCGGAACACTCGCGGAGGGGAGCCCGCCCGCGTCCTCGTTGACTTGGTCCTGGGAGAATAGAGGTATGTGTGCAATATGAATGGCCAAAAGAATCATGTAGATCTCGCCCAAGGTATTGATCAAACCGGCAGCGGTTTCGAACGAGAGAGCCGTCAAGTGTTTGTCGATGACACGATCAAGAGCCACCGACAACACCTCGAAGAACTTGTGGCCTTGCAATGCCACGGACGTCAATGAAGCCACATTGCCAGCCGTCGCGCTCCCAGTGAAGCGCAATCTTCGATCGCACTCGTGGATGAGGCTTTGGACCAACTGAGCAACTTGACCACACGGCTCCAAAATCCTGGGAAATCGGGGAATGAGCTGAACCATGGTTTCCAAGAGTTTGTTCAACTGTGCAAGCTCGCCACCAGGGCCCTCGCGGCATTGAATGAACTGTTCCAGTACATCAGAAAGCTCGTCGCAAGGCCGGACAGAGAATGACTCGTCGTCTCGCCGGGTCACATGCCCGAGAATCGTCAGGTAGAAAGGCGAACCCAAGTCTGGAAGTCGAGAATTCTCAGATGATAGGACCTCTTGGAGCACCATGTAGTCGAGGTCTGCGAGGTGCGCTGCGAGCCGCGCAAAGCCCTTGTAGAGGTCTGCCAGACGCGTGCACGCTCCCACATCACGCATTGTGCTGAGCTTGCGGTTCGAGTTGCACAAGACTATTTCGGGCAGTGCTGCAAAAAGCGGCCGGTGCTGTTGAAAGGAGGCCAAAGCGGTTGCAGGGTCTACCATCTTTGCAAAAGCCAGGTACTCGTCTAACCAGGCGAGAACTCGCGTTGGGACGTCTTCATGGGACAGATAATGCTGTCCCAGCTTATTCATGACTTCGGCGTACGTCTCGGCGACGCTCTCGTAAGGAAACTCCCGAGCTGGGTCAATCAGGGCAGTGTTCTGTACCATCGTCGCCCTTGGCTGGACGGATGAGTACTGAACTTCTTGCTCGATGTCATCGTCAACGGCCACGACGGGCGATGTCTCTGTCTCGGGAGTAACTGCAGGCGTCTCCGAGTCCGATGGTGGCCGCAGCATATCCACTTCTCGATCCTCCACGCTTGCAAGGATGTCTTCTTGTTCTACCGGCCGCGGGTCCGGGGGCACAGAGGTCGGATGTAGAGGGGAACTCGTCTGAGACGGGCGATCGGAATTGCGTAGACTGAGAGTCACTTTGCTTGGCACTGTATCGCTCGGCTGGTCGTCGGAGTGCTCAGGCTGAGGTTCGGGGGTCTGAGGGCCCTTTGGGCCGAGGTCGCTCTCCTTCATGGTCAACACTTGCTGAGCCTCGACCTGAGGGGAGGGGCCCGAAGAAGTGGCACTGTCGACCGATCTGCTGCGAGAAGCGCCACTCAAAGATGTGCGGCGACGCTTGCGGGCAGAAAAGTCAGAGTCATCAAACGGATTCGGTCTTGTCGAGCAGGGCTCCGAGGAGACGGCACGTTCTCTCAGATCTTGAGGGCTCGAGGGTTGTTGGTCCATCGGGAAAGTGGCAGCAACGACGATGAATGGGTTGTTGAGCTCCGAGGGCACAGAAGCTTCGCTGAGAGCAAGCTTGCAGAAGCTTCGTCTTTTCCCCAATTGTTAGCATGTGTGGTTCGGCAGGGAGGGGTAGCCGATAGAGGCATAAGAATGTGAGATGTCGATTATTATTTTTTTCTTGGGAGGACGGAATCCGGTGATGTGTTGGTGGGGGAGAAGTGAGTAGGCAGGAAAATACAGGATATTGTCCCGCTTTGAGTCCAGTGCAGGTGACCAAATATCTATCGGATACCTGCCAGGTGGCCCAGATAAGAACAGCAGGGGCTTGAGGCGATTTGAAGGTGGCCTTGAGGGCAGAAGAAGGCAACAACGGACAGTGATGTCAAGTTAAGTTGGTGGTGACAAAGCCCCAGGCTGTGAATATAGCGACGGATCTACCTCGAGCTAGAGCTTAGGTTGGCTGGGGGTCACCCGTGGAGGGCAGGGTGGGGTCGTTCCACCATATTTGTACCTTTGTCTCGCTGCTGAGCACCCCAAGCTCTGTGATAGAGCAGTGGCTGGGCAATGATGCGCAATTTGAGCAAATTATGAGGCCAAAGGGTTTGAGTTCAGATATTCTGGTGGTCCGTATTCCGAGACGGATCTTGTTTGTTTTATTTTCTCCTACTTCTTGCGCACCTCGGTACCTGAGGGTAAGCAACCTAGGTACTCTAGGGAAATGTACATTTCAATAGTAGTTAGAGTGGGTACCTCTCTCACTTGCCAGGCTGATGTGGGGGAAAGCTCTCAAGCTCTGCAACAGATCTGTCAGTGGAGGCTAGGACGCCTTTCAAAGGTCTTTGGATTGTGTCAAGTTGAGAACAAGTGAAGCAATGGATTTCTCCAGCATGCTAGATTAGAAAGGCTATGTGGGAAGAATCGGTAGAAGCGGAAGCCAAGGATATGCAGTCCGATGGTCCGGAATCTGGTAGCACCAGCAGAAGACGCCCTTTCAGGCACTCTCAACCAAGTTCGAAGCCCATCCACACCAAGAGTCTATCTAACTTTCATAGTATCGCCAGTAGAAAGCGCCTGGTACAGGTAGAGAGAATCAGCCGGATGGACAGGCGCCGGTGGTATCAAGGCCAAGCTAAGAAACCTCATGTTAAGAGTAACCCATGGTTTGAGCTTGCACCAGGCACTGCTACACCCAATATACGGACAACAGAGCTCCCTTATAGTTTGCATGCTTTTTGGTAGCTCTCTCAGCTCCATAATTACTAACTGAATGTAAAGCATTGGCAATAGATTACACAGAGAGGCGCGAAGGGCCATGCAGCCAGAATTACCAGAAGGCTCGTTACAATTACTTAGGTCTGCGTACCTCCAAGTAGGTAGAGACAGTAGATGATAATGAAAATGCCAAAATACGGAGATGAGAGAAAGGGATAAGCAAAAAATGAGAAAGGGCTTGCAAGGAGGAAACAACGGTGTCGAATATCCTGTCCCGCTCGCGATGTAATGTTTCAGACTTGGAACCCGTCGACAGTTCCATCCATCGAGATGGATGTTCTCATCATGGAGGGGCACTATCCGGAACCCCACGGGAGCTTGACGCGTCTTTCCAGGCTTGCGTTTTAGTACGCGACATGGGAATCAGATTGATGGATCACTTTATCGCCTATCGGGTTTAGGTTCACACCCCACTGTCGTATTATCGGATTAGCCGCCCCTAGCTCATCTCCAAAATCGAATAATACATCTGGAATTGCCTAGCTACCAAGAGGTAACTTATGATCGTTGAGGGAGTACAGCCCTCGGAAATTATCGAATTGCTTTGTAGGTGCCTCCCTCGCACTATGGCCAGAATGCCCGTACATGTAGGCCCGTCATAGCCAGGCTCATCGGGTCTGAGCTCGTCATTGGCGCCGTTCTCTCGAGACCTTGCAAGCTTCTAGAAGCACTGACATCAAAGCAGAGTTTTAACCTGGTATCGACTATCGGCGTCGCGGACTCCGTGCTTTAGGAACGAACCTTTAGGCCACCGCATGTTGGGAGATTGGTGTGCTGCTATCCATATTAAGACAGAGTCCCCCGGGAGTCTCAGTCATGGATCGTAAACGAATAGCCCACCAGCTCGACACGCCATTCTCAGCCGTGCATTGGTGAGCAAGCCAGGACACATCGAGACTCTTCGTTCTAACACTCGACCACAGGCCGACGATCACCCAGGATGATCAAGACTCCATACTCGAGCTTCTATGCAAGTACGGGCTCCCTCTCATTTACAATGGAGTCTGTTCCCAAGAACCAGCAGATTAACATGAGAAGCAGTCTTCTGTCGCCTCTAGGCCAGTACCGGAGAGAACATATCCCTGTTTCCAAAGGGAAAAGGGAGAGAGTGGCTAGAAAGAAGGCACAGCAAGCTCGTCAATCTGGCGAGGCAGCACCGCCGCCTCCCGAGCTTACCGATTTCGTGGATGTTGGCCTGGCCAACATTACTAGAAATCTGCAAGCTTCTGCGAGGGTGGGACATTCGCAGAGTCACACGCGCTGCGAAAAGAAGAGGGACCGCGATGAGAAACTCGATGTTAACTACACGGCTATCTTTGCGGCGAGGTCAGGGCAGCCAAACGCCCTTCACTCACATCTGCCGCAGATGATCGCTGTTGCGACTGAGTCGGGCGGTGTGAAAGACCCAATCCGTCTTGTCGGCTTCTCAAAGTCTTGTGAGGATCGGCTGAGTGAATGCTTGGGCATCCCCAGGGCGTCAATCATTGCAATACGGAGTGGTGCCCCGCGATCGCAAGCTTTGATCGACTTTGTCAGATCTCACGTTCCAGCCGTCGAAGTGGCCTGGTTGAAGGAAGCTGAGGAGGCCCATCATCTGGCCACCAAGATCAATGCGTTGGAAGTACCTATTGGAGCCAAACGGCAGAAGAGGGAGGCGACATAAGTCTCGACGACACGGCCTCCTCCAGGCCAACACGACTTGCGCTCTTGTTCAAAGCTTTGAGATACCCCGAACCCATGAATTACCAAAGTACATGTCCACGTGTATGTATGAGGAATGCTCTTGTCAGGGGATTCTGCTTGGCAGACCAGGAATATTCTTACAATCTGGGTAATTCTATTGGCCATCACAGGACCTGCAACTTTGTTCTCAAGATGGCAGCGTCACACTTTCTGTTTGATGTCTTTGTGCCATGGACCATGGGCCTCCAGACAAAACGGGGCTTACATCTAGCAAGGCTGCAGTCATTGTCATGACAAGCAAGAATGAATGTTCTATTCGCGGGCCATCAAACCTCAATGCATGGCTGCAGGCCACCATTCCCATTTATCACTCTTCACATTGTCTGGGCTTGCAGTGCAGTTTGTCTGGGTTCTTTAACCCTTTGCCACCAGGAAAACAAGTCCAAGAGTGCTTTTTGGGAGCTTTGGTCACCTATCAAAGCATCAGAAATGCGGATCCGTTGAGGACTGTAGTCATGATCTAGTCGCCTCGACGATATCTTCCCCGACGATGTCTGCCCCGACAAATTGCCTTTTAGGCAGCTGCGGCCTCTACTTTTTTCCCCCTTTCTCTGATTTTATTGTTTACCTGCGTATTCTGGAATTGGTGCCACCTTTTCCAAAGAAACACACGAGGAAGACTTTGGTCCACAGCAAACAGGGCAGGTCTTCTCTTCCCTCCCTTCCTCGACCAAGCTCCCCCGACTTCGTCCCTTCCTCTTCGATTCTTCCATTACGGTCCCCATCTAGGTGGTCCACCTCTTCTATCTTTTCCATGTCCCCAGCGTCGTGGAATTTTTAAATATTCTTTCGCAATCCCTGGGGAAATCAAGCCCAATTCGATTCCCCTGCCATCCAGAAACCCCCCCTGTTCGAGCCTTGCAATACGAAGGGCACGGCAACGATGCCTTCTCACTACAATCCTAACGTCTCCCATGACGATGCCATGTCCGTTGCCAGGCAGCTCCAGCAGGAGCAGGGTCGCGCATCCCAGTCGCCCTTGAACCGCAACCAGGCAGCCCGTGAGGGTAAGCACCCCCCTTCCTCTCTCTCTCTGCAAGCAATTCCGTTCGTATCGACCCTTTTTTCTAACTCAAGTATAGGTCCAGCTCGCCGCGGTAATCGAATTCCAAGTTCTGGTCTGGGAGGTCCCATGGGGCCCCGTCAAACCAATGCTGGCAACACTCGCACAGGACAACAAAGTGAGATCAAGGTAGCCCCTGAGGACGAATGCAGGCCAAGTGTACTAACCTGCTTCGTCCATCCACAGTCTATGGCAATACCCCCTCTTCTCGCACCAACACTACCGCTACCATGAGAGGCGGTTATCAAGATGGCGGCCATGATCGTGGTCGTGATCGTGGTCGCGGACGCGGCCGTGGTGCCGCTCCTCCTGCTAACCACTCAAGCACCTGTAAGTCCTCCATATCAATGAGATTTTCTCTCGCACCTGGAAAGTGTTAGTTTCGAGTTTCTAACTACTTGGCAAGATTCGCACATGCCAGATCAGCGTCCCCAGCAGGACCCTTCGAGCAGCACCAGTGGCCCGAACATCATCTATTACAGCGATACTCCAGCTGAGCCAAACCATGGTGGACGAAATGCCACCGGCCCGAGTATCATCTATTACAGTGATACTCCAGCCAAGCCAAACCATGGTGGAGGAAATGTCGCTCAGACAGATGCCCAGCCTCAGGCACAGGCCGACCGTACCACTCTTGACAAAACTACCATCCCAGCGACAGTGGAGCAGGAAGCACAGAAGCCAAGCATAGGACATCGTAACGATAAGCCAGTGGAGGCGAAAGTTGCGCGTGATGGTCGGGCCACCAACATCACGCAGGGACAGACACACCAACCCAGCGATGCCACTCTCGTCCCGAGTCGTCCACGGGCTGCCCAGAACCCTCCCAGACTCCTTGAAGGCAATGCAGCGCTCGCCCAATCGATGAGCAGTGCCGGCACAGCATTCTGCTGGAACTATTCCAACGAGGACGAGGCACCACAGCCTCTGGCTCCGACTGTTACAGAGCCTCAATCACTGGAAACCGAAACCCAGTCTCTTGGATCTCCTGGACAGGACACCCCACCCGCTGTCGTGGAGCATTACCTGACCCATCAGTATGTTCCAAGCCAGTCCTATGCTGCCAGGATTGAGCCGATTGTCATCGACACAGCAGATGGCTCTATTGTGTGCACCTGCGCCCGTCAGGGTCAAGGCAGGGGATTGATGGGGTCGAGATATGCTAATCCCAATGAAGTCTCCATCACGATGGAGCGGAACTTCATTCACCATTGCCCTGTCCACCCGCGGGCGGACATTTACAACCAGGAGACGCCTTCCACTGCCCGACACCCTTGATTCGGTGCTGCATCATGCCCTCGAACCTTTCTACGGGCTCACATTGTTGCGGCAGTCTTGGTAGTTCTCTTGTCTACTAAGCAGTACCTCGCGGGAGTTGTACGTTAGTAACTGTGCGTCTTTTGCCTGCGCCCTATCTGCACGAAGATTCCTTTTGATGTTGAAGGCTTCAAGTCAGTTCAGTCAGATCAAGAACGGATCTGAGTAAGAGTTGTTACTGGCAAGGAAAACTGGAGGCCCGACTGGTCGAGGATTTGACTTTTGGTGTACGAATGTTGGTGTAAGATCTTTTCTTTGAGCAGGTCGTTAACCTGTTAGTCGATTCGAAAGATGTCCTACCGCATCTTCTGTTGCAAGAGGTCCCTGGCGTCCAAGAGACTCTTCCTCTTACAATGTCAAGAGCCAAGCGGCTAGCCCAAAGGTGTTGTGCAAGTGCATAACGACCGAGGAGCGAGTTGCTTGCCCAATAGGGGCTCTTCTTTTTATTCAAAGCGGCTTTATTTTTATGTACAAGTAGCTACTGAGAGCACACCTTAAGAAAGGCCATGAATCAATCATCAGTCACATATAGAGCGTAAGGCACATACAATGGTGACATGACTATATCAGATTTGGATGCTAGATTCTGAACAAGAAGGGTATCTCCTACAGATACATGCGTACACGGCCCCTCCAACGCCGGCCATCCTATTTTCTTCGTATTGTCTTCTGGGCTCTTTCCCCTCCTTTCTACTGGAGCATAGAGTCCAGGCTCTCGCCAAGCACCTCCTCGATCTTGACGATCCAGCGGTGCGTCTCCCGGTCCACCACCTCGTCGTCGTCATCCTGCAGCTCGCTGATGTATGGGAGCATCTCCGGCAGCATAGCCAACCACTCCTCGCCCAGCCGGTCCGTGAGCGCCTGCTGGCAGCGCACGGCCGCCAGGCGGACCGGCGCCGCCTCGGCGCGCATGTGCTTGAGGATGGCGGTATTGAGATCCTTCTGGTGCTCCTGCGAGTCGGCAGCGGCGGCCAGCTCGGCGAGTGCGGGCGCCAGCTCCGCCGCTACGTCGCTGTCATCGGCCGAGGGCCCGGCGGCGTGCAGGAGCTGGGCGACGAGGGCGGGCGCGACGGCCTCGAAGTGGGACGGGGCCTGCCAGAAGCCGTCCTGGTCGTGCTCAAAGGACTTCGCCAGCGTCCTTACCACGAGCCTCCACAGCTCCCGCTCATGGGGGGATTTAGGGTTGGAAGTCCTGAGGATGTCGACGGCGCTGTCCACCACGTAGGAGGCGTAGCTAGTGACGATCGACTTGAGGTTGTCGAAGAAGGTGTAAAGGAATCCATACACGCTTCGTTGCCTGAGAGCTCTCCCGAGCCGGTCCTTCTTCTGGGACAAGCCTGTCGTTGTCCACTCCAAGAGCTGGGCGAAGACAGGGCGGAAGGCGGCGTCGTTCAGCTTGTAGATCATCTTCAGGGCTACACTATTCACCGAGTGCTCTGTTTCGGTGAGCTTAGTGAGCTCAGCGGCAGTGCAGTCCCCGTCTACTTGCTTCTGCCGACGGAGATCAAAGAGACTGAGGAAAATGGAGGACAAAGTCCCAACATTCTTGGCAACAACCGATTTGGTGTGCTTGTCGATACATCGGCCCAAGATGTAAATGAACTCGTCAATTGCCTAATCATTGTTAAAACACTGGAAGATAGTAACGGGTAGGGGTTCAACTTACAAGGAAACCGCTCTCTGTAGCGTGTTGCCAGTTCTTCTCGAGACCAGTGAGGAGAGACTTGGCTTCCACTTGGCTAGCAACTGTTTGAAGGCACTCTCTGCGGCTCTCGTTTGCTTCGGTATCAAGGTCTGCTTCAGCCGAGAGATCGGAGACAGCCAGGAGCTGGTTCAAGTACGAGCCAGACATGATGTAAGGCAGGCTCTGCGTTAGAGATGTGATGAAGGAGTACGCCGCATTATGCAGCTCGCTGTCAGGCTCTGACAGACTGAGCTCTAGGTAAGACAATGCTTTCGGCATAGCCTTCGGTAGAACTGGAACGATGGCGTCGTGGAGGACGTCTACCAATGATGCCAGGCAAAGTAGAGCCATAACTTGGAGTCGGCGGTCGGATTGACCAAGGCACTCGTCTCCCGCAATTGAGGCGGCAGCGCCGGCAACAGCCTCAAGATCCTTCTTGCCATATTTCTCAGCGATCTTGTCCACGCAAGTGACCGCTGTGTGCTTATAGTGGATGTCGTCGGACTCGCGAATGACAGCGGTGAGCTGGGGCAAGAAGGCAAGCAGGACAGCTCGAGACTTGGGGTTCGAAGTGCTTTCGCCGTCAACCCGAACTTCAAGGGCCCGGAGAACTTTTTGACGGAGGCCAACATTAGGTCTATCGAGCAGGGACTCGACAGCTTTGATGAACTCGCCGATGGAGAGGAGGTTCAGCAGACTTGAAAGAGCGGCTCCGCAACGGCTGTACATGGTCTTCTTGGACTTCACAGTGTCGGCCAGCATCAAGACATCCTCCAAGAGTAGAGCATAGAGCTCGCGAACCTTTGCGGTTTCCATGTCGTCTGCTTCTGCGAGCTTCTCGAACTCCGCTTTGAGCGTGCGGCTGGTTAGAAGCTGGGGCAGCAGGGTGAGCGCCTTGAGTGCCGACTTCTGCAGATCTTGCTCTCCATCCTCCTTTTTACTGAGCAGAATTGCTGACAGAGTCGGTTTCGGTTTCAATGTGTCGCTGACAAGATCGACGAGTTTGACCAAAGACTGCAGCTGAACTTGCACAGGGAACGCGCCCATAAGCTCAGCAACGAAAGCAATGATGCTGTCCGTGGTACCATATTTATCCACGAACATAGCAGCCATGGCGAATAAGAAGTCCTCCGGCCCAAGATTCTTGATCAAAGAGATAAAAAGATCACGTCTGCGGGGCGAAGGGATATGCTCGTATGCAATGACAAAGCTGGAAAGCAGCTCCGAGGCACTCGTAAGGAGATTCCTTCTGCCTTTTTTGAAGCTCTCAATCAATGGCGGGACAACCTCCTGAATGGTCTGATTGATGACATGAGCGGAATAGTCGTCGCTTTGGCGGAGCACCGAGCCTCCCATGAAGGTGAAGATTGGCATCACACTATGAAGCACAACATCGGGCGCGGTCTTGGCGAGGCTGGCAACCAGAAGTAAAGCCGAATTCTGAACAGCAGGGCTGGCCGATTTCTGGATGCAGTTCACGAGAATATCGCCATGTCCAACCGAGGCGTCAATCTTGAGCTCCTTGTTGTCGCGATAGGCAGGCAGCATCGCCAAGAGACTTGAAAGAACCAGGTTCTGCAGATACCCAAGTTCAGACCCGACCAGGGCACGAAGAGTCTGGAGGTCGGACAACGTGATGAAGAGACTTTGCAAGAGCTCTGGGTGTTCTGCTGGTTTGGCAGCTTCAACGAGTTGCAGAACAAACGTGACCTTGCTCAACAGACTCTTGAACTCCGGAGTCGCTTGCACATTGATACCGCGGTTCTGTTCTGATGAGCTGGTTCTTCGGCGCTTGTTCGGTGGAGGGTCTGTCAGCATCCTGGAGCTATCTTGTAGCGCGTCCAAGAAGGAGGAGAGGATCTCGGTCGTCAAGTCCACATTCCTGAGGAGCTCAGCCGCTTCCTGTGAGACTACATCGGTCTCTGCGGATGGCTGTGGCGGATAAGCGAGATCGATCAAGGTCTGAGCGGTCAAGAACTTGGTCTCTGCTTTCATAGCGGGCCAAATATTCTGAATTCTAGCAAAGACACAGCTGACCAGGTTAGGCCGCTCTTCGCTGATTGAGCTTTTCGCGATGTCAAATAGACAGTCGAGGCCAGCCTTGTCATTCGGAACGACAACATCCACACAACTCAAGTCCATCGTATTCTCGTCAACAGCCTCCAAAGCACACAGTTCCTGTGCCGTTTCAGACTTCAGTGCCCCCCACCATTGAAGCAGAGGCTGCAGCAGTTGGGTACGCGATGTACTAGAAACACCGCGTACCTGGTTCAAAGCCTTCAGCACACGGATCTTGAGGGTCAGTAATGGCGAATAGATGACGTGGCTGGCAAGGAAAGTAAGGATTGCCGATCGAGCAGCGTGTGAAACATGGCTCTTCTTTTCCTTTGCGCTTGTTATGGTTGATGAACTGCTAGATCCGTTCAGGAGCTCTTTGAGGACCGCGGTCAGATGGTCCGCATCGAGAACTGCCTCCTCTAGCGAGGGCAAGATGGCTTGTAGTAAGGCGTTGCTCGCCTCTGGAGTCAGCCATTTCAAGTCGTCAGACTTTTCATAAAGCTGATCTGAACCCCAGTGTGCCTGCTTCTTGCCCTTTGACTTCGGGGTGTTTGGGAATTGACCAAGCACCACGAGAAGGTCGGCAGCTGCGCGACGCACTTTTCTCGCCGTGTCATTCATAGCTGCGATGCAGTAGGGCAGAAGGGCTTGCAGATCCGCGCCAGACAAGTCATCCTGCTTTAACCTGTCCTTGGCCAGATCGAGAGCAGCGACTCGTGCCAGAGTTGGGTACGGACCCATCCAAACGCGCATGTAGAAACTCAAGTAGAAGCAGGTAGAGCCTGCAGTTGACCTGCAAAGCAATGGTGCAGTGTCGAACTTGAGTAGCTCACCCTTGTCAGCGGCCACTGAGATGAGGAGCTTGCATAAGTCACCAAAGAAGGCATCTGAAGCTTGCGAGAGACAGGACGTTCTAGAGTGCTCGACTTTGGACAACTGCTCCAAAGCTGTCTCAAGGCTCTGAGGCGTCTCGCCTTCGTCGTCGTCGCCACCATTGTCGATGTCAGCCTTGGATGCTTCCAATAGGCGCCTGGGTCTAATCGTGGCATCCAGCTTCAGCTCCAACTCCTCAATATCGAAATCAGCGTCCTCGATGACTTTCCTGATAACATCTCCGACATCTCCAGTTGCCTGTGAGAGAATTACAAGAGCTGAACCAAGCTGCTTCCGGGCCTGTCCCGATTCGTCGACATCGTCCGTGATTTTGTGCGCAGCAACAAGCAGGGACTTGAAGACCACGACGATTTGTCTCTCTTGGAGCACAGAAGACATGAGTATCGACTTGATGACAGGAACGCCTCGCGCATCGCCCTTCTTGCAAAGCCTGTCGGTCAGTGCAAGTACCAGCCCATTGGCCAGCTTCTCAACCTGGTGGTCCTTTGCCAGATCGTTCAGCAGATCTGGAAGACCATGGATTTTCATCATGGCCTTGGTAACCTTGCTTGAAAGCTGCTTTGCAGATCGGTACTGGGCCAGGATCGCCAGGCACACAAGTCCCGGGCGTACAGTCTCCTGGGTCCAGCCGAGCACAAGCTGTTCCATGAAGGCGGAGAGGGCTGTATCGTCCAGGCTACTTTTCGCAACAAAGACTGCAACCACCATGTAAGCCGCGATCTGGACACCAGGCACCTTCCTCATGACCATGGCGTCGGCAAGGGTGGGTCCAATCTGCTGAAGGATGACCTGGTCGTGGTCAAGCTGAACGCTCCTCCGACCCGATCTCATCTTGTCAAGCATTCCATTGACCGCTTCGGTCATGATACCTCCCCAGAACGATATCAGAGCCGGGTAATGCTGTTGGGATCTGCAGGACTCGAGGGTGTAGGTGGAGATGGCGGAGAGCAGTTCGCTGTGGTTGATAGCTTGCTGCACAATGGCAGCCCGAGGTAGAGCTGTAAGGGACTTGACATATGGGTCAAGAAAGCGGAATTCTTGAGGAAGATTGGCCGGAAGGATTGACATTAGAGTTAGGAAGGCCGGAATCGAGTGGTAGGGGAGGAAAGTAGCAATCAAGGCGCTGGTGTTGAATTCATGGATCCTGGCACAGGTTAGAACTCTGTCTCGTAATTACCAACACGGCCATACATACCGGAATCTCCTGATCAACCACTCAATGGACTTGATTGTCGGCATAAGTCTCAGCCGGCTTCCTGCCAGGCGCAAGAATGATTCAACCTTCTTGTCAAGCTCTGCATTTTCAGCGGCAGTCATCTGCGTCCGGTCCTCATCCTGACTCTGCTCGCTGAAGATGGTCGTCGAGAATTGCGCGAATCGGCTGTCGAGCTGACACAGCTCTTCGAATCCCTCATAACAGAGAGTGTAAATTGTCTGGTAATTTTGGCTTGCCGCAACTCGAGGTTCGAAGATTAGCGACTTGGAGTGGGCGGCTTTCTGCGCCTTGATATTCAAGGTGCTTTTGGAAGAAGCGGCGATCTGCGCCAGCTGCGCAGCGAGAGAGGTCGCCATCTTCTCGAGTCCACGCCGTTGTGCTGGCTCCTGTCAATGAGAGAATCGCGGTTGGTGATGGGAGTTCGAAACTCGCGGGGCTATCCAGCTCGCTCTTACACTGCGGTCCAGTCCAGTGATGGAAATTTTTTGGGCGGTCAGAAGTTCACCCGTTGCGGCGCATGCCGATAAGGCCCACCACCCAATGAGGATGTTGCGATAGTGATCAGACCCGCCTAAAAGTTGTTTCGCTGAGCAGACTGGACCCCATGCGGTCTGGAAATTTTCGTGCCTCTCACCCAGGGACGAAGTGTGATCAAGACGAAGAGCCTTCCGTCGCTAGACTGAGGCTGTCTCATTGCGCATTTGCAACAATGGCTTCACGACCGTCAAAAAGGAGAAAATTGACTCCACCTCTATCAGATGACGATGGCCCGTCCCGGCAATTCAGCACTGTGCAGAAATCGTTTTTGAAGAGCGCGGCGGGGTGGGATCTTGAACAAAGCTACGAAACCAAGTCACGGAAGGGCAAGAAGAAGGAGAAGGAGAGTACACGCCTGCCCATCAAATCATCGGACGGCCGGATTCAGCAGCAGAAAGGTCACAAAGACGACCAAGAGTCAATCGACAGCGACGAGGAGTGGCTCGAGAGAGCAGATGAGGACGGATCCGCGGTGCTCAGTGAACCCGTTGTGCCAGAGCAACCGAAGATCCCAAAGCGGGAACAGCTTCTGAAGGCCCAAGAAGAACTAGCCAAGCTAGCTTCGGCTCTTCAAGAGGATCCGGAGGAGCACCCTGGAGCGTTCAAAGCCCTTGCCGAAGTTGGGCAGTCTCCCCATCTTGAGATCCGCCTGTACAGCATCGGCGCGCAACTGAATGTTTACAAAGATGTCATTCCTGGCTACCGTATACGACCGCAGACGGGCGCTCCGGGGGAGAAGCTGTCAAAGGAAGTGCGACGAGTCCACACATACGAGCAAGCACTCCTGAACGGATATCAATCGTTCCTCAAGGAGCTCGCTTTCTTGGCGAAGGGTGATCCGAATCTGCCCGAGAAGCCCAAACAGCAGCTTGCTGCTCTGGCCCTGAAATGCGCCTGTACCCTTTTGACAACCCACCCTCATTTCAACTGCCGAGGTGATGTGCTGAGAATTCTAGTCGGGAAGCTCAGTACAAAAAAGGTTGACAAGTCGTTCATTGCTTGCGAAAAGGCGATTGAGACTCTGTTCCGTGACGATGAGGAGGGCAGGCCGTCGATGGAAGCTGCATCTATCCTGAGCAAGATGATGAAGGCGCGAGACTACCAAGTTGACGAGAGCGTTCTCAACTTGTTTCTCCATCTGCGACTACTATCCGAGTTCGCCGGAAAAGCATCTCAAGATCAGGTTGATCGACCTAACGGGCCCACGCCGCTGGGCAAAAAGCAAAAGCAGAAGAAGGAGTTTCGGACAAAACGTGAACGCAAGGCGCTCAAAGAGCAAAAGGCACTGGACAAAGACATGGCGAACGCCGACGCACTTGTCACACATGAGGAACGGGAAAAGATGCAGGCGGAGACGCTAAAGATCGTCTTTGCAACATATTTCCGAATTCTCAAGCTCCGTGTTCCAAATCTTATGGGCGCTGTCCTCGAGGGTCTTGCCAAGTTTGCACATCTCATCAACCAAGATTTCTTTGGTGATCTTCTCGAGGCACTCAAAGACCTGATCCGCTACAGCGACGAGGATCTCGAGGTCGACCACGAAGAGGAAGGGGGAGAGAAGGACGAAGATGAAGAAGACGCTGTGCTGGGAGTCCGTAATCCTACTCGCGAAGCTCTCCTCTGCACCGTGACCGCCTTCGCCCTGCTCGCTGGGCAGGACGCGCACAACGCCAAGGCAGATCTCCACCTGGACCTGTCCTTCTTCACCACGCACCTATTCCGGAGCCTCTTCTCTCTCTCTGTCGACCCAGACATTGAGCTCGGCGCTCAGTCCCTACGGCTGCCGGACCCGGACAGCCCCGTCCGGCCGAACAAGGTCAACCTGCAGACCATGACGGTGCTGCTCGTCCGCTGCCTGACGGCCATCCTCCTGCCGCACTGGCAGATCCGGTCGGTGCCGCCGCTGCGCCTCGCCGCCTTCTCCAAGCAGCTCATGTCGGCGTCGCTGCACGTGCCCGAGAAGTCGTGCCAGGCCGTCCTGGCGCTGCTGGCCGACGTGGCGCACGCGCACGGGCGCAAGATCGCGGCGCTGTGGAACACGGAGGAGCGCAAGGGCGACGGCACGTTCAACCCCCTGAGCGAGACGGTCGAGGGGAGCAACCCGTTTGCGACGACGGTGTGGGAGGGCGAGATCCTGCGGAGGCACTACTGTCCCAAGGTCAGGGAGGGAGTCAAGCTGCTGGAGAAGGAGCTGTCGGGTTGAGGAGTGGTAAATAGTTTCCTAGATAATGACACGACACTTTGAATGATATTACGATATCTCAAGACTCCGCATCAAATCGGCATGTGTGATATTGTGAAATGGCCTATGAAGGCATGGTATGCCACTGTTGGATCGAACCTGCAAATACGTGAAGATTCTTCTTGAGACTGCATGCTCTATTGTTTCGATATCTGGTTGACTTTGATGTACAAAATGAACTATGTGAATCAGCGCAGGCGAGTGATATAAGTTACGCTGGAGTCAACGAATGTCAACATGTCCTATACACATCAACGATTTAGTTCTTCTTTGGAAAAGCCAATAACTCTACTAGACAATAGGTTGGTCTTGAACTCACTTGTTTTGATATCGCCTTATGTTAGATTCAGGGATACACCTCCAGTTTTGGTAAAGAGCTCGATTTGACAGCTAAGACGTATATATTCCTCGAAGACATGTATTTCACAAGCCCCAAGCAGAAGAACAATCGCCGAAGATAGAGTGTTCTGTTGCTATCCTATTTACAAGCAAACCACCCCTACTGCACTCCAGTTACCTCGTATGGCAAGTGAAGGTTAGAATAATTGAATCAGGGGATATCTCAAGTGGTGAGAACGCATGTCTTTCCCTCGAGAATCACACTCGTCTTCCCACTCTCTCAAATCGACTGGCTCGACGGACAGCCAAGGACTTCTACTACCAGCCTGTCAACTAACCTGACGTTTACTTGCATGGCTGAGTATCTACTGCCCGTGTACGATGTCGGCCTGGGTATCCTGGCTTGTATGTCATGGAGACTCAACCTACCGAGGACATATCGACCCCAATGCACACTGAAAGGTTCTGGCTCAAAAGGTCTGTGGGCCATGGCCACCACCATTGCCACCGATTCGAATTTTCATAACCCCGTGTCACAATGGCCACTAGATGGCGCAAGGTCACTGACTAACTTTGACATGGACTTCGAACGGTCTCATGCACGAGGAGGCATCGGCGGCCACTGGCGCACTCACGTCATACTTGTCACCACCCCCTCGCCACCATCAGAACAGAAGGTCCCCCTCCTCGTCAGGACCCTGAAGGGGAACCCAAGGTCAAGGATTCCGAAGAACAAAGTTGCTCTCAGCCAGTCGGAAGAAAGAGCCGCAGAGTGGGCCACGGCGAGTCCCCCCATGGCTCGTTCATGCGCCCGCCACCTCCGCCCTCCCCGATACGGAGGGAGCGAAGACAAGGAGCATCGTTCCATACCCACCATCGCGCAGGCTGGATCATGCAGATCGTCGAAGAAGAAGGGTGCATCGAAGGTCATAGTGGCCGTAAGTTTCAGGCTGTCGATCCGCTCTGCGCAGGTCCCGCCGCCGGGGAATCTTGGCGGAGACCGGGAGAAAGGTGCAAGACTGGGGGGGCCAAGCATTCGGCGAGAGAAAGAGGAGCCCTGAAGAGGCGGAAACATACTTGTACAGGTCTGGCGGGAAGCATCACTGGCCAGGACGAGGGTAAGAGAAGCCTCCCCCCAGCAGATGGTCAACGGGCAGGGATGGCTCCTGCCTTGCGTGCCGTGAGCTTGGGGCCAAGGGGAAAGAAGTGCCGCAGGAGGGAGGCATGTTGAATCCAAGACAGCTTGTGCCGAGGCGAGCGGTGTCACGACGACCTGACGTTGAGGAAGAGCATTCCTGTTTGGGGCCGGTCGATGCTAGACTCGAGCCGGGGCAGCGGCCGTCCCTCTCTCGTCGATGACGGTGCGGGTCACAGTCAGCTCTGGGCGGAGGGCAAGGATGAGTGCAGAGTCAGTGCCTCTGTTTCAGATTTCGAGCGAAAGTGGGTAGCCTTCTTCTCGTCAAAGCAGCGAGCGACGTGGACAAGGGAGGGAGTAGATGGGCACAAGTAGTCGGGTCTAGCTCGTGCTCGACAGCAAAGCAGGATGCATGTCGGACGGGGTGGCGTGAGGGACTGGAGGGCTCCCGGAAACATTCCGAAGCTGGTGTCTTGCCTTCAACGGAAATAAAAGAGCAGCAACTGTAGAAGGAGGCAAGGATCAAAACTAGATCATTCTTCGTTGGTACTGGTGACACCCTTCAAGGAATCCATCGCCACTAGGCATACGAGTCGTTGGCAACAAACTTTGACGGACCGGGCCCAAGACCGTTATGAACCACAAGTCGTGCTGCCATGTTTGCCCTCCAAGTGTGTAGGTCTGACCAGTGATTGGACGTGGGCAGAAGACAAAAAGACCAAAGGCATGTTCTCTGCTAGCTTGAGATGCGGATGTTTGCCCGTTACCCTGCAAGGGGCCAGAACCGCAACACTCATCAGGATGCAGTAGGGCAACATGTCTCGGCGACGCAGGACGATCAGCTCGAGTCGGTGCGGTTCCCATGAACCCCCCTTAGGTGGGGGAGTTTGCGCCATGACCGTTGGTTTACCAGCCGACCCGTGTCCATGCGCCAGCCCGATCTCCTTGGAAAGCTGATGCGGTTGCTTTTGCGCCTCTACAAGTAGTTGACTCGGCTGATCTTGCCCTGCAAGGTTAGGCGGCCGCTGTCCGCAGAGGCGGTCCCAAACAGGCCCTTGGTCGGGATTAAGTCCACATCACGACAGCAGCTGGACCATATGCTGGTTGTTCTTGAAGACCGACCGCATTTCCCAGCGCGTGACGCACGAGGGGCCCGGTTATCGTCCGTATTAGGCCGGCATCTGCATCCCTGTCGAGTCGCGATTTCCAGTCGGGCTGTACGGAGTATGAGAGAGAAAGTCGTGCTGTCGAGTGTGGGTCTGGGAAAATGGCAGGCTTGGCCGGTGAAATGTCAGTTTTGAGGTTAGTCCCCGAGGGCATTGTGTTGATTTCCAAGATGGCAGAGTTCTGGAAGAAGATGTGACGAGGCTAGGGCGTGTTTCATGTTCCTGGCTAAGAATCCAGGGCCGAGTACCGTTGCTAGCGGGCGGGCCCCATCTAGGTACGCCCATGTCTCGTACCCCGCTGGCGCTTGTTTCGGACTTTCTGCACGCATTACTCTCTGCTTCAGATCTTTTGCCATATCCTCCTCTGCCCTGCCTCTCAGAGCAACATCACGCAAGGGCAAAGAGCATCCTTGCACAGTCTGACCGTTGCATTGGCACCTGCAAGGTACGCACGCATGCGGGATCTCTCGTTGGGAGAGTTGTACTGTACCCTCCCTCCTCCGCTCCTCATATCCTAATGCAGCCACGCACATCACCGGGCGTGGTGCCGCCTGTCCCTTGAATTCAAGCACACAAGCACACAAGCACACAAAGCCCGCAAGCCGGGCAGTGACGGCGCTCGCTGCATGATCCAGGCACACCAATGAGATGACGCCTGGGCCGTTTTCTTTGTGACCTGGGCTGCATGCCGGGCTGGCATTCCCAGTCGTCGACTCGTCGTCAAGGACGGGCCCGAGGTCAGCATTCCACAAGACAGCTTCTACTTGTATGTGAAACTCGCAGTGTTGATGTTTCAATGTTCTCAACAAGGTCAAGTCTCCTCTTTAAACACCTTGTTTCAGATCCACCCGCGGAGCTATGAAGCAGTATTATTTGGTAACATTCCAGGCCTCGACTGCCATCGTAAGTATCACTAATCCAGATCGAACTTTTCTACACAGACAAGACCAACGTCGAGTTGCTACCTAGTCGCAGACTACCTAGGTAGGTAGGTACCCTGACAGATCCGACGCTCCGAACGCTGTAGTTTCCGTTTCCAGCCTATACCGATTCAAACGATTAAAAAATACCCCATGCATTTGTGCGCAGAATCGCTGCCTTTCCGGCAGGCCATTTCAGGATACCGGTTTTGTTTACCGCTCTGGCGAAGATTCAAATAGCAACATCTCATTTCGGCATGCATTGGTGACAAGCCCGGCCTGTGATCAGACCTGCTTCTTGTGCCTGAGCCATGAGATGCAGTCCTGCAAGGGCGAGCCGCTCCGTGATGAGCGATTGTGCCACGCGAGATGGACGTTGTGCCGGTGTATGGCCGGCCAGTCGCTTCAGATGTGGGCAAATCCAAACCCGCCAACTGGAGCCCAGCAGCAGTCAAAGGCCATCATCTCCCAGCTTGTCCACAGAACATCTTGTTCTACGTTACCACATGCAGCCAGTGGGCCGGGGGGGGGGGGGGGGGGTAGAGACTCGTCCATGTGCATACTCCGTAGGTATGTTGCTATTTTGGGCCATCGTCTTTGTTTCCTCGAGAGGCTGGTAAATTCTGAGGGAGCGAATCACAGGAGCCAGAGGGCCCGATCCCAGTGCGTATCGCTAGCGGTGGGGCCAGTGGCTCGCTGGCTCGGCGTGGTGGTTGGCTCGCCCATTCGGGCAGCACAGATCGCCTGGAGCGAGCACTGAGCAGCAGGGGGGAGACGGGCACTAGATTTCAGATTGGACTGGGAAAAATTAAGCTTAGCCTATTTCTGAGGCCTGGCTCCATTGTGAAACATCCCACAGACTGGCTGTGGACACGCATTGGAGAGAGTCCAGAACTCACGTCGAAGGCTCAAGCTGCGCCCGCCTCTCGGCGCCTGGACAGATTGGGGCGAGAATCATCACCGCCAGTCGTCGACCAAGCATGACGATCTTCCCGCGCTTGCAGGAAGATAGATGGCTGGTCGCCGTGATGCGCTGTCCCGTCTGTCAACTCGAGGGGCGTAACGCTCACTTCACCCCACCGCCAGCAGCGCAGAGTCCGAGAGTCTGAGAGGGGGCCTTCTATTACGCGACCTGTGGCGCAACGAATGACAAAGCCCGTGAGACAACTCGCCGAGACTCCAGCAGAGAGAGAGAGCGAGAATCGTTTTGAGGCTGTCATCGGATCTGGGTTGGTCAGATCTCGTGGTGCGCGATCTGAACTTGCACCAAAGGGCAATTGGCGAAATTGCGAGGGGTTTCGCAGCTTCCCAAGGGCCCGTGCCACGAACCGCCCGACTGTCGCCCTCGCCCGAAAGCCATCAAGACAGGGCACCTTGGCGGCCAGCCAGACCTCAGCCAAA